TGGGTACGGAGTTGGAGAGAAGACCGCCGATGATGGCGGAGGCCATGTTGCCGCCGCCGATGAAGGCGAGAGTGCTTTGTTGGAGGGAGGGCATTGTGAGGGTTGCTGTTGCTTTTCGTGTGTGGAGGAGGGAGCGAGAGGGAGAGGGAGAGAGAGGGAGAGGGAAGAGGAGAAGTTGTGAGGTGATGATTCTCCGATGCGGCGCAAGTTGATTCCCCCACTTCCAATCGAGTTGGGCTTATCGGTGGGGCTGGAGGGGAGTTCGCTGTTGACGTTTGACAGTTGACAGACCGCCCGCAGTGTTGGAAGGTACCTAAGTAGTAAGCTGATAGCTGGAGCTGGACTGGGAGGTTCAATTGATGCAATTGAAGATAGGAAGTAATTTAAATTGGGAGAAATAGAGCAAGCAATTGGTCATTTCTCTGGCTTTATACGATTCCACGTGACTCATAGTAATGAGCCCGACATCGCGCACCGGCCCGGTCAACCGGCTTGCCCTCGTAGAATTTCCCCATGCGAAGTGCGGGGGCCAGGAACCGGGGTTGGATGATCGCACGCCCTATTGTGGGGTATATAGAGGGGTAATGGAAGATTGAAATATAGCCAGGGTCGAGTCATGTGGAGGGAGAGTAGGACTGCAATAGCGATAAGTTCAACCACTCCCCAATTCGTCATAGGAGCCAATAACTAGGACTATCAAAACAGATGAGAGTATATGTAAGACTTCTTTGATATTCGGGCCTCTAATGTAAAGTAGATAAAAGGAAACCGGGTTACAGAAACAGAGACGGAAATTTCAAGGTTGATACTTGCAGTACAAGAACTGCAAGCAAAGACGACCAAGACAAAACATAAAAAAAGTTCAAGGAGGTAGTTTAAAAGAGAAAGCCGACCCGCTAAAATACACGAAGAAACATTTGGTGAGACAGGGAACCTGACAAGATTGGTTCGGTTTCCCTTTGCTGGACCGGCCACAGTGATCACCGAGGGGAATGGTTAGATGAGACCATGGGAAATGCAATGCAGAAAGGCAAAGTGAAAAAGCGACGAAAAAGGATCGAATATGTACATCGAATGGCGCATGATGAATGATGAATGGCGAACGGCGGCCGAGGGTTAATAGATTGACGTGCAGAAGCAAAGAATGTAAAAAGGTAGAAATTTGACTCCGGTTCGGAACAAATCAAGATTACCAGGTTTCCTAGAAATGAAGTTAGTTAAACGGTTCTTGAGAGACAAATCACCGCCAGAAAACTTACAGCAATGTACTGGCCAGCCTCCTTCTTCCGCTGCCAGAAGAAAGTAGCCTCTTCGGAGTTGAGATTGCCCTTAGCCATGGCAACTTCGACGAGAGCAGCCTCGACGCCTTCTCCCATACCCTTGCCACTACCGCAAACAAAGACACGACCATCAAGCGCATTGATGACGTACCAGACAAGGTCAGCTTGGTGACGAACTTCCTCCTGAACGTAGCGGCTCTCGCCACGACGGCTCTGAACGACAGTGCGAACCTTGTCCTCATGCACACCCCATTCACCACTGTAGAGCTCGTCGAGAAGAGAGTCACGGACACCCTGGAGAACCCAAACTTTGTTGGCGCAGTTGGCTGACTGCAGACGTCGCTGAACGAAACCGCGGAACGGCGCAATACCGACTCCAGCGCCGATGAGAAGCATGGGTCCGTCAGAGGCGAAGCGCGTGGCAAGCGGGTTGGCCATGAGACCGCGGAACATGGGGATGTGGATATCGAGCTTTTCGCCCCGAGCTTCAGCAGCAATGGCCTTGCGTGCAAGACTCTCCAGGTATCCAGATCCAACGCCGGTACGAGTACCGTTATGCCAGTCATCAGACTCGGCGACAGTGACTGCGACTTCCACGAGACGGCGGCATTCGGTGCCCTTGAATTGGCAGGAGATCATGGGATCCTGGGACAAGGAGTAAAATCGGGGCATCAAAGTGTTCAGGACGGAGAGAATGTGGTCGAGAGGGGGTTGAGAGGAGGGGAAGGCGTGAAGAAGCTGAGACAGGCTGATGTGGGAGCTGGTGCGTAGTTCGCAGAAGGCACCTTGACCTTGGGCCGATGAGAGATATTCAAGAATCTTTCTCTCGTTCTCCTCATAGGTGTACTCGGCGAGGGTGCGGAAGAGCGCCTTGGTCGGGGCGTAACTCTGGATATCAGAACACCAACTAAGGACCTCGCGGCGAGAGGTGATCAGCTCGCGGGGCTTATCGTCACCCCAGATGGTGGGCCAGCGGCCCTTGGTGGTCCGCATGAGGACCTTCTTGTCACGCATGGACTTGGGAACGCCAAGCAGATTGAGTATATCCTCCACCTCTTCATCCTTGTTCTTCGGGCAAACGCCGATAGCACCACCTACGACGAAATCGACCATGCCGCTCTCGGCGGGGTAGTCGGTGACATCGATATCGAAGTGATAAGTGCGCTTCTCGGCCCCACCCTTGGTGAGCTCACGGGTGTGGTGGAGAGGAGCGCGGTACACCTCATAGGGAGGATGGGGTTGTACGAAGCGTGGGGGGTGATCTTCGGGGCCCAACTGGATATCGGCGGCGTGAGCGGGGGCGGGGGAGAAAGAGACGGTTTTTTCCGGGAGCGGGGCAAGGTTAGAGAGGTTGCTATCCAAGGTGAGGAGATCGACATTGAGACCAAGGCTCTCAAAAGCGTCATTATCTGGTGCGGTGATGGAATTGAAGCCAGAAATTGGACCGTCCAGAGGTTGGAGGGGGCGACCCCGGCAGCAACCCCCACCACAGCACATAGACTCAATTTTCTGAGTACCACCTGTGCCAACATTCTCCAATACCCGACGCATGTCATCCGAGTTCTGGGAAATCAGGATGGTCGAAGCGCGACGAGCGCGACCGGTGGGTTTACCAGCATTATCCTCTGAGATTGATAGGGTCTGCAGGTCGGGAGGAGTGATAGGGGTGGCGGGGGAATCGTCGCTGCTGGATTCAGTCTCTTGGGAGGAAGCAGGCGAGCCATTGAAATTGAAATCGGTGATTGAGAGGGAACGAACGCCTCGAGGCTCTTCGGGAATCGGATTATCGGGGTGAGAGGTGGAGGAGACGGGGATTTCCTGAAAAGTGCCCTTGCGGGGGCGGGCCACCGTCGAGGAGGGCATAACGATGGCGGGTTCGATAGCGTGGACTATGGAAAGTGGGAGAGGTAAGAAGGGATGTCCACTTTAGAGGAGGGCGAGAGCGAGGGAAGATTGCAGTGTTGAGGTTGTAGTGTTGAGGTTGGGGGGAGAGAGAGGAAGGGGAGAGATTTCACACGTACCCATGACAGACGGAAGCGAAGAACCGAGGGCCGGTGGAGTCGCGGGTCTCGCCGCGATGGAGGAGAGATAGAGATAGAGGAGGGGAGAGTAGTAGAGTAGTAGTCGAGGATGTAGTAGAGTAGTAGAGTAGAGAGTAGAGTAGTAGAACGGATACTTTTAGAATAATAAAAGAACCGGGTTGTCAAAAGACTCGGTGGAAAAGGTGGAAAAGGTGGAAAGGAAAAAGAGGCGGAAGACCTCGCCAGATTTGGGCCGGGAATTATCTGATTTTGCCACAAAAGTTAAAACACAAGCAGGTCTACTGTAGCAGGGGGATGAAGGATGAAATCGGGACTTGATTACTGGATACAGCTGGGACACGGTTGGCCCCAGATCGACCGTGCATGTACACTAGTACTTTACTGTGATTCCCTCCGTATTTTTGTGTGCTGGTCAGCCTGGGGTGGTGGGCTCCAGGGCTGTTATACCTAGAGCGGTATCGGAATGAGCGTAGTAGTAGTATATACTATAGTCGCCAGTCACTACAATAGTATACTACTAGCTGCCATATTCACTATTCTGTATACTGGATAAAGTATAGACATCCTCACAATACCTCCTGGTAATAATACAATACGAGTACCCTACTCTGTCCCCTAACTCAACATGATCCCACTCGTCCCATCGCAAGCCGACTTCCGGAGTGGGCCGACCGATTCCGTTATCAATCAATCTGATAATCATTGGCTGCTCACCGTATCCCTCATCCCCATACTCCGTACTCCATACTCTACCCCCTTTTTTCTCACACTCTCTCTTTTATTGTCCAATGTACGGAGTACTCACCCCCACTCTCCTTCGCTCGCTGTGCCCACTTTCCGAACTGTCGGTTTCTAGCCCATCCCTGTCGCTTGGCTCTCGGTAGGCTTAGCTCCAGACATCCCATCCAGTGGGTCTTTCTAGAACACCTATGGAGGCTCAGAAAAAAACGGAAAACGAAAAAGGGGGTACTTTTGCAGATGCCTAGATCATCCCCTAACTGCTCGACTCGCGCGTGCAAGCGAGATGAACTGGGCGGGATGGAAAGAACCAGATGATGGATCAGGCTGTGCGACATCTACCTGTCCTGTCTCGGGAAGTGCTCGGCACAGAACGGGGCCATCTGATAACTTAATTTGCAGACGGTTGAGACTAGGGGTAGGAGTTGGGCATGCCTTCCCCGAAACGAAACACGAGTCATGGGCCATAAAACTAAGACCCGAGGCTGAAATCGGTTCGAATTCTTCATGTTTCAAACCACCCTGGTCCTAGCATCACGCCATGTAGCAGGGATTATTGAACCACGCCAGGTCGGAAGTATGGAAGATTGATTGAATTCCGTCGGAAGTGAAAATCCGAGCCTTAACCCCCGTCCACCCTCTATATACTTGACGTCACATCATATCATCAACCTGGCTGGATGTCTGGTGTCTGTACTCCATATTCGGGCAGCCAGGCGTCTTGAATAAAATTAGGTACATGTCGAAAAAAAATAAATCCAAAAAAAAAAAAAAAAAGTAAAAATAGTCATCATAGCCAGCCCCCTGGGGGAAGACTCCTGATCCTCGGATATGCGGAGTCATTTCCGGCGCGGTTCGTTTTCGCTTCTACCTCCATTGAGCCTCGCATTTTGGCATGGTAAGTGAGCATGTCATAATAGTGACAAGGAGCTTGTATAGGTCAGAAAGTGCCTTCTCTCTTTACCAAAGCCACGGGCGGAATGAAATGATGCCGCCCTCTAGCCCAATAATATAGAGACGCCGATCCGATGACGCCAACGTACATGACGACACCCCAATTCATAGTTTCACGAGTGACCGGCGTCGACAAGGGGAAGAAGGCAAAAACAAATACTGGCAAAAGAAAGGCTAGTGCTCCCACGTTGACCGCCAGACCAAATCGACCGAGTGTCCAGCGGTGAGGCGGAAGCGATTCACCCCGAAGGCGCTTGAGAAGCACGCAACCGATCGAGATAATGTATGCAGACAGAAGCGAAGTGATTGTCAGCGAAATAACCGCATTGAGAGCTACCTCGGAGCCGATGTTGATGAGCGAGAGCAAAATGGTCACCCCCAACGATACCATCACCGAGTTCAGAGGGATGTTCCATCCTGGTGTAACCTGCCAGTATAGTCAGCTGGGCCTGTTTGAAAGTACGATCGGAAGTCTTAGGCCGGTGTGCTCACGTATGCAAAGAAAGACGAAAATGGGAGTCCTTCGTCACGGGCAAAGGACCAGAGTTGTCGCGATGCGGTCGCGACTTCGGTAATCGTGCTTGCGGTGAGTGTTACCACCAGTACTGCAGTCATTGCATTTGTCGCGGCGAGACTGCCAGTCGTGTTATAGAAGATTTGAATAAAGGGAAATTCTGTTGGGCTTTCAAGGACCGCATCTACTTCGCCCAAGGTGAAGCAGAGTGTCACCAACATAATAAATCCCAAGACGCCGTTTACCGCGACAGAGGACATCATGGCCCTAGGTAGTGTTTCCGACGCATCTTTAATTTCTTCGGCTGCAACACGTAAGTATAAGTTGTTTTCACGAACTGGCGCATTCACTTACACATATGCACAGAACAGTCGTAGCCGAGCATCGAGGTGATGGTGGTAGAAAGACCAACGAAGGTCGCTGTCCCGGCATCGCGCCAACCACCTCCGTTGTGAAAAGTAGTAAACACAGCATGAGCATTATTGCGCGGCGCAAGCACCCATAGTGGGATAATAATCGCAAATAGGCCGATAACATGGATGATTAGAATCAACCCTTCAACGAACGGGAGGTTCTTGGCGAGGAAGGTGTTGAATAGAATCGAGAAAGTCGAGATTGCAATCACCAGCATTGTTCCATGCCATCGCTGAAAATCGTATTCCGGTTGATTCAGCACGATAAGACCTTGGATAATAGTCCCTGCGAGATAAGCGATCGAAACAATTGCACATTGCCATCCCATTGCAGAAAGCCATCCTGAATTTGATATTAGCAGGCCATGGATCGATCCCGTAACGGAGATAGGGCGGATATTCGCACATACCTGTGATATAACTAAGGAACTTTTGTCCCGTTCTTGGTGCAAATTCAGATACCCAGTGATACTGTCCACCGGCAGTGGGAGCCCTATTTTCCGTCAGTCAGCATGAGGAAGTTGGCTTGCTTGATCTCACAGGCAGTCACATACATCGAGGCCATCTCGGAAATGCTGGCATATACCAAGGTGAAGCCGATGGAGACACCAACAAAGCCCCATATGAGACCAGCAGTTCCGCCATCGGTCAAGCCGGCAGCTAATAATCTGTTCGCGTGATAAGTATGCGCATCTACCGCCAAGAACTTGCCCTAAGGCCAAGCATGTGGAAGGGTGACAAACGTCAAGATAACCTCCCATGTGCAGATCAACGTGCAGCCAAATCCAACAATGGAAATAAATTTGAAATTTCTCTTTTTCCACGCGTTAGCCACTTCATCAGATAAACAAATTCGCAGCCGATGCTTACTCGCAGAACCTGGACTCGTCCAAGCGCACTCATATCCTTCTGGTCAGCCAATGTCCCCATATATCGGGGCGCGACGAGGCCCTTCTGAGGAAAGTCCTCCAGATCAGTGAGCGTGTCCGTCATCTGCGAGTCGTTCCCTGACCTATAGGTATGCACCATCTTTCTGGCGTGGGAGCCAAATCCGGCCTAGACTGGACAAGTCGAAGATGATGATCGAATGACAATCACAAAAATCGCGCCAGCAGGCAAGAATGAGAATGATCTTTCTCAGCGCAGCGGCACAAGATATCGCACGTCGCACGACCGTCTAAGCTAGATAGTATTTGCAAATTAGAAATAAAAGAAGGAAAGATGAGGGCTCCTAGAGCCGGAAGAAAGAGACCGCGAAGTCAAAGTTACTAGCAAAGAGCCGTAACCCAAAATAGCAGTTCCCAGGAGAAGGGCCAACAAACTGAGATCATACCGGGCGCATTGGGGCAATCGACTGGCAGGATTCGAGCGTGGTATCGACGTGGGAGCAAGGCGTGGCTAGGAAGAATTCTCGCGCGCCAGCCATGTGGGCAAAAGCCCGGGGAGAGAGGGTGCTACTAGCAGATTTCCAGACGATTTGCATGACACATCGAATGTTTGATTGAGAGGACGAGAAGGGGGCATGTTGCACTGAGCATGGACCGCTTCGAGATTTCATTCTCGATGGGACTGTGGACGGAGGACGGTCGGTTCCCCCTTGAATTTCGGAGGGTGTTGAAGAATGGGCGATGAAGCTATCGGCGCCTTGCATGCCAAGGGGGAAGATTGCATTTGTCCCTTACGAGCAGGCAACTAAGTATTATCGATAAAAATCGACGTGTGAGATTTATTCTGGAGCCTCATTTATTGCCAGGTGTGCAGACAATTGCTTTTGAATTCCTGTCTGCTTCCAAGATTTGTGTGAGGTTTCAACTGGTAAACAAATTGTATCTGCGATAACTGGGATATACTTCGAAAGGAATCGATAGCTTTTGCCCTGCGCCCCGCTGGGAACGCCGCGCCGGCAAAGCAGATCCAACACCCGAGTTTGTGACCTATCACCCACGCTAATGGCAGATCCCTGCGTGAATCATGATCCCATCCCTTGATGCTTAGCCAAACGAAAATCAGCACACTGCAAACCGAGCCGGCCAAGGGAGGATGCGCCGGCTAAGTGCGCCACCCCTCGCATGTTTGTCCAAAGGGGGAACAGCCACATGGTCCTATCGGAAAGCTGCCCTGTGGACCCACGAGCACAGAGCTGGCATGCTGGTTGATTTCCAGTATTGGCGTCGGGCCGAGGGATTGGAAAGAGACTGTCATACCGTCGCAGGTGGTCTCAGACGTGAGGGGAGACTGCTATGCCTTGTTCCAAGAGAGTTATATCAGAAAGATTGCTAGCTGGAGATACACAATTTTAGCATATCGTGCATAGTATTGCTTCTTCTTCTGGCTTTTCTTTTCTTTTTTTTCCTTCTTGACTTCTTTTATTGTTATTTTAGTTCATTCTTGTCTAGAAAGGGATGTCTCGATGGTAATACTATGTAGTATGTCACGCTGGACTCTTCTCGGCGTGGGAAAGCATAATCAGAGTGAGCGTAGCTGGTGCTCTTTCCTCGATGGAGCTTCCTGCTTCATCTTGTCCCAGTGCTCCTCGAACCGACTGAGTCTTACCGGTCGATGTCAAATATTGATTGCGTGGTCTCTATGAATCCCTGGTAGATCGGCCCTCTCCATTCGCTATAGCGGCCTCTTCGTCTTTCGTCAAATATAATCCGAGTCATCACACTAAGTGATTGCTGCGCGGCACCTAGGTATATATATCGATTTTGAGTCGGCCTGCCCTCCCCTTCGAGTCCCGCTCTGCGCACATGGGCGTGTCTGCTCCACATTCACGGTCCTTTTCATAAGCTCCATTCACTCATCGTCTTTCCTCATGATACAAGGTGTCGTTCGCTCAAGTGAATTCCCAGATTCCCCGTGATGGGCCCCTATGTGCCACCAGGACAGTCGCCGCCCTTTGAGGTCATCGACGAATACCACCGTGCTGCATACATCATTATCACGACGGCGCTGGGACTGGTGATATCGTTGGTGTGCTTTCAGATTAGGCTCTATGTTCGACTATATCTAATTCCGCCTTTTGCACGAGATGACTTTGTGTTATTGGGGGCGACAGTGAGTTCTGAAGCAGTCGAAGGAGTGGTCCACTGTGCAATGGCTAAAATTATCCCGTACGCTAGGTACTGGCTATATTGCAGTCCATACTGGTTTTTTACGCCTGTTCTAGAGGATTTGGTACATCGATTACTTTGCTGGACGAAAGTCGGCTGAATCAAATTCAAGCAGTAAGCTCAGTCCCAGCGCAATCTTGATCGAGAAGGCTAACTTACTTCTAACTTAGCTAGTTGCGACAAGTGATGTTTTCGCATTGATCATCATTTACCTTTCTAAATGCTGTGTGATTGCTATCTACTTCCGACTCACTCCACAAAAACAACACAACAGAGCTTCTGCGGCTACGTTGGTTCTATGTACAGCTTGGCTGATTCCAGCGGTGTTTATTATTCTGGTCAACTGCGAGCTTAACAAGCCATGGAGATCACAAGGAGGGCAATGCCGGAATCTGGTTTGTTTCTGATTTGCCACAGACATTTGATCATACACTAATATAATTCTTAGTACCAACGTTGGCAGTTCATTGCTGCCGTGGACGCGATAACAGAGCTCATAATTTTCGTACTCGCCGTTGCCCTTCTAAAGGGGCTTTTTATGAATCTGAGGCGCAAGCTCACTATTGGATTTGCTTTCATCTTCCGCTTTCCGTAAGCCGTTCTCGTGAGAATCATTCTATTGATATACTGACTGATGTCATTCAACCTCTAGACTAATAGTATTCACAATTCTCCATATCACAAAATTACACGCAGCACTCGGTGAAACGGATGTTACCGTCGCAGCGATCGAACCGTCTCTCTGGCTTCAAGTCCAAGTCCATTACGCACTGGTCGCTTGCAGCGTCTTCTGCCTTCGTCCATTTATGGCAGCCGTCAGCACAAACTATGGGACCGCGGGGGACTCGACATTAGAAAGCAGCGCATCCAGATCTCGCGGTACAAAAGAAAGCTCGAAATCAGGATCTAACTCAGGGTCAGGATCGAATTCACACTCAGCATCGAGGTCAATGTCAATGTCGCGGATACAAAGGAAAAGAGCAGGGACGGCGGCAACTCCACCTTGGTCTAAGTCCTATGCGATCCCACACTCCTCGTCGAAGGAAAACCTTTGTCAAGCCGGGAATATACAGCCCATCATTCAGGATCCAGAGATGCCCCGGAGAAAGCAGAAACAGGCTTCTCCCCAAGAACGAGAATCTGCAGTCCGCACACCTCAACGACGATCAATGTTCCCTCTGGGTGAGCCGAGTATGCCGCCGCTTCCGAAACCGCAGAGAGGAAAAGAAGGGACCAGGAGGCAAGCGCCTGACCAGTCCCTTTTAGACACCGATGCAATTGAACTCATGCCTCAACTTCATCGGCAACATGGTCGCCAGCAGAGTGAGGTCACAGTCGAGAGTGACGATTCCGATAGAATGGTCATTCGGAAAGAGGTCGGCTACTCAATTCAGTATGAGTATGATGATGCGCGTCGGAGAGGACAAGGGCCTTCTAAGAAGAGTTCCACTGATGCAGTGGCTTACGTTTAAGCCACCTGGGCACCAGATAGATAAATTTTTACACGGCAGTATATACATCGGGGAGAATTCCATTTATCAATAACTCTAACCTCACTTCCATAATAATTCACATAGAATCCCCATACTACTGAACCAAAATTTCTTGTTATCCAATCATGTATCGTCCGCTGATGACATTTTTGGGACAATACAGACTAAATATAAACCTTGGAATCTTGGAAGCACATTTCAAGTTGGAGCGAAGCAACGATGATAGTCACGATCTATTGGTGATTTGGTAACATCTAGTAGTAACTTCTATCAAACGATTACATTGCCAGTTCTATAAAGCCCTGGAAGACTTTTTTCGTCAGATACTTTATGGAATACTAGTAATGGCGTGGTAGTAATAATATAGGAACGACTAGTACATTCTAGCACTATATAGACCAGGCCCCATTACTACTTGAAAAGTGCTAGTCTCAGGCATTAGACGGCTTAGCAGAGCGCAACGAGATCGGAATCACAGTATCATCGTCAGTGACATTCCAGACCAGAGAGTAAATCCCTTCACCCGCGGAAGACGATCGGATGTAAAAGCTAGAAGAGATGTCACCGGAGTCATTTTCCACCATCACCCACTGTCCGTAAAAAATGAATCCAGTAGTGGTCTCATTTGTCATTTTCTTGGAAGTAAAGCCCATTTCGTGGGAGGAAGAAGAAGAGCTAGGGACATAGAGCATCTCATCTGACCAACTGTAATTGGCGTTTGTAGTCGTCACGTTCGGGTTAGCAATCCAGGAACTGGAGGAGGATGCCGAAGCGCGGGTAACTATATTTTTTCAAGTATTAGATGTTCAAGTTAATTCCATTGTTCATAATTGCGAATATCTAGGTTCATGTTCTTACAAGAAACAGGGGCTGCATCCGCGGCAGTCGAGTTGGTAGGATCACCAATCATGGCCTTGCCTGTGAACTTATTAGCCCACACTCAATGTCTGACTACCTGAGCGTTTAAAAGATATCGAACCTTCGGCGTAAAAAAGTGAAAGCCCGCCGATAGAGTCGCCGTAGGCATACAATCCAAACTCTTCATTCACATCCGGAGCATCACGGGTGGCCAATGCAGAGGCCGAGCCTATAAGGCCGAGAGCCGCAAGAGTGATCGAAGAAATGAACATTGAGAATTTGAGAAAAGTGATGGAGAAAAAAATTTGAAGGAATGAATATTCAAGCTATAAATATCGGTGGTCTAAATATCTTAGCTGTAGATTCGACCAAGTTCATTAGTACTAGGAGCGCGGTATTTAAAGCGTTGGACCGTGTCAGGCTACCCGTTAGGCAATAGTATAATAGTCTAATAAACTCAATTCGGAGACATCGGGCTATCGCGAATACAATTGACCTATTGCACCTTGAATGTTTACGTTGATAGTGCGGGAGAATTTGATACCCGGGCCGCGCGTTAGCTGACGTCTGTCTCGGTATTGCTGCGGGTACCTGAAGCCACCCGGCTCGTCCCAGTAAGCTTATGGGGAAAGGTAAAGCTTAGTGTTATTTTGCCCCATGATAATAATTCTGAGTATTACGGGCTTGGACGCAGTGGTATCAAGATGCTTGTTTCCAATGCGCTTTAAGTTCCCGACCTTGCAAATATAGAAGACAATTATCTCAAGAGACAAAATCTCATCATTGATTTATGGAATTGATAGGTACCAGAATAAAGGTTTGAAATTGTTTCAAGCAAACACCTTTCGAAACATCAGGTTCTTTCACTGATTCTGATGCCGCGCAATTGTACTTCTAAGACCCGTCCAGGTAGGATCCAGACTGCTGCCGGTCCACCATTATGCAGATTTGACCGGATCGGGTTTGCAGAATGCCAACTTTTAGGCCAAAAGTTCAAAAGTCCGGACAAAATAAAAATAACTAGCCAATTGACTTGTCTCCGAAGCCTCTCCGAGTGTCAACGTCAAAATGATTACGCCTCCAAACTTTCTTCGGTGGTCCCTTGGCATGTCATGCATAATGGAAGCCAATAAAAAACGAGATATACGAAACCAAACCTCTCTATCGCATTCAGCCCCACGAGTTGAACGATCATAGGTAATATTATATGGGACACGCGACATAAAAAAGTCCTGCTGTACTGGCCAATGCAACCTATCCATCTTCTATAAAGCTCTGTAGATTATTCAAATGCTCTAGTTGTTCTTTGAAACCAGTCATTCGCTTTCTTCTGCACAATTTCTATACCGAGCCACTACTTATTTTCTTTTACTTTCTTTTTATAAAGTGGCCAAAACTTCTTCGTGCGCCATGAGATACTTCTCATTCTTTGTTGCGCTCGTGGGAGTCGGCTCGGCTACATCTATGCATGGCCGTAAAAATAATCCTTATTGGGCACGACATGTCTCTCACAGGCGCGATACTTGCTCAGGAAACTCCGCTAGCGATAGACAGACTTGGTGCAACTATGATTTGAGCACAAATTACTACGATGTTGTGCCAGATACTGGGGTGACTCGGGAGTACTATTTCGATATTCAAGAGGTCACAGTCGCTCCTGACGGGTACTCCCGAACAGCCATGGCAGTCAACGGCTCAATCCCCGGCCCGACAATTCAAGCTGACTGGGGTGACAATGTTGTTGTGCATGTGACAAATAGCCTTACCTCTGCAAAGAACGGATCCAGTATCCACTTCCACGGTATTCGTCAGAACTACACCAACCCAAATGACGGTGTTGTTTCCATTACCCAATGCCCTACGGCACCAGGCAAAACAACGACCTACAAATGGAGAGCTACTCAGTATGGATCAACCTGGTATCACTCGCATATTGGGTTGCAAGCCTGGGAGGGTGTCTTCGGGGGCATTATAATCAATGGCCCGGCATCCGGGAACTATGATGAGGACAAAGGAGTGTTATTTTTGAATGACTGGACCCATCAAACCGTTGATGAGATGTACGATTCGGCTCAGTCAAATGGACCTCCAACCCTGGACAATGGATTGATTAACGGCACCAACGTATACGGAGACGATAATTCAACAAGCCAAACGGGATATCGTTTTAACACCTCATTTACGGCCGATACATCGTATCGCTTCCGCTTGGTGAATGCCGCTGTTGATACACACTTCAAATTCTCAATTGACAACCATACTCTCACTGTCATTGCCATGGATCTTGTTCCCATCGAGCCTTTCAACACGACAGTTCTGAGCATAGCAATGGGTATGCAAACACTAATCTTCTGTTTTCCTGGAATAGCGCTAACGGATTCGCGTATAGGTCAACGATACGATATTGTTGTCAACGCAGATCAATCCACCGGGAATGAGAGCTTCTGGATGCGCGCAATCCCCCAGTCAGCATGCTCGGATAATGACAGCACGAACAACATCAAAGGAATAGTGTACTACGGCAGCAGTCCCTCGACACCTACCACATCCGCATACTCCTATACAGATAGTTGCGATGATATGGACTCGTCTTATTTGGTTCCCTCCCTATCACAGAGTGCATCGTTGCCGTATTACAATGCTAGTGAGCCTGTCACGCTGGGAACCAATTCTGAGAATTTCTTCCGTTGGAAAATGAATGCGACCTCAATGCAAGTCTACTGGGATAACCCCACTCTGCTCCAGATCTGGAACAATAATACCTCGTTCACCAACACTAGTGGCGTGGTACACCTTCCTCGAGCCGATGAGTGGTCTTATGTGGTGATTGAGACGACCCTTGCTGTTCCTCATCCTATCCACCTCCACGGCCATGACTTTTTCATTCTTGCTCAGGGAATTGGAACATACAGTTCGTCGGACATAACCACTCTAACCAACCCACCACGTCGTGACACCGCAATACTGCCTAGTTCGGGTTACCTTGTCGTGGCATTCAAGACTGACAATCCCGGGGCATGGCTTATGCACTGTCATATTGGCTGGCACACGGAAGAAGGCTTCGCGATCCAGTTCCTGGAACGCTGGGAAGAAGCCCGTAAGCTAATTAACTATAGTACTCTCAACTCTACTTGTGAGAACTGGACTACATATACGACGGAAGCCACGCTTGAGCAGGATGATGATGGAATCTGAAGTTTGGTGTCAGAAGATAGAATAGAGACATGAAGATAGAAATTATGTCGCTCGCTCATTTCAAAAATGCTGTGCCGATATCGTTTGCCGACAAGAAAAGACAAAATATTCCAATTGGCCGCACTTAGAAGCCTCCGCTTGGACGCTTGAAAGGATGGGCCTCAGTACTCCTAAAGTAATTGGTCAGCACCTAAACATGTCACACGTATTTTGATAGTGTTGCTTACAAGACATAGTCATCCAGACTAATATGACTTGGCTCTGAAAATATGAGGTAGAGGTATTTGAGCGTCTCGGCGAGCCAAAAGCTTTCCATCTTGTCACTCAACTGTGGCTCGCTGTCACGAACGTCTTCGATGGACGAATGTCCAAATTTGGTGCGTGTTGCCTTGTCGATGTTCTTGAACATGCGCCATGCGGCATCTTGGAGCGATTTGTCGCCAGTAATTCTGTACATGATAAAGATTGATTCCAGGGCTTCGGGTCTGTAGAAAGGATTGTCAGTTTGAAAGTTTTCTCTCTTTCTAAGAATGATGTCTCACCGGAGCTTGTACGCCGAGTCCCGGAGGACAGTCACGCCTGCTGGGAGGCGCTCATGTTTGATCAACTTCTGCACTTGATGTCGTTCGCTATCCGTCTTCAGCTGGTCTCCCCACACACCTTCATACCACTTGGCATCATCGAACGGGCAGTTGTCCTTGTCGTCGCACGCAGCAACCTCCATTGCTTCAGGCATGATTCCCGTGGGCATGACGTCATAGGACCAGATACAACCGTCGGTAAGCTCTCGTGCGATGGACATGTCCTCGGTGCGATTGAAGATCTTGGCTGCGATACCGACAGTACCGCCTAGGAAGCACTTCAGGTGCTCCTGGAGAAACCGTTCTTGATGAACACTGCCACCTCGATTGACTACCAAGTTTGAGGTGAAGAGGATTTGTTTGTCTTGGTCCTTGAGCATGGGTCGGAATAGCATATGCTTCTTGATCGCTTCGATCGCATCGGTGTACATGTTGCGGTATTGATCTGTCTGCGCACCGAGAAGGATATGCTCTTTTGGCAAGTATTCGTAGGCCGAGTCGGCGCATCCACCGAGAGTGAATTCGGCGTTGTCGAACCAAAGATGATCGGCGTCAACAATTGTCGGCCACAGTCCAGGGAGTCGAGTCTCTTGTTGGTTCTTTTCTAGTACGTCTGTGATCCGCTGAACAGCATCGTAGTACTTTGGGTCGCCGGTCAATTGGGTGAGTCGGGTAAATTCAACCGTCAATGAGGCTAGTTCTGCGAGATTGGTGACTTCACCAGGTTGGATTTCCAGATTTTGGGCCGATTCAGACCACTCCCAGCGCATTTGGGGCATCCGGTTATGCGTATCGAATGCGTTGTAAATCATTTCGCCAAGCTCGACGGCTTTCTGGAGTAGGATGGGATGTTTACCATCAGTAAGGTCGTGAGCTGCAATCATTCCCCCCATATAGCGAATAACAATTTCGAAGACGTTGACGTAGGAGCTCGGAGTAGTCGTGAAATCGATTCGTTTCAACGCATCCAAAGCGATTTCAAATTCGTCATCGAGGCCCATGATGACCAGGGCATCTAAGGAATCGACGAGAGTGGCCCCCCAGCCACTAAATGAATCATCATATCTGCCACTTGACGGCGAGACCTCATCCCGCATCCACGCATGGTCCTTGTATCCACTCCACGCGTGCAAGAATGTTTGTTTTATAGTTTCCCGCTTCTTGAGCCTCGCCTTGCGCTCTCGTCGCGATTCGACAGGAAAGTCGTGTTGAATGCGGGGAATCGATACTGGCGATGTCGGTAGAGGGATGTAGGAGGTAACAGGAAACCTCTCTATTGAGTTATTTATATGAATATTGTTGAGCCGATGCCATTGCTTTTCTATGGCAGTCGGCTGGGCTTTGTGGGAGAAGAGTTGGTGGAGAGGCAGCCAAACAAGAAAAAAGTAGGCGACTAAAAGAAATAATATCGTGGTTGTGAGAGAGCGACCTTTGCGGTTGGATATCATAATGAAGGTGGGATAATGCTGCAAAACTGTGAAAAATAACTCGATGAGATTTTATAAGGAATGACAATCATGGGATGATTATAGCGATGGTGGGAAGGAGTGTACAAGCCATCAACAGCTTCAAAAAAAAAAAAAAAAAGAGAGCAACGGAGTCAAGAGGTAGACAGTCTATCACATCGCACAGGTGGAGAAGAAGACATCTGAACACGCGAGAACGCTAGAAATTCCCCAGAGCAAAAGCTAGCTAGGGATGACAGAAGTGCAACCATGTGGGAAAATCACGTCAAGAATTGTCTTTGAGGGGATCGGAGGGCGCAAGGTTTGTGATGCTCCGTTGATCGACAGGGTTGTCTCTGATAGTCGTTTGACACGCGTCCCCGGGTCCAAAGATACAACAGCAGAGCGATGATTGGAGAGATTTGGCATGTAAAGGGGCCGCAATGTGGCTCCCTACCCGTGCAAGCAAATGATATGCGATCTCCTACGTAAGGAGGAGCTCTCAGGGTCCAAACATGTATTCTTGGGATGTGGCGTTTTTATGTGCAAAGTCTAGGCCTGTCTAGCCATAGCTGTACTGTACGGAGTACATAGCTGCCATATTAAAAAGTATCCGCAACATTGGCCCGTGAGCTGCTGTCAGTACAGACCTCGGGCCCCTGTATCTGTCTTGATCGGGTTAAAAGTGGCCCAGCCGATGGCTACGGGGTTTTCAGGCCAGTGTGGCGGAGCTGGTCAATCTCTGTGGGTCGGTTCTCGTTTTTGTGATGACACGATTGGATTGAATTGCAGGTTAACTTTGCTCTATGTACTTGAGGATTTACAATTAATCCGATGGTATGGGGAAATTGAAACTATCGTTATGGACAATCTCTTCACTCTGCTAACTACATAAAACCTAACATCAATGTCATTATAGAGTACTCTGGCTAACAAGGAGAACCTTGGAAGTTGAGAAATGTTGGTTGCCTAGTGAATCCTGCCCGACTCCACTTTGTGAGCTCATAAGCCGTCACGGTGTTTAATGTCAGATCGCTGATGATCTTGACGCATCTGAAGTTAAGAGTCTTGCCAGTGTATTCATTTAGACGAAAGTAATCACAATTTACGAAATCAATTGACATTTCTGAATCCGGGATTTCTAGTAAAGGGGTCATAAATCATCACTTCTATCTGGCGGTCTATATTCTGCGGTCCGCCTCAAGAATGAACAAGTCTTTCGACACGGGTCAACTGGCTACCACGAAGCTAAGCAAGCTACCAGCAGCCAGGCCTCCGACCAGCATCGTGCCCATAAATCCTCCCGCCGCATGCCGTTCATCTGCAGATACCCAAAAGCTAGCACCCATCATGCAACTCGATGCCAGGTATCCGTTGGTTATGCCAAAGAAAAATTGCACAATGAAAAGATAGAAAATGTCACTTTTCACCGACGCTCCTTGGCCATTGATGTTGCATAGCAGATAAAGCGGGATGAACCCAAGTCGCAAGAACGACAGAACGAGGGCTAGCCACGGGCGGTGGCTGAGAGACAGCTGCGGAATGGCCACAGCAATTCGCCCGGCAAGATCACCGATGTTCCAGAATAGAAACGCGAGGGGAATGAAGACTGGGGCATCGTACAACCGCGATTTGCTCGGGTCATTGACCGAAAGAATTCGGGAAGTGTATACAGGGAAGATCATCATAGTGACAGTGAAAACCAAGAACACGGCACAGGCCAAATGCCGGAGTTTAAGAAACAGGGTCCAAAGACTGACGGATTTGTCTTCGGTGCCCTCAACCAGAGCCGTATCCTCATCGTCGTCATTGTTGGTTTTCGGGTTGGGACTCGGTCGGTTCCTGAGGAGGTACAAGAAAACCAACAATGTAAGTACGGAGACACCAGTCGCAGTGAGGAAGTAGATGAATGCGGATTTCGGCGAAGATCCCTGCGGCCCACCAGAGGCATTCTTTGGCACTGCCAAAACAGAGAGAATTTGTATAATGCACGGCAAGACACCGGAGATACCCTGTCCACTCATGATAGCTTGCATATATTCCTCCCGACCAAAGCCAGCGACATAGGCGAAAACGCCGTTTTGGTTGAGTCCGGTGGCGAAGCTAGTCCCAAAAACCATGACCATAACGAAAGCAAAGTATACCTTAACAGAAACATCTGTCAAAAGGACCGTGGAGAAAGCCAACAAGGTGAAGATGGCGCTGTTGATCAGCAGCGAGAGTGTAATTCGCCACGGGTAGGAAACATTTTTCTGGATTCGGGCAAAGGTGTATGCGGAGGCGAGGTTGGTGACGGTCGAAACGGACAATATGGAGGACTGGTAATGTGTTGCAGCCCATTCATTCGATTCAAAGCGACTGTGGAAGTACGGTGCGGCGGCGAGGAACATGTTCCTTCACGATGTTAGTTAAAGCGACAACATGAACGAAGCTCATGCTCTTGTCCGTAACTAGGAGAGGAGAGCACATAGAGTAGCACTTACCAGGCCCATAGCATCGCAACTCCTAGTATGAAGAAGACAGCATACTCCAGCCTCGAAAAGCGAGCCCATGGCCGTTGTCGTTCCTCTACCGATCCGGCGTCATCTTCCGGTGAATCCTCCAGTGGCTCGTATGCTGGAGTTTTAGCGATAACTCTGCGCAAATAATCCATAGTGTCGATATACCACAATCCTCCTCCAGGTTTGGGGCTTGGAGGGATCGCTTATGTTGAAAGTCACAGTCCACGCGGGTTGCGCAGGTGAGCTGCTATCGGAGACGTCCGCGTAGTCCGCGGATGATTCAGCGGGGGCGGCACCTGACCAGGCCAAATGCGGAGACTGATGTACATATGATGGATTGGCGATCTACACACCGATGTATTACATATGGGAGAGTCACTTATAGTCAAATTTATTTCAATGTTTATACACAGTATAGTGTCCGTTTAATATCTATCGCCAAAGAAAACCCCATATAAAGGCTGAGGCGCATAAGAGAGAAAGAGGAGGGGGGAGGGAAGAGAGTATCCAAAAAAGAGTAGCCCAGTCGGGCGCTGTTAAACATGTAATTGTGAGCGAGTCTAGTCCCTCTTCTTCTTCTCGGACTCTGACTCCTCTACTTCGTCTTCTTCGAGTTCCGGCTCAGGCTCCGTTTCCTTTTGGAGCTTGTAGAGTTCGTCGGGTTCAACGGACCGAGTAGGCGGGTTTTGGGCCTCCCCGCCGCTCAACTGCCATTCCATAAGCTTGGTGAAAGCTCCATCGGGGCGAGAGCTGAGCTCTTCATAGCTGCCTTGCTCTGCGACAGTGCCGTCGTTGCCAAGGACAATAATGGTATCAGAGCGTTTGATCGTTGAGAGACGGTGAGCGATGCTGATAGTGGTATTGTTACCCCGGAGAAGAGCGGCAAGCGCGCTGTTAACGAGTGTCTCGGACTCAGCATCCAGGGCGGAGGTAGCCTCATCCAGAATCAAAATGTCAGGCTCCTTGATCAGGGCACGCGCAATGGCAATTCGCTGTTTCTGTCCACCCGAGAGCTGGGCCCCGCGGGCTCCAACGTGAGTGTCGAGGCCATCAGGCTGCAAGTGGTATTAGTATGAGGGAATGCATGTGGCGCATTGATGGAAAACTTACGAAATCACTGATGAACTGGCAGTTGGCCTGGCGGGCAGCAGCAATGATCTCCGACCGTGTGGCGTGAGGGCGACCATAGGAAATGTTGTCTGCGATGGTTCCTGAAAAGAGCACAGGTTCTTGGGCAACCACGCCAATCTTGCGACGAAGAGACTTGGCATTCATTCCACTGACATCTTTGCCATTGATCAAGACACGACCCGCGGTAGGGCTATAGAACCGAAGCAGGATAGACGCAATGGTGGATTTACCACCTCCAGAGGGACCAACAATGGCCACATTGGTACCTTGAGGGATCTCAAAATGGAGGTCTTTGAAGATAGCCACGGCAGGGCGAGTAGGGTAGCTAAAGGAAACATTCTCGAACCGGATCGGCCCGCGAGCAGACTCCACCTTGAGTCCCTTTGTCGGGTGGATCGTCGGTTGTCGGTCTTGCAGTTCGAACAGTCGGCTTGCAGCACCGACACCTTTCATCAGCTCGGAGTAAAAGCTTGACAGACCAAACATGCTCGAGCCAGCGTAGGCAGTGTACATCAAGAAAGAGGTTAGCTCTCCAATGCTGATAGCTCCTGATTGGACCATGCCAGCTCCCACGTAGAGAAGACTCAAAATCGTCATATTGCCCATCAAGCCAGTCTAAAAGTTGTTAGTTAATCGTTGAAAGATAGGCGCCGCTGGGGTTGCTTACTGTACTGAAAAAGGTCGCACTGATCAGAGACTCCCGTTTTCCGAGATCGAAAATCTTGCGAACTTGGGTGTTGTAGCGGTTAACTTCCTGGACTTCAGCTGCAAAGGATTGACTAGTTTTCACATTTCCCAAACGCTCCTCGGCAATTTTTGTCAAACTACCAAGGTTCTTCTGGATCTTGCGACTGAGATTTCTGATTGCCCGTCCATAAAAGAGAGCGCCAAGTCCGATCGGTGGCAAGAGTATAGCCAGGATACTTGAAAGCTTCAAGCTGGTATATGCCATCAAACCGAAGCCTGCGAAACCGCTGACACCAGCCCGCAATCCATCTGATAGGTTCTGAGTGATACTTTTACCAACAATAATCGTATCCGAGCTCAGGCGAGAGATCAGATCACCGACTCGGTTGGCATCAAAGAATTCGGCATCTTGAATGAAAGTCTGGCGGAAAAGCTTCGAGCGGAGTCTCGCAACAATACGCTCACCCACGATTCGAAGAATGATTATACGGCCGTAGTTGGCGGCGGCACCAATGAGAAGAACTCCACCCAGAGCAGTATAGAACATGGGCATGCTCAAACCAAACAATTGACCACCGCCCTCTTCGACGCTCTTGGTAGCTCCATCCATGATCTTTCCAATGGAGAATGGGATCGACATAGTAATAGACGATGACACCAACAAGAAGAAGAATGCGAAACCAAGCGCTTTGGCTTCGGGTCGTGCAATCTTGAATAGTCGCCAAATCTCCGCAAATCCAGACTTCTTGCCCGAGGACCCATCCTTCGCCAATTTGGCTCGTAAATTTACTTGCGCTGCTTGCGCGGCTCTCTCGGAGAGCTCGAATCCTTCCTCTTCCTTCTTCTCTGCTTCCGGGGTGGCAGCGCCATTGGATTGAGTCGAAGTGGAGTCTGAAGACGGTGATGGAGGTTTCGCTTGGAGGAGTCGGGAGGTAGAGGATAGAGATCGTGTTTGGTAAATAATCCGAGAAGTGGAAGTGGTATGTGTGAAGCCATTCCGACGCTGCGAAAACGGAACCTCGGCTGGCCGGGGAAACCCCCGGGAGCGTCATGAAAGACCCCAGAGGCGGTTGAGAAGAGTCGGTTGGCAGCATTGAAGTCGCCAGGCCGGGATACCGTAGTGTTCGATTGCGTGAAGAGCTGGCGCAGAGCAGGGCTCTGTCTCACCGTCGGCCGAGAGCAGACACCCGGCGCCCAGGCCGACAACCGGAGGACGCGCATCGTCGGAGTGTGTCGATAAAAAGGAGGGAAATAGGAATAATGATATCACCGAGAATCACGGAAGGCCATTATCTCAGAGGAAAGCTCTCGCAGTGGCATTCCAACTTGTGAAGAACCTCGTCCCCGTAGCATGTGGAGGTCGGAAAGTCGGACAGCCGGGGGAGGTTCACCCCAAGTGCTCGCTTAGTCATTTTCCAGCCCGTCGTTGCCCGTGGAAGCTCCTCGAGCTGTTGAGCCACTTGCGCCTTGTTTTTTTCTTCTTCTCTAGTCTGATATTCATTCTGAGGATTCTTCCTAACGTGGATTAATTCTATTATCTGTCACCACTGCTATCTATACGCTTCCCAGAGATTCGCGCAAACCTCCGTTTGTCATTACATTCCTCTGAGGCTCTGACCATCCCACCATACCCCGCCGCCCACCTCGTGTTACTCACAAGATGGTCCTCGACTACAGCAAGTGGGATCAGCTGGAGCTTTCCGATGATTCGGATGTCGAGGTTCACCCCAATGTCGACAAGCGCTCATTCATCCGCGCCAAGCAGGCCCAGATCCATCAACAACGTGAACAGCGCCGCCACGATATCAAGACCCTGAAGTACGAGCGCATTATCAATGACGGTCTACTTTTGCGCATCGACAAGCTCCTCGAAACTCTTAAGAAGCACGAAGACACCTCTGCCTCCCCCGATCAGTTCCTCTTCGAGACCATCATGGAGTTTGCCAGCAAGCCCGCGGAGGATCAAGCCCCACCTCCACGGAGGGGGTTCATACACACGAGAAGGAACAGCCAAAATACTCACAGATGATGGGTGCTCTTGTGGATCAGGTCAAGCAGGAGTTTGAGGACTCCAAACCCGACAGTCTAGTCAAGGCATATATCCAAGGTGTGACGGGACACAAGACTAAGGTGCAGGATCTGCAGAAGGAACTGTTGACAAAGCTTGCCGAGCTTGAGAAGGAGGAGGGAAGCAAGATTACCAGCGATACACTGCACGAAGGCTTCAATACTTCCCATATCACAAAGGCTGCAGAGAAGGAGAAAGAGAAGGCCGCCGCTTCGGGAAAGCAAACAGAGGTTGAGTTGCTCAATCCCGCCTCGTCGAGCCAGGCTTCCAGCGGTGCAGCCGACTATGATGACGAAGACGACCCCGCGAATGTTGAGATCAGTGAGCTGGCCAAGAAGTTTGCTGCTCTCAAGCCCAATGACTACAACTCCTACCTGTCATTTATCTCTGCCAATCCTCAAATTGTCGCCGAGAAGGAGACGGATGGTCTTCTTGTTGAAGCTTTCAACAGCCAAATTAAGGGTGATGAGGCCTATGCCCGTCAATGTGTTCATCAAGGACTGCTCCTGCAGTATTGCCGATCCCTCGGCCCTGATGGTATCAAGCTCTTCTTTACTCGGTACGTCTATCAACCACATGTGCTCTAGTGAAGTCTTACTAATAACATTACAGCATCACCACACAGGCCCACCGTGCCTCCACTCTCTTCAACAACGATGTCAATGATACCTATAACCGTATCAAGACCCGTGCAGTAGAACTCAGCAAGGATAGCTCCGCATCCAACGATCCAGCTGGTGTGGAACAGATCCAACTGCACGCTGTTGATCCCAACACTAAGATCACTATCAACCTCCCCGCTGCCAACAGTCAAGACCCCACAGAAGTCGAAGCGCGTAAGATCTTCGATGCTTTCCCTGCAGACCTACAGAAGGCGTTGGCCAGTGAGTCACTAGACGAAGTGAACAAGGTCCTCGGCAACATGTCAGTCGATGATGCAGAGGTTGTCGTTGAGCAGCTGGGAAATGGCGGCATGCTCAGTCTTGAGGAGGGCATCATTGACAGCACCACGGAAGAAGGCCAGGAGAAGCTGAAGGAGCTTGAAGCTGAGGGCAAAGAAGATGTCGGGGAGCCGGGCGGCGATGTTACGGAGTTGGATTGAACATAAAAGTGCTACCTCTAACCTTTGAAACGCGATAACTGAATACATGCAAACATCCTTCATAAGCATCTGAGAGTCTTTTAAATAATCCAGTCTAGTGTAATAGTGTAATGAGGACAGGGTCCGTGGATACTCATTATCACGAACCTATAGTAAGGCCGCACTACTCCACTCAAGCTCTAAAACATACTACCAGTGATTAATTATATTATACTACTGTCAAAAATGGTTATTCATTATAGGGGGTAATTTCTAACTTGTAACAGCCTGAGACTAGCATGCTATGGTGGATCAGCACCCAGGTGGTCGGCGCCAACAATCATGTTAGTGTTTCGGAGCAACTAACATGAAACTTCCGAGACCATCTCTCACTGTCGGAGAAATACTCGATGTGAACATCGGAGAAATATATCATAATTTCCAGCATAGTGCGACACGGAGTAATCATGAATTGCTGGAGCAAAAGGATTTTCCCATTTAAAGTCCCTTTACAAGGCTTTCTATCCCACTCCCGACTGCAAAACAAAATACAGCCTCGTGAACAGCAACAATGAACACTCTCGGAAATATTGCAGCCCTCGCCCTCATCGGCTTTGTCAGTGCCCAAGACACTGTCGGATTTGGACCTGCCTTCTCTCTCGGCCCTACACAGTCATGGATCCGCGAAGCCAACACCACACTGGTCCTTCCCGAAACCCCAAGCCCCCAGAAAGACCGTCTCGCCCTGTGGCCTGGCATGGGGACAAGTGGTGGTGACTTGATCCAGGCTCTCGCTGTTTCTTTCTCCGACCCTAATGCGTAAGCCAATCAAGGAGAAGTTTCATGCGAGCACTGGCTAACTTTCCATAGTAATTGTGGAGCGACATCCGGGCAATGGTGCACCTGGGCTAGTACTCTTCAAGGAGAGCAGCTCGGTGGGAAGCAGGTCCCTGCTTCTGCCGGTGATGAGCTCACAATGCACTGTAAGAATTTTCTCGTTCACTATCCAAATTTTCCGGGGCTAACAGGAAGATAGACAAGTACAACGATGACACCGGCAAATATGACCAAACGGTCTACATCAACGGGGAGAGCGTTTCTACTCTTTCGACTAGTAAGTATTCTCTTTTGTCTAGATGAGCTCTATGCTCAAGCTAATTCTCGTTTTAGGCTCTGGACAAGCTCAGGGTTGGGGCACTGCTGTCGAGTGCCAGGATGATGCATGCCAAAGCACCACTGCAGCACATGGTGAGTTGCCAGCTCTGTAAGAATTCATACCTGGATCCAGTGCGCTAATAGACATGCTTCTTGCAGAATACCTTGACACCACTATCATCTTGAATGCTGCTGACTCTACCTTTGCTGGTACCTTGGGTCTCAATGAAGCCACCTCGTCCGGTCTGAAAACAACTGATAACAAGGTCTACACTGTGTCGAGCATCAAGATCCAATCTCACACTTATAACCTGTGATTGTGATTATTCGTCCAATTTGAGCATTTCTGTAACAATTATCACTTGAATATACTAGTATTTTATTATCGCAATGTATACGTTGACAACTATGGAAGTGTCATGTCTATTGACTCTGCTTTGCTTCAGAAGAAAGGATGATGTATAGAAGAGGCTAGTGATGGACACGCCTTTCTGGGCTATGTTGATTTAGTATTAAATAATGGAACCTAGGCATAAAGCCTGGTTTATGCGAGCAGGGGAGGTCCCTCAAGGTTCATCATTTTAAACAAGCTAAACTCCGAAGTGCGGCAGTGCATCTGACGTCAAAAAGGGTGCATTGTCTCCAATCTACGCCAGGCGGCTTTAATGATCATCATCTGCGTTCTTCTCACACTGCATGAGACTGGGTAGCCGAAAGTTTTATGAAATCTAATCATCCTTTGCGTATTCCGTGATCCGATTGTTCTGTTTCATCTTTCTCGCAGCGGTGTACATCTTCTGCATAGTATCGATATACTTGTTGACATTTTCTTCATCATCACCTATAGGGAATTAGGAGACGAAGTACCAGAGAACTTAAGTAAGGGGACTCACCGGCATATTCGCTAATGAGGTAGATGAACTCCGCCGTATGAAGCTTGCTTGGATCTACCGCTGAGATACACATAATGTCTGGCGCAAATAAGGTCAGCGAGTACTAAACATCCTTTTGCTAGTGTGGCAAGACTCACATCCGAGGACGCTCTTGTACTTGCTTGAAAAGCCCTCTCCGGAAAAATTCCAGCGCCACAGCTTTTTGTCATAAAGTTAGCAATCATCTGAATACGGTAAATTGATGGGCTGGCGTATGTACCTTTACATCGACTCTGATGATGGTGTTGTGAACCATGTAGACGAAGAACTTCTCCTCCGAGAACTCTCCTACCTCCACGTTGCCGAGGAAGACATTAAGAGCTGTTTTAACGACGCCCTGGTATTCTTTTAGCATTCTTTTCTGACTATACGTACCATCGAGTGCATACCTTGAAGCCCTCTTTCACTGCATTGGAGGTCTTTTCTCCTCCGGCGCTGAAGAATTGGTCGACGGTCTCACTGATCGAATCCGCTGGCTATGCAAAGTTAGCTTTCCTTCAGCTTTTCTTTATAGAGAGTATACTAACATTGTCGGAGATTTTAGTCAGGGAACGTCGTTCCCACCTGAGGGCGCGAATACCCGGAACCTGGGTCTTGGACGTCGCGTCTGGATTCAAGAACCGTCTGTTTGTAGAAAGTTGAGTGAGAACCACTACACAGCCATAAAAGGATCTTCCATCTTACTTACTCATTAATCTCAAACTGAAATTCATTCAGTTTTGAATCGACAAGCTTTTGAAGAATGTCAAGCTCCTGCTTTGCCTTTTCTTCGGCAATCTTGTCCGCCTCCTTGACGGACTCTCTCATGGCAGAAATAGCCTGTCCCATGTTGAAGAAGAGGGAAGAACTGAAAGTTCAAAGATGTTCTGCTAGAATCTTTTGGGTATGATATTATTCAAATGAGCGGTTTACGGGCAATCGGTGTCTTTTTATAAATAATTTGTCGACGTGCGCTTCCAACACGCCCACGTTCAAGTTCGATAGAAGAGCCCATAGTTTGTCAATCAGTGCCACGTCGCCTGCTACACCCTCCGAATTAAGCTCATCTAAACCAATAAATTTCATGACACTTCGCCTATTTTGACTCAAAAGGTTGGCTGGTAAGCATCCACCCATCGCTTGAAAGCTCAATGTGTTGAAAGCTTTAGGCCTCAGGCAATGGTCTTCCCCTCATCCCCCGCTCAGTGCACTTCTTTTCTTTCAAAGTAATTTCTAGAGAGTAAAAGTCTATCGATGTTTCTCTCCCTTTTTCTCATCTGACATTCAGTTTGATTTGTCAAACGTTTATCTATTTTTCTTTGTCGGTGTTCGCCCTTATTTCGAATCTGATGTATACTGGACTTCTAATTCTATCTGGACGAAAGCCCCAGAAAAAATATAGAACGCCGTACTATACTATTTGGTGGAAAGTAAGTGGACAACAGGTCAAACACCTTTTAAGCTCTGGCGGCTAGCTGCCGAAGGTTGGCATGGTTTAGCACACAACATACTAACCTTCAACAGCATCTATTGCTCAGCGGGCCATGGGAAATGTCCAGAATCGGCGCAGCCGAGTGGCTTGAATAGCCTCGGGTATTATGTCTTCGGTCTTTCAACATATAATACTCGTAACGGAGACAAAGTCTAGTAACTTGATGCTGCGCCCCTGGGAACTGTGGGGTCGGAGTGGCGGTTCTTCAGGGCCGTGCCGTTCACCGGGTAAGACCGAGGAGCTTGAACCTGTTCTTGCTTTGGCAGGATGACCTTTTGAGCAAGCCAAGAAGATGCAATTGACCAATTCATTCGAGACGAGATGGCAAAACTTTCCTGCGATTTTGAAATCAGATGATGCGCCATAAAGCTCGACCCGAAGCGGTACTCGAATAACACATGAAGATTTCCACGACGCCACTGTGTCAAACTCTCAGCCAGAACGCCGGCTTGCATAACTGAAATCACATAAAAGTTAGATATCTAGCTATGGCGCAGATAGTCATGTCCGGAGTTCCCGTCGTTTGAAGTTGTTCGCATTCCAGACAAAGAATGGTCATACATCGGCCTTTTAAGATATAAGTCCCCTCGTTTCCACAGTTGAAATCCATCAAAGAAACTTGAAGAGTCTTCATATATTCGCTCCGTCTTCCTTATATGACACAGATGAATAAATAATTCGCCGCTTTTCTGATCATATTATCATATTTTTCTCCATTGAGGAGCTTGTGACCTGGGGCGAGCCCCTGGGAGCAATGAGCTAACTTCTGGGGCTTCCCCGAGACCAACACGAACGATATGAGAAACAACTCTCACGGTGTATCGGTCTCGCTATTTCCACACGAAGAGAGGTAAACCTGCAACAATATTTCGAGCATGATTTCGTAAGCAAAATTTTTACCCTCGCCCTGGAAGTACTGCCACTCAGATGTCCATCCCGTCATGTAAAGCAGCTCAATGATCTGGGCCAGATTGAGGAGCTTGTCAGGAAGATCCATCCCACGGCCAACGGGACTGGGCACGCTGTTAGCGCCATTTTCAGCAATTTGATGCAAGAGGGCCCCGTATCCTGGAGTAGTGTTGTTGTTGTAGTAACGTCTAGTAAGTAGTAACAAGATGTCTCATATTTGCCATTTGCTTGTTTGGCAATTACTACAAAGCTATATCCATACCAGTGGATTGTCTGGGGACAGTACTAGGATTAACCTACTTCCAACCCCCAGAGCAATCATGCAGAAACTGATTTAGCATTGGCATGATCTATGGACCAGAGTTCTGATATACCGGTCTGTTCGAAGTTTGGGGTGTCATCATCGAGTGAGTATTCCCAGGTTCTGACTGTCAACCCTTGGGGTTTGAACTAGACCCGTGGACTATTATAACTGCACGTTTTAGCAGGATACAACGGATAAATCATGAGTACTGGTATTGACGATGCCATCAGTCTGAAATATTTAAATTACACATACCCCTTGGAGGCTTCGCTGCATGGAGAGAGAAGAAAAATTCAATAACAGGACAGGGTAAAATAAGAAAAGGAAAAAGAAAAGAGAAAAAAATAAACGAACACCTCTAAATCCAGACTGACGCATACTGCTGTATGGCTAAAGAAAAGAGCAGCAGTTCCTCAAGTTCACCAGACGCCCAGGCGTCAATGATCCGTGTCGGGTTCTGACATTTCGCATCTCACGTTCCCCCAACGTCCACCCATTTAACTCAAAACGTAAAGCAACCTAGATCCCGCTGGCGCCTGGGGCTTCCTGGTCTTTCCGCAATTCGACGAGCAACTCGCGGAAGCGCTCCTTGCCAGAGCCGCTGCCACCGCCGACGGAGCCCTTGCCGGAGACATCGACCAGCTTGGCAATGCGCTCCCAGCTGGTACCACCGGCAGAGGTGTCTTCGCGGTTGGCGAGGAATTGTTCGGCTTCGGTCTTGGTCTGGGCACGGTGCTTGTCGGCCTTGTTGTTGTATGAGACGTAAAAATCATCGACGTCCTCCTGGGCCTTCTTGACGGTAGCCTCCTTTTTCTCGTTCGAGACCTCTGCGCGCCGGGCGATCTCGGCATCACGCTTCTCGCGCCATTCACTGTACAAAGAGAATCCACCCGTTAGCTTGATCGTATAGAAAAGCGGGACAAGGGGGAACTGTAAACAGTACGCGCCCTGCCAGGTGAGGGGTTCCTCGGACTTACCGGACGGGCTCCGCCTCTGTCTCGGGCTCCTGAGTACTGGGGTATCCGGTGGGAGGGAAAGGAGATCCAGTGCCTGTGATGGTACCACCGGGGGCAACGCGCTATATCAATTAAACATCCCGTCAGCATATCTCCTTGGATTTCTAGGGGAGGGACATAACATCTAGCTCATACCTCATTCTGGTTCTGGGTCTCCACTGATGGGAATGAGGATTCGAATCCACCTAGGTCCTCCGCGGGGGTATCATTGCTTCCACCGCCAAGCAGGTCATCATTGCCGTCGGCGGCGTGGTCTTGAGGGGTCGCAAATTGGTCGGCGTCTTCACCCAGAGCGGCGCGCTCACGGGCCAGAAAGTCGTCCTGGCCGACGCCAGTGTTATCAACAGCCTCAGTTTGGCCTGAAGAGATAACAATGTCAGTTCATGATTTCGCGGATGGGGGGTCCTCGTGCAGGTGGGTGGAGTGTACCTTCAGAGAAGTCCTCCAGAGAAGGGAAACGGTCAGCCATGTCGCCGAATGGGAATTTGCTTTTTTGAGGTAGTGTAAAGAGAAAATGAACGGGAAGAAATTGAAAGCAGATCCAGAGAAAAGGTCGGAGATGTAAATGGGAAAGCAGAAGTGAGTGTTGAAGTGACAGTTGTTGCCCGGCGAGACCCCCGGAGTGCCCGTCCGTCACTGGCAAAGGCGGTGAGAACAGCTTGCCTCTTCAATATGACACAGCTTCACCTTTTCCTTTCACTGCATATGATCTTCACAATTGGTCTGGCTGTTTCTGTTCGTGCCTGTCCGGTCTGATATAGCTGGTGTTTATATTTTGACGGTGACACATCCTTATAACCCCGGTCCCACACGTCGCAGCCTGGCTACACCTCTTCACGTTTGCTATTGTTGCTCTTGCGATAACAGCTCCACACACCAACAACCCTCTTCAATCTCTCTTTTCTTACTCACAAGGCTCGTATTGATTGCCAAACATGGCATACACGGATGATGCCGTTAAGGCAAAGCTCTCTACTCTGAATGAGACCCAGGAAAGCATCGTTACTGTTGCTCAATGGGTCATGTTTCATAGGTACACTCTTGAGGTCTTTCGCTGTATTGTGACAACGCTAATCTGGATCTCTACTCAAAGGCGACACGCCGATCGAACAGCGCAAATCTGGCTTCAAAAGCTTCGTGATGCGCAGCCCCCGAAGCGACTTAGCCTTGTTTACCTCGCTAATGGTACGTGAAACCTCCAATCGCATTGCTGTTGTATCCAACTAACGACTACCCGAAGAGGTCGCCCAACAATCGAAAGCCCGAGGAAGGGGCGAATTCCTGGATGCCTTTGCGCCGGTGAGTTGCTGTCATTGTGGTTGGAAAATTCGGAAGTCAGGATTGACAAGAACATAGATTATCGCCGAGGCCTCGGCCACGGCATACAGAGGCTCCTCGGTGGATATCCAAGGGAAACTACGTCGGGTGATTGAAGTATGGAGGCAGCGCAATGTGTTTGATGTACCGGTACTCGATGCAATCGATGCCCGTGTGAACGGTAAGCTCCTTCGTAGCTCTTCGAAGCGACTTGCACTAGGTTTCTGACTTAGATCCGATTCCAGATATCGACAAGACGCGGTCTACGACCAAGAAGCAGCCTCTCGGGGGCTCCTTTTTCAAGGACGCTTCGAGCGGATCAACCCCAGCCGAAATCCAGCCCCTGGTTCCCTTGCAAGTCGCCCTTACCAAAGCCGCCATGTCCTCGAATACCTCGGCCGCGACCGCAAATGCGGAGTTCGAAAAGCTTCAGAACCCCGAAGACCAGCCACTTCCTCCTGTCCACGCAGCTCGCCTCAGTTCCTTGCTCAAGACCCTCGCCAATGCCGAAAGCTCTGTGTCGGAAGTGATCAAGTCGCGACGAGCCTTGATCGACGGACTTGAGAAGCTTCTTGCGACGAACCGCACGGAGCTCGCAAAGGAAGAGACCTTGGCCATTGAGCTGACTGAGAAGAAGACAGAAACGGATTCCAAGAGGCGCGACGTTGAGGATGCAATTGTTCGTGGGTTCACGGACGAGAGCGCCGGTGGTCAAAACCAAGGCGGCGATGGTGGAGATTATGCCCGACCCGAGGTAGAAGCATTGACTCCTCCGCCGGTGGAAGCCCTCACCCCAGTAGGGTCTCCCAAACCGGAGCAGGCACATGCACAGGCTAGCCATGGTCCCTTCTCAGAAGAGCCATCCGTCCCCTTGCCTGACGCCCTTGTCATTCCCCACATGGGCCAGCCTGACAATGAAATTTCCTTCCCAGATCCATCGGACCTCTCACCTGGCGGGGGTAACGACTTTGATCTCAGCAACAGTGCAGCCAAACGGCGTAAAGTAGCCCACAGTGAGGAGGATTATGCACAGTTCGCGAATGAGGATCTGGATGCGGATGTGGCAGAGCTGATTGCACAGCAAGGGCAGCAATGAGCATAAGCGGAGGCTTATTGCGCACTTCTTTCTTTCCTCTCAGATTCTACCTGTACGCAGGAGCCTTCTGTTTTGCGTTTATCTATTTGTCCTAAATGGTTCACGCGTGGTACATACTGCGTATTTCTGTACCTAGGGAGGGACGATGATCTTGTTATGAAAATACATCCAATGGATTCCATTTTCAGATTACGTCACAGTTTACCTATGCTTTCTTGCCCATACTAATACTAATAATATTAGTAGAGGATAAGTATTTCAAGGTTGCTACGAGCGGACTGGTCGGGAGGTATTCAATGTATAATGATACAATGGTCATTCGGCGCTTCTCTATTAACTATGATACTATGAAGAAGAATGAGATCGTTATCGGAATATATCCGGGTCCATCCACCTGTCTCTTGCAAATCGCCTTGACGACGAATGTCTTCTAAGACGATCTACCGACGCTATCACAGCGCGAATATTGTTGGAACTTTCATCCTCAGGTGGTGGGGATGGCGAGCTACTTTTCTTCGGCTTAATGACTAAGAGGATGATCAATCCAATAACCACAAGCGCCAATAATAACATCGCCTTCCGCTTGGTAGTCCGCCGTTGATAATTAGTGGCCTGCGAAAGCAAGTTAGAGCAGCTCTGGCCGATTGAAAACAAGTGAGAAAGCATCACTCTATAGAAGGAGACTTACCACTTTCAGTTCCGTATCTGCGGACTTGACATCAGTGTTCATTTTCTCGACATTGTAGTCGATGCGGTCGAGCATGGTCCCTTGGTCGATAATCATGCTTTGAAGTTCGCGGAAGATGTCGGACAGCTCGATGATACCCTTGGCGATGTCATTGATTTCCCGCTCACGTTGCGCGATCGCGGCATCATTTACGCCCGCTTGTCGTTGCGACGTCTGCATTAACATTGTCTGCGAGAAAGATTTGTCTGCGTCCGACTCCATCAGAGAGGGATCTGTATACGGGTTTTGGGCGGGCGTAGGTGCGCTATCGAATGGCGTTGAGATGCCGTCCAGGTCTCGGAGTTCTGCAAGGTGAATCGCCAGTCAGTCGTAGTTCCCTCGTTGATCATGGGGTATCTGGGAGGATCCATACTTCTCAAATACGTGCTCTGTTTCTTGCGGAACCTGGCACTGGATTCCTGAACCCTTTGTGCTAAGGAGATCTGGATATTCTTCGCCATGGTCTCCTCGCCGCTCGTGACACCAACCTGTTCACGAACCATGGCCTCAATCCGCTGGATAGCCTTCTGGCAATCGTGGAAGCTCCGGGTGATATCCTGCGTCAGACGCTCGATGGTGCCTTCGTCCTTTCTGCGTACATCTTCGTCTCCGAACCCAGGCAGTAGGTGCTTCTGATGCAACTTATCCAGTTCGGAGGACTTCTGCGCAATATCGGCCAAGTGCTCAGAGACCTCCTCCTGTACATCGACCCAGCGCGGCGGGAGCAGATCCATCTCAATAACCATGTCGCCATCTTCTTCGAAGCCGCCCGTCTCGGAGATCAGGCGGCGGCTCTCCTCCGGCTGGGATGTATCGAAGCCATTGGAGGGGCCGCCAAAGCGGGGCTTTTTAGAGGGGTGGTGTGCGAAGGATTGTCGGTAGGAGATATAGCTAGTAGAAGACGCAATCGATTAGTATCACGAGCTATGCTGTGGCTGCGAGGGTCGGGGCCTAGCTGTCGGGGTAATGTGTACAGATTGGTGCGATCCCGCCACATGGTGGCTATGTGGTAGAGGGAGGTAGATGAGAGAGGTTTATTGAGGGTGTAGTGTCGTATATGCGAATATCATTATCGGTGTGGGCGGTGTTGGTGTCGCATTCGAGGGAATGAATGGCGATGAGGTCAATCTGGAGTTGAACTTGAATGAGCCGCGATTGGAAGCTCCCGAGGGTCTCTCCGCTCCCGCCGCGCAGGGGCGGCCCCCAATATTACCCTGTATTACGCCGTTATTTACCGGTCTATTCCCACCAATTCTACCCGTATATTTGGTATGGCCTGTACTGGGTAAAGGGTGGACTATAGAGACGTTGATGCGTTCCTCTGTTCACACAGAAAGGTATGTATGTACTAACTACTAGTTAGTAGTACTGACTAATGAAGCTCTGTTATTTGCACCGGATGAAGCCACAGCCGCCGAAAGCGCCTGGACAGCAGTATCCGACCTTCTAGACTTTTCTGCTTATGATTTCGGCTCTCTACAACTATATAGAAGATGAAAGATAAGTACACTCTAGCCGTGTGACCACCTGAATGACCCCAGGGACCGATGAGTCTTTCGTTCTGGTTTACTCACGGATAGGTTCGCCGGGGATGGGGGCGGAGCTGGCTGATGCTTGTGATGAGAGAGAGGTTCGTTCAGCTTCAGCGGGGCGACTAAACTAACCCGATATCTACCAGTGGTTATAAATGACTATCATACCAAGTAAAATAGAATCACCATAGCAGTAGCAGTAATGTTGTTGTTGTTGTAGGTGTATACCTGTGTTTCAAACATCTATATTATTGTCTTGTTGGTCTTGGTTCTCTTTTCTTTCCTCTGCTTTGCTTACGTATCACCAAGAATGAGGTGTGTCATTTCTTTGCAGACTCACCTGGGCAGGATACGAGCCCCAATTATCATTCACACCGATAGGGGGGACCCCAGCATTAGGCAGATTCTATTTAGGGACCAGATCTACTAACCGAGTGATCCATCACTTCCCTGGTTTAAATTCACCTCCGAAATATATGCGCCAAATGATCCAATCAGTGTTGATGGTTGATTGAGGGCATCACCTCGTGGGAACAGGCCTCGATTGTGTAACCTTGGTCAAACAAGTGACACAGGCACGCATTCAGAGCGTACCTGATACGGTTATGGCCATGTGGTTCCCGCGGGCCGTTTACTACCTCTGCTTGATATTCTCTTGCTAATTTAAACGGACCATGAATGGCAGAGGAGACCAAGAGCATTTTCGAAGTACTTCTTGGGGGGAAAAACAATGACTTGGAGGCTTAGACTAACGGGAGCGGCCCGAAAGTCGGTGTAGTCTTGCAGCTGGTCTCTCCACTCCACCGCGGATGCAAATGTCATGCACATTAGTACTCCGTATACTCGTATGTGCGCGGGAAATGCGGGTTGTTTGCACGACCCGCGTGAGCATTTCTCCGTGATGAAAAGTGGCTGCAGGTGCAAAGTGGCTGCAGGTGAACACGTGTATGATATCACATCGCGTGCAGTTCAACGGCCAGCCTTATAATTTTACTTATTAGTCTTGCTTTTCTTGCCAGATGGCCCGGTATTCTCCAGTATTCTCTTCAAGCCGCCACTGGCCTTACAACATAATGAGGTCCAATCAATCCGATGAAGAGAACAAGCCCCTGATATCCCTACAGAGCAAAAGCCCTTGTACTTCGAGCTCTACTAGTATCGGTTATGACGACATTAGCGGGAAAGACCGAGGTTTCAAATCATATTGGGCGCGCTTTCGTCGACCCTCGGTATGCCTCAAATTCCCTCTGCTGATTCCCTGAAAAATAATTTGGGTATCGCGGCTAAGAACACGGTATTTTAGCCAGCATGGATCATCTGTCTCTACACCATTTACGTCATGGTCTTTGGCATCTTGACTGTCCCCGAGCTCAACTCTACATTTGCCTTGATATGTCACCAGCGATACTCGGAAAGCAAGAATTCCTTGGAGCAATCAGAAACTAAGGGCCCGGATCTTTTCAAAGAACTTGACAATTGTCTTGGGAACGAGCATGCACAAACACAACTATCGCAATTTTTACTCTACCGCGAAATAGCGTCCGGTCTTCTCGGTGCCGTTTCGACACCAGTATTGAGCTCTCTGTCGGATCGGATAGGTCGCAGGCGAATCCTTGCTTTTACCGCAGTAGGTCCTCTCATAAAGGAGGTCTTACTTCTCCTTCTCCTATGGTATCCCGACTCGGTAGATGTATACTGGCTTCTCGTGGGATATGCCGCCGAGGGCCTTAGCGGTGGATTTATCGTCTCGATGAGCACTTCACAAGCATATATCACCGATCTCGTTCTCCTTAAAGACCGAGCGAGGGTATTTGGCTATCTACAAGCTAGTTTATTCTGCACTCTGGTTTTGGGTCCTATCATTGCGGGTGTGCTTCTTACAGCTTTCAGCTCCTTCCAGTTAATATTTGAGGTCGCGGTTTGCAGCCACTTACTCCTCGGCTTGATCTTTCGCTTCGCCTTGCCGGAGTCGCGCCAAAGTTCTTCCAGTAGTATGGTTGATACAGAGCACCTATCAGACGAAAACGGAATTCGGTCGATGTGGTCATCACTCAAGTCGATTCGTGCGTCGAGTATCTCACGACGAAGAAATATGGCTATTCTAGCCTTCGTGGATTTCGTTGTCTTCGGTGTTTACCTAGGCATCAGCCCGCTTCAGTTGGCGTATCCAGGATATTTATTCCACTGGACGCCAGCTATCCAAAGTTTAGTGATGGCTTTGACATCATCGTGGAGTGTCCTAGTGCTAATCGTGCTATTTCCCACGGCAATGATGCTTGTGCGTCGGCGTGACAGGCGAACTTCTAGTGTCTCTCTGCTCAAATTTGGAGAGATGGGTGCTGTCAAGCTCTGCTTGATGCTCCAAGTTATGGGATACATTGGCATTTCTTTAGCTCGAACCCCTGGCGCTTTCATCACCTCGTCTCTGGTTGTTGCATCGTCTGCTCCCATATCTCCTCTTTTAACATCCTGTCTTACCGCGTACGTGTCCAGTGATCAAATAGGTCAGCTACTTGGGATTTTGAGCTTTTTGCATGCGATTTCTCGGGTTGTTATGCCTGCTGTGATGAATGCTACCTACAGCAGGACTGTGGGCATTTTCCCGGCACCGCTGTTTATGCTTTTGGCAATCTTTCAGGGCGTTTCATTACTGGCAACAATGGGTGTCAAAGCAGATGTTGTTTAATCAGTTTATCAAGAAGAAATCATTTAGTCCCGAAATTTTCCTTCAATTATTCTGAAACCTTCATACATAGACTTGAGTCAATATTGGTAAGCGAAGCTTGGTAAGCTGGCCTTGAGCAATACGAGAGCCGCGATTCACTTCTGTCTTTGGTGGAAAGTCTAATTGTATGCCACTTTTCTGAGATATTTGAACTCAAAGTACTTGAGTCATACTGACTATTTTTGATGCTAAACATCGATCACGATGAGACGCCTAGAGACAAATAATGCATCATCGAGGCAAATTTTATTCTATTGGTCAACAATCTTTTGCAAAAGAGGCCGCTAGGAGTACTAAAAGTAGAGGGTTCTTCGACCATTTACCTGAAGGAAAAGTTTATGTTTTCCGAATTTCCTGTGATATATGCGTACATCGATGGTGCTATTGCTTCTTTCCATATGCTGACGCAATTCGATTTGCGGGGTCCGGATTCACTCCGGCTCCTAGGCTGTGTCGGCGTCGGAATAGGGCTAGTCAAAAGCTTAGGGTGTAACCATGGATTAGCACCGAAAGCCATCATCGCATTAGATGCCTAATCTGTAAACCTTTTATTTTGTAGCCGCTTCGGTTAGATCGATCTATAGAAAGTACGACGTGAATGTATTTCAAAGCGGCGACTCTAAGCGGAAACTGATCGCTCAAGTGCTATGCGTCTCACTGGAGCCTTGGAAGGCTTGTTTCCCCAGTTCTGTCTAGGCAGCACGAGTCATCATCGTTCACTGGGAGTAAGCCCTGGGGGCTGAGTAGTTATCTCCGATATTACAGGAGGATGGCAGTGCCCATGAGTCATGATGGATTTCTAATAAGTGGTTCTAAAATGCTTATTTAAACAATAGTTCTCCCTGATCGAGGGTTTATAACTTCACTCTGCTATACTCCTCTCCCATTACAATTGGCTCTACTTGACGTACAAACATTCAACTTGAAGTTTATCATCAATTCAACATCTATATTCCTCTGATATAATAATCATAATGGCCGGCGCCGGTTCCCTTCAACGATCAACGGATGGCCCAACTCCACGCACAGATGTCCAAGTCGCAAAGGATGCGTGGAAGTTTGTCCAGCGAAAAGTTCAGAAACATCGCAGCCCGCCCTCAATTCCCGAAGAAGATTTACAGAAAACACTTTCACAAGATTCGGCCATGAGCAAAGCAAACACTCTCGTTGTTGCTTCAGATGATCAGCCAGCCAAGAAGGCTGAAAATTGAAATACGACCAGTTAGGTTGAAGAAGGAAAAAAAAGGCTCGTCGATAATTGGGTACTTGAAACCTGGGATCTTGGAAGTCTTAATTGGATTTTGAATGGTTATGCGTCTAATGTGGTGCCTTTGGAGTTTTCCCTCTTTTTGATTTGTTTCCCTTCCTTTATCAATATTACTACGCCCGCTAGTATGTTGCCGGCTTGATCTGCATGCTGGTGGGGTTGTATGGATCCCCCGACTCGGAGGACTTGAAAGATTACTATCTTCTTCAATATCTATGACCGCTAATTTATAAATGTATTCAATGGATATGTGCTAGAGGTTCCTTACTGAATGAGCCCTGAATTTTCGAAATACCTGCGTTGACTAGCATAAACATAGTCTTGTTCTCTCCGCATGGTGCCAACTACGGAGTACTTCCCAGGATGTTAGCTATGGGAACCCACCACTCAGCCCTACCCTCGGCAAAATAAGCAGGGGGAAGGAGATGGGGGTCTGGGGCTTGGCCTTGGCCTTGGCCTAGGACTTGGGGCCTAGCCGAGTACCCTCCGTGGCGAGTGGCAGCACCATGCTTTCCGTGGGGAGTAGACAGGGTCAGCTGCGGGGCTGATAGCACCACCAGGCTCGAATCCGCAGGGATAAAGAACGACCTTCATCTGCAGTCATGGTTCTTGGCTCGTACTAGCGGGGCGGGAAAGGCCAAACACCAAGCTTTTCTTCGATCCGCCGGGTGTCGTCAGCTGAAGGAGTGTTTCGAACACAGCCAGGGTAGATAGAACCACGAGGATCGAAGAGGGAAGCAGCTGTCAAAGCAGAGGATACCTTGGGTAGTGAGTACAGTACGTTATCTGTCAAGTACGGAGTAAACCTTTAGGAAAGCAACTTGAACTGTCAATAACTACCCACAAAGTACAGATGGAAGGTCACGCTGACCGCCTGGTCCATGGTTGTCTCTAATTGGCCATTCATTGTGTTCTGCCACCTCCGTAAGGCTGGCTTTCCCCTTAACTTCCTCCCCGCCAGAAACTCCATCGACCCCCCCCTCTCTCTCCCCATCTTCTGTTTTCTTTCCCCCCTCCCCCCTTTGCATATCCCTCCAGATCTAGCAAACATGGTATGCCTCTGTTTTGTTTTCCGCCCTCGTCGCTTTTCATCCATCCTGTATCGCAGAATGGAGAGCCTTCCTCTCAAAGCCCTTCCCCCGCACCTGCGGGACAGACCCTGTTGTCCTGTTTGTTGACTGACCGCGCCATCGCACCTATCTAGGCCGATTCTCTGACCGAAGAGCAAGTTTCCGAGTACAAGGAGGCCTTCTCCCTCTTTGTGAGTTATCCAATCTTCGAATTGAATTGCGATCGTGGGATCATTTAGGCTGACGAGTTATCTTGTGATCGACAGGACAAGGATGGCGATGGTAAGTGCGGCCTATGCTGAACACCTTGTGTCCTTTTCGCGGGCGGCGTTTCCTTCGCGATTGGATTCCATCAACTCATCGTTGAACCCTGCTAAAAACTATTTGCGATCTGTAGGAGAAATCACCACCAAGGAGCTTGGCACCGTCATGCGCTCCCTCGGCCAGAACCCCTCCGAGTCTGAGCTGCAGGATATGATCAACGAGGTCGATGCCGATAACAACGGTACCATCGATTTCCCCGGTACGCTCCCCCTTTCAATTCCGTTATCTACTCCTCCTCTCTTCTCGTCTCCTCCGCCCGTCAAAACAAGATGAATATTGACATGCGCCCACAGAGTTCCTGACCATGATGGCCCGTAAGATGAAGGATACCGACTCCGAGGAGGAGATCCGTGAGGCCTTCAAGGTCTTTGACCGTGATAACAACGGTTTCATCTCCGCCGCTGAGCTGCGCCACGTCATGACCTCCATCGGCGAGAAGCTGAGCGACGATGAGGTTGACGAGATGATCCGCGAGGCCGACCAAGACGGCGATGGACGTATCGACTGTACGAATACCCTCCCCCCACCCCCACGTCAAGTCGCAATCCTTGAAGACCCGCTGACCCAAATCGTCTACTAGACAACGAGTTCGTCCAGCTCATGATGCAAAAATAAACTTCCACGTCGCCATGTGTTCTCCGTCTTTAGCTGAAATCGCGATTTTCTCAACGAGGATGTTTCTCTATTCTTCCTTCTCTTATTGTCTTCCAGCTCAGTTCCCGATACTGTCTCTGTAGTCTATGCTTTTTTACTGGGCTATGGCTTGGACTCTTCATGATCAAGCGTGCACTTTGGAATGCAGGTAGCGAGGGATAGGGGGGGAAGATTAGGCCGTGGTGTGGGCTGCGTTTCATCGTACATCTATGAATTGATATTCAACTTCGCATCTACCAAGATGCATGCTGCTACCCTTCACTTCGCCCGCGCGACGCAGACCCAGTAAATAATGTAGATGATGTAGATGATGTGAATAATGAAACACCCAAAATATGCCCCAATCACCGATTAAACCGTAAAACCTCCATATACTGCCTCGCAACATCTGTCCCAGCCTGCGGATTAGGGTCATCCTCGGTAGGACCAGAAAGTCCACCCCCGGTATTCTTTGCACCCTTAATCTTCACCAAGCGCTCCTTAACTTCACTCCCAACCCCAGGAACAAGAATAGCCTCCCTAGCCCCTTCAACCCCAACCCGGACCCAAAACTCGCGAATCAGCAACGCCGTCGCCGCAAACTCAGCATCAACATCGCTCTCCTCCAACGCAGACAAAGACACATCGACGCCAGAGTCCGTCTCCCCATTGACATCGGACGTAACAGCGCCATCTAGAGAATCAATCACCGAAGGACCACGCCATTCGATCTCAACGACCGCCCCACGTACACGATTCGTCGGATAAGTCTGTCGCACATCGCCCAGTCGCACGCGGAAATCGCCGATATCATAGAACACGCCGTTCTGAACCACGACGGTTAATCGGTGACACCAGAAGGGTTGGCACGCGTAGGTAAAATGCTGGAACAGAGTCGAGTACGAGGAGTGCGGTACCGTCGTCATTAGCATCGGCGAGATATTACTCGTCGTACTATCGTTGACACTTCCCGTCGTCGCCGCGCCAGCGCCAGCGCCGACACCGGCACCGGCACCGGCACCCTGAAGCCCCGGCGTGGCCGGAGTAGCAGCAGGTGAGGGCGAGGCTGCATTATGTGGGTGGAACGGTTTCTCTGTCGGCTCTGAGGTATAAATGAAGCCGTGGTTGTGGTAATGGCTCAATGAGAGAAATTGCATATACCGTGGCTTTGAGGGGCGTTGGTTTGGACCCGAGGACGTGGGTAATAGGCCCGGTGTGTCACGCATGAGCTTCTGTTCTAGTGTCCACCGGCCTAGTTGGATTAGGTCTTCATCTGGGAAGGAGGAGCGCAGACGCTCTGTTATGTTTCCCAAGGCCGTGGAGGCGTTTGGGTGTGCTGGGATGAAATAGACTCTTCGGGTTGTTAGTTCGGTCACGGTGTGTATGGTTGGTTGTTCCTGGTGGATTTATTTACCCTGTGACTGGCATTTTGTGGATATATGTCTGCGTTCGCAGGAATTCAAGTTTATATAGACCACGGGGTTGGGGTTAGATGCTGATGCTCTGGCCTGTCCTGGCGATTGACTTTCCCAAATGAGGAGCCTTGAGGACGGCTGTTCTTCAATGAGATTGTCTAAGTCTCGGATCTCGCTAGAGCATTCGTACAAGTAGCACAAGCCCTTGCATTCGTCCAAGCTTGAACTGCGCCCAGATGACAGAGACCTGGTTGGTTAATGTAAGGTTATGCCAATTGATATCAATGCCAGATATGAACCAAGTTATGCAGTAAATACTCCGGACCCTATTCCATATTAGTACGTCCTCTTTCTTGACAAGCAGATGGAGGATATACCAGCCCAGCTTTGTGCAGTAATTCGGTGTCTTTAATTGAGTGATTGATTCAAGGAACGCAGATTAACGGCAGAAAGTCAGGCATCACCTCCGCCTCAGCCATCAGGCCTGGGCAGAATACGTAGGCGGTGTGGTTCGTTCATGGAGTATAAAAATGGTAGTGTAGTAGTGCGAGCTTGCTGAAGCGGAAATATATGAAAGCGAAAATTGGGGCAATTGAATTGTGGAGTAAGACTTTAAGGATGTTGAGGTAGGACAAGTAGGCAGCCAGGCAAGTGAAAGAGGAATTACAGAGGGCAAATCGACCAGTGCAAGTTTGCAAATCTCCCACTGCACTAGGTAGAAGACTTCGAAGGTTGATGTGAATGGTGATGTACCAACTTGAATGCTATAATGTGACTTCTTTGTACAAATCTCCGAGTTCTTCGCCAACCGACCCCAAAATGATGCATGCCAAACCGTAATACCTTGCAAAATATGCACCGCAACAACTCCAAAATGATATCCCAAAAATGCTAATGACAAATTAAGAAAAGAGAGAAAAGAGCACCAATCAAACGTTAGAAAAAGTCCTCCTCGACTAGCCATTGCGAATCCATGGCATAAGCGACAAGATCAGCCGCACAGCACATATCCTCATGTCCATGTTCCAGGTCAAGAAGATCAAGAACCGTTTCCATTCTACCCTCTAGCACCTGCTTGAGCTTTGCGATTTTGCTCTGCAGGCCCTTGCTCTGGTGTTCCTTAACAAGGGCACCAGCACCAGCGTGCTCTTTCGTCTTAGCTGGCTTGGCACTATCTGGTGCTCGACTGGTTGTCTTCCGGTTAGGCGAACAAGGCGCAAGTGCTCGTCGTTGAGGCTGGGCAGGAGGTACAGTTGCTACAGCCTCTGGCTTGCGGTTCTTGAGAAGATTCTTGAGGAGAAAGAGTAGCCAGACCAAGTTCGTCCGAGGCGCATACTCTGCCCAAATTCCGGGAATATCTTTGATCTTTTCTGTTTGCGAGGGATCACCCGTGTAGACTGTTGCGCGCATGCTGCCAGATGGTGTTAGAATGATACCAGCGGATAATGGAATATGGGATCAAACACATACTATCTGTACGTATTTCGCAGCAGAATCTCATCCTCGTCTTCACCGACCGCATCGAAGATTTGCTTCTTATCCAAGTCCGAAGAAGCAATTTCCACCACGCCTTCAGGGTCATCAGGCAGATCGGCCAAGCGGAGGTCGGCACGCGAGAGCGAGTAATCGATGATGGTAGTCTCGATAGAACTCGTGCCGAAACCACTGGAAGAAGACTGTCGCATAGCATCCAGATCCGAGGGAGGCTCCATGGAACCGTCTGGCCTAGTTGACCGAATGCAAACATTCCCAAGATGGAGATCGCGATGCTAAATCAAGATTAGAATTGGGTCGTCAATTCCCCACCGTATCGAAACTAACCTCAAACATCGCATATTCCTCAGCACGGGCAAGAGCCATAGCAACGCCCCAAAAGACATCATAGATTTGGAAGATCGATGACCAAGAGAATTTCTCCAATTCACAACCAGCATCATCCATCTCTACAATCGCCCACAACTGCGTATCCGCATACGACTTCTTACTAGAGGGATCAGGATTCAAGCAATCGTCCTTCGTCTCCTTATAATGATCCCACGCCTTCTGGAAGCTCTCGGGGAATCGACCCTGCACAACATGAATCTCTCTGAAGCGCGCAAACCCAGGGATTGGATCAAGGTATTTCAGCATCTTCGCTTCGGAAGCAATTTCCTCGATGGAAGTGAATTTCTTCGAGCCGGGTCCTCGCGGAGCATTCAGTGGGACAACCTTGAAGACACCATCTCCATATGCTCGCAGCCTCGCCAATCTTGATTTCGAGACCATCGGTCGCTCACCCTCCTCGCGCAAATGCAATTTGTAGACTTCGCCGTAGGATCCCTCGGCTAACTTTGCGACGTGAAACATCTTCGTTGATTTGGAAGCCCATGAGCCGAACTTTTGAATGCTTTGTGATGCGATTGGGGACAGGGCTTCGTCAAGGATTGGGCGAACGTAGGCGTTGGTTTTGGGGTCGTGGATGAATCCGGAGGATCTCCGTCCAGCAGAGGTCTTCTTCGTAGATCGCTTTTCCGGGGTGGGATTGTTGGGTTTGAGTGCTGCCTTTTTGGGTGTTCTTTGCGCGCGCGCTTCTTCGGAGGAAATCCGGACCTCCACCATTTCCTCATATCGCTTCATCTCTGCTGTCTTTTCGGCGGGCTGCTCGGTCGGAACATCCATGGACGGGGGCGTGGGCTGGGGATCGGTGGTCGTAGATGGTGGACCATCGGGGTACTGAAGTTTTGATTCATCTTCCTGGTCCTCTGCTGCTAGCCCCCCGTTCTGCGGCGTCTCTACCTTTTGCGCTGCAGATACTGGCTCCTCGTTGATGGTTATTTCAGCTAGCTTGGATTGGATGGCCTCGACGGTCGCATCAACAGCCTTGCATGTCTCTCTCGCTGGGCTCTTCTGATCAAACACTGCCCTGGGCGCGTTATTCTTCCGCTTCCCGTACACCCTTCTCTGAGCGACCGTTCTGGTGGTGGGTTTCCGAGTCTCCATGATTGTCGTTCGGTCCGCAGAAGGGGGGAAAGTGGGAGGATCGATATAGTCTTTAGGTCGCTGTCGGATCCCGGGCACGGTATAAATCGGCGAGAGGTGTCGACTGATAGCGGGAAGAAGAGTTGAATTAAGGGGATTGCTGTAGCTGTCAAACGCAATCGATGCTGGTCCGCCGACCGTATTGACGTTTGCCCAGAATAGGACTATCGGCCTGTTGCCGCGGTGACGCCATTCTTCCAACGGGCCAATCAGCGGCCCCCTTCATAGTAGTATACAGGAGTGGGCTGTGTACATTACATAGGAGAGGCTGGATCCAGATGGCTTGAATAATATTTGGTTGGAGAATATGGCAGAGACACGGTAGCCATCAACCAGCTAGACCCGCAGATTAATCCCAATGTACACATTGGTTACTAGTAAGATGCGGGAATCAAATTAGATATACTACGTATTACCTGGTACCTACCAGTTACTACTAGTAGTTAGTAGTAGCTGGAAGATCATAGTACAGTCACGGTTTTCAGGTTGAAGTTACCTACTTTTATCTAATATGAAGAACACTTCAACAAAGGATGAATTATTAATATTTGCAGGGGAATCTGTTGAAGCATAAACATACATAATCTGATGGCCGTGGGATGGGTTGGGTGGGGACGGGCAAGAAACATCGCGGAGCCACCGAAGGTCACCGCCGCCGGCTTTCAGAGTGGATGCCCGCCACCCAGTCACCTAGATCATGAGTTTCGCAATCATGAGATCTCATAGCCTCCGAGACGTCAGCAAAGAACTGCAGGGCCTTCTTGACAGAGGTTGGTCTTGAAGAGGGTACCAGTGGATGACCCACCTCGCCAATGACTCACTCTCTACTACTAGTATCCTTTAAAAACACTCTGAATCTCGGACCGTTTGGCTAACAATAATCTATCTATCTCTACTGACTATTGCCTCTCAGCTGAAATGGCTTCCACACAGGCCCCAGAAAAGCCAATAAGCGAGAAACACCGAATCAAGCTTGAGAAATTTGCTCAAAAGAAAGCGAGACAAGCACAACACCAATCTAATACAACCCCAAAAGAGAAAAAGCCCAGGAAGCTAGATGCCCTTGCCATCAATGCAAATGATTGGGTCGATGAGACCCCTCCTGGACATAAGAAAATTTTGAAATCGCTCGATGATGACTTCCTGAAAGCTTACGTGCCAAATGTTGTCGAATCGTCCTGGTATAGTTTCTGGGAGGAACAGGGGTTGTTCAAGCCGCGCACAAACGAGGACGGCAGTCTGAAACCGAAAGGTAGCTACGTGATTGCGATACCGCCACCAAATGTACGTAATAAAGTCTCAAAAAATTGGAAGAAATACTAATATAAGCTGTGAATAGGTCACCGGAAAACTACACATCGGACACGCTCTAGCGCTCTCGCTGGAAGACACCCTAATTCGATGGCACCGCATGCGACAGCTCTCAACGTTATACATTCCCGGCTGCGACCATGCAGGAATTGCGACGCAGGCTGTTGTCGAGAAGCGACTTGCAAGACAACCGATAGATGGAAAGTCTAGGAGGCAAGACTTCACACGGGCTGAATTCGTCCAACTGTGTCAAGATTGGAAAGAGGATTACCGCAAAGAAATAAATAAGACAACTCGCAGACTGGGGGCGTCGGTAGACTGGTCACGAGAGGCGTTCACAATGAGCCCACAGCTATCAAAGGCTGTCACCGAGACTTTTATTCAACTTCATTCAGATGGTCTGATCTACCGGGCCAACAGGCTCGTTCATTGGTCATGCCACCTCTCCACGGCATTATCTACACTTGAAGTGGATCAGCTCGAAATTGACGGGACAACAAAGCTCACAATTCCTGGCTATGATAGGAAGATTGAATTTGGAACTCTCACGTATTTCAAATACCCAATCGAAGGCTCGGATCAAACAATCGAGATCGCAACTACTAGGCCGGAGACCATGCTAGGAGATACCGGAATTGCCGTTCACCCTGACGATGACAGATATAGGAGCTTCGTGGGAAAGATCGCGCGACACCCTATCATACCTCACAGGAACTTGAGGATTATCGCTGACGAATATGTGGAGAGAGAGTTCGGGACTGGTGCTGTCAAGCTGACGCCTGCTCATGATCACAACGATTTTAATCTAGGCAAGAAGCACAATCTTCCATTCATCAACATTCTCAACGAAGATGGGACTTTCAACGAAAACGCTGGTCCCTACACTGGACAGAAACGGTTCGATGCCAGATATGGTGTTATCGAGGAACTCAAGAAGCTCGGCCTCTTCACTCGACAAGAGCCAAACAAGATGGTTGTCCCGATATGTAGCCGATCAGGAGATGTCATTGAATCGCTGTTGAAACCGCAATGGTGGATGAGAATGGAACCATTGGCGAAGCCAGCCATAGAAGTCGTTGAGAGTGGCGAGCTCGTGATTCGACCAGAGGCTCAGAAGCGACACTATCTACAATGGATGCGAAATCTCCAGGACTGGTGCTTGTCAAGACAGCTATGGTGGGGTCATCAGATCCCGGCATACTTCGTTACCGTTGAGGGCGAAGATAAGGCAGACGATGTCAATGATGACTATTGGGTGTGTGGGAGGACCGAAGAGGAGGCACAGGAAAAAGCTGAAGCGAAATTCCCTGGCAAAAAGGTTATACTCAAGCGGGACGAGGACGTCTTGGATACCTGGTTCAGCTCTGGACTTTGGCCATTTAGTACTCTTGGATGGCCGGACCAGACGGCAGATCTCGAAAAATATTTCCCAAATACGACCATGGAAACTGGTTGGGATATTCTGCCGCTATGGGTCAGCCGTATGATTATGTTCTCACTCAGATTGACCGGCAAAGTACCCTTTAAAGAGGTCTTCTGCCATGGTCTAATCCGAGACAGCGACGGCAGAAAAATGTCCAAGTCCCTCGGCAACGTCATTGATCCGAAAGACATAATGGACGGCATAAGCCTCGAGAATCTAAACAGAAAGCTACTGGTAGGTAACCTACCACAGGCGGAGGTCAAGAATGCCGAGAGGTATCAGAAAAAGGCCTTCCCACAAGGTATCCCGGAGGTGGGAGCCGATGCGTTACGCTTCTCGCTCGTTCACTACACACAGGTATCCGGTAGTGACATCAATTTCGACGTCAACACAATGCAGAGCTACCGAAAGTTCTGTAACAAGATCTATCAAGCCGCGAAATATGCTCTTGGCAAGTTTGGAAACGACTTCATCCCCCGCGCTAGCAGTGGACTATCAGGCAATGAGAGTCTAGCAGAGAAGTGGATTCTCTCGAAGATGAACACGGCCACAAAACAAATTAACCAAGCACTCGAAGAACGAGAATTTTCCCGTTCCACAGAAATCATCTATAGGTATCTCTGGGACGATCTCTTTGGCATCTACATTGAGAATTCCAAGTCCATCATTTCAGACGGTACGCCCGAGGAAGCGCGCTCAGCCAGGGATACATTATATACTACATTAGAGACAGGCCTGCGTCTCATCTCTCCATTCATGCCCTTTTTGAGTGAGGAACTTTGGCAACGACTACCACGCCGCCCAAGAGACGACACGCAATCCATCACGATCGCGCTGTACCCGGAGTACGAGCCCTGCATGGATAATCCTGACTCGGTAGAAGCATATGAGCTTGTGCTGGGTTGTTCAAAGGGAATTCGTTCGCTCATGGCGGACTATGCCGTGAAAGATGTCGGCGTCATGCATATCGGGCCTTTGAACGCAAGAGCGCACGATACTATATCCACTCAGCTTCCCGCCATCAGGTCACTCTGCTCTAAAATACCGACAGAGATAAGGATCGGTGTTCTGGGAGCTGGAGAGCGTAGTCCACCGGGCTGTGCTGTCTTTCCTGTTTCAGCAGATGCGAATGTTTTTCTCGCTATTCAGGGTCGCGGAATAGATGTCGGGAAAGAAGCCGAGAAAATTAGGGCGAAACTGGACGAAGCTAGGAGAGACCGGAATGAGGTTTATACGTCTATGGAAGAGCTGGGCAAAGTTCTTAATAAGGATGTTAGCGAAGCTATACGGTTGGCCGAGAGTCGAAGGCTAGATGTGGAGGCAAAGTTGGGGGTTTTGGAGGAGGCCGTTGCAATGTTGGAGATGTAGAAGGGTTTCCTTTTCAAATTTCTACTGTGTGTGATTTGTTTTGTTTTCAATGATTTTATTACTATCTGTTGGTGATTATAATATGTTCTTTTGACTACTTGATCCTTCCTATCGTATACTCCGGAATAAGGAGTATGTTTTTACTTTTCTGATATTGGACCCACTCAAGTGCTTGTGGACATGGCAAGTATGAAACCGCCATGCCGGTGATCTACGTTCCATATCCCTAGATGATGTTTCAGTAAGAGAAAGACCGGACGGTAACACAGAGAAGAGAAGACGAATAGAAAAAGATCAACTCATTTTTCCCTCTTCCCACCTCGACCCACCAGATCTGCGACGTCGCATTAGCACCGATGGAGCCCCATCGTCATCGCCAACACCTGCTCGCGTGATGACAGAACGTGAGCGTTATACTCCGGACATGCTCCCAGGGCCACACCGGCCAATCAGGCGATCAAGCGCAAGGAGAAGAGCATCCCCCGCTATGATGAGACGCGAGTGAAGGCTGGACGCGGGCGACCCTCACGATCGGCAATAAAACGGCCGATTGTGGCCCCGGTGTTTGACCGTGCACGAAAGCGCGTCCAGCCCCTATCCGGCTCTTCCAAGAAGATTGTGGGAGAGACAAAGTGGGCTGGGACTTATGCAGCACAGGCACATCACCGGCATCGGGTGCGATCTGAATGGCCGATAACCGCACCAAGTGGGAATACCCTCGGGGCTGGTCGGAAGGGTGGAGTGTAGGCAGGCTGTGACGTACGGATGAAAGGGGATGTACTCCGTACTCGAGAGGATAGTTCTGTCAACGGAGAGGAACAGAGGATGAAGTGAATTGTAGTAGAAGTAATAAATAAGTAGTATGTGGGAAGTAAGTAGAAAGTAATGACATGCTGTGAGAGTGGAAGTGTGCTGGTGAAAAAACCGGCAAGCAAAGAGCAAAGCAGGTGACGACCCTCGGGAGTGCTCAGTCCTTTTTCTCTTCCCTCTTTTTCTCCTTTCGCCTTCGTCTTTGCCATTCATCGCCCCCTCGCGTTAACTTGACAACCCTCCCCTCCTAGTCTTTTTTAATTTTATTTACTTTCTTTCCATTTTGTATTTCCCTCTCTCTCAATGCCCGGGCATGGCGTTCAACTTCAACTGGTCGCCTTTGATGGCGGACGCGAGTTTTTACTCTCGCGCCCAAGAACTCCTCACAGCCGCCCTCAATAAGTCCCCCAAACCACCCATTATTGTCGACGATATTATTGTCACCGAACTGAATTTGGGATCTATGCCTCCCAACTTGGAGATTTTGGAGATCGGCGATCTGGCCGAGGATCGCTTTCGCGGAATCTTCAAGATGTCCTATTCCGGCGACGCCTTCTTGACCCTCAAGACTCGCGTCCAAGCCAATCCTCTCAACACCTTTCTACTTACACGACCGTCTTTCGCCTCGCCGCAACCGCTTGCTGCTGCGTACGTACTTGCTCCAAAATACAAGCTCCCTCCTCTCTCTCAGCGCATGCGCATGCGCATCATACTGCCGACCAGGACGGGACTTGACTTTCTTTGATCGCGTGGGCTGACCTGTGTCGCATATAGTACTCCCCTCACAATACCTCTTCAAATTACCCTGATCCGACTTCAAACTCTCCGGCTTCGTCATTCTCGTTTTTTCCAAACAAAAAGGAATCACCGTCGTCTTCCGCAACGATCCGCTCGAATCGCTCAAGGTCTCCTCCACCTTCGATTCCATCCCGTTTGTGCGCGATTTCCTGCAAAAAGAAATTGAGGCCCAGCTTCGAATCTTGTTTATGGATGAACTGCCCGCTATTATTCATCGCTTGTCACTGCGCCTCTGGGTTCCCGAATATCGCTCTGGTGAGGAAAACCAAAACGAAACCGACAATACCGAAACCGCAACGAGTGAGGGGCCCGGCCAGGATCCCTTAGCCAGTCCCCCACAAGACCCTGTCGATTCTCTCGGAAACGCCTTGAACGAGTCGGAGATCGCATCGCTGTCCTTGGATTCATCGGTCGAGACCCATTCTCTCTTTTCGCAAAAGAACCTGCTCCGCCTCGCCGCCCTCACCGATTCCCAGCGCACTCTCTCGTTGTTTACCCCGTCTATCCAAGAAGTTGTATATCGCGCATGGACATCTCCGGCCGATGTTAGCGAGTTCCCCTCAAGTGTCGCCTCCCCGCTCAGCCCCGCCCTCTCCCGGACTCACTCCCATGTTGGTAGTCTGGCATCCTCCATCCACGAAACCTCCAGCAATGTTTCTTTACAAAGTCGACCTTCCATCGGTGGCCACTCCTACAGTAGCTATGGTCTGAATGTTAGCACTGGACGTCACTCAAAGGCTCACTCACGGAAGCGCAAGAAGCGAGTGGTGGACCTACGCCGTCCTAAGACCACCGATGACGCCATGAGCGTCAGCGATGACAGCTCTTTTAGAGAATCTACCAGCCCTCCGTCGATCTGCTCCGCGCCGCTGCCCGCCCTCAACGAACAGAACGATGACCCGGTAACACCACCGTTGTCCCCGGAGGCTGGCTTGCACCTCCCATCGATTCCTGAGCGCCATCGCATGAGCATTTCCCGTCCGTCTATCCTCCGCAACACGCAGGACATGCCAGAGCTCTCCTATTCCACTGAGACTATTCGTGCACCGAAGGGAGAGGACATGGATGCTACACCTCGCGCAACTGTGCGTGGTCGCCCCGAGAAGGCGGAAGCTGGCCCCTCATCAATCTCGACCCGCCCGCCACCGCCCGCCACTATCATTCCTCTCAATAAGGAGGAGAAACCCACTGGCGAATCTGTCGATCCCGTTTTGGTGGAACGACTGGCAGGCGAAATCGCTCGTCGTATCCGCGAAGAGAAGTTTGCGCCTAATAGCGCATGCAGCCCCTTCTGGAGCCGCGCTCAAGATGATTCACCACCCCCGGCCTATGGCCACTAAACACTCCGCCTTTTCTTTGTTGTCGAACACTTCTTTTCTCTCTCGAGCAAGACCTCGAGCCTTTTATGACCGTTACGACCTTTATTCATTTTTTTTTTCTTGTTTGGAAGCGGGACTGTACAAAAATCATGGGTTTCAAAGTTTTTGGCGTCTCGTTTCATTTTCCAGGGTTTTTCTTTTCTTTTTTTTTCTTCGATTTCTTTTGTCTACTCTTTTTTCGTTGGATACCACACTCATTTGAGTCATTTGTGTATTATCTTGGGCAATTGGGATACAGGGGGATATATCCATTATATATAGGACTGGGACTTGAATTTGGACATTTACTATCTATCCCTCGTGTGCTATTCCCAGATCATTGTAGTATACTAGGCATATCTTGTAGATACGAGTCGTGGAGTATGAGTACTCCGAGTCGTAGTTCTGTGCGGCAAATGGCAAAAAACTGGAGAAAGTCCGTGGGGGGCGCTAAGGCCAGCACAGCTTAGCTCCGCATTCGCATTTCGCCTTCTCTCAACCTCCTTTCCCTTCCATCCCCCAACATCTTCCTCCTCCATCGCAATCATGGCGGGTGTGTTCAAGAATGTGTTTGGCTCCCCTGGGGCTGCCAACCCTGATGATGGTGAGTGCTCAATTGCGCCATTGCTTCCCTTTCCCCCCACCCAACAACTAACAACTGTCAGATTTCGCCGACTTCGTCGAGGCCCCGAACCCATCGCCCGCGTCGCTTGTCGCCGACACGACCACTGTCCCAGCCCTCAACACAGCCGGTGCCGTCCCCTACACAAAATGGTACCGAGTCTGGGAGCGCACCTCGCCCAAGGACTTCATGCAGGAGGCCATGATCATGCCATTCATCCTGGTGATCGTCCTCTTCCACGTCTGGGGTACACGGAAGAACCGGAGCCAGGCCCGCAAGTGGGCGCAGGCTCATATCCCCGCGCTGCAGAAGGAATTCTCGGTTGTTGGCTTCGATGGAATCGCGCGTCCCGGCCCGGAGGAGGGCGCCGACTCCGTCACCGTCGAGTTGACCAACCCGGAGAACCTGCTGAAGGAGCGAGCGGCGAACGAGTTCGCCGCATATGCGACCGGTCGTCAGAACATTGCCTTCCTCGATATCTCGCTGAAGCTCCCCAAGCGCTATAACCCTGTCACCTACATCATGGAATATGTCTTCAGCTTCTTCTTCGAGAGCTGGGAGGCACCTACCCAGAAGTATGAGGCTCTGATGTACGCTTTTGACGGCAAGGAGAAGGATCTGATTCCGGTTCTGGGCAAGGATACTTCTTCGTTGAAGGTCAACCAGTCTACCTATGATGGATTCATCTGGGCTGTTGTTCACAAGAGCCACATGGGCAAGTTCCGCACCGATCGCTACGACGCCTCGATGACTTTCTCCAAGGACCACCCTAAGCTCCCCTCCTGGGTGACTGTCATGTCTGAGAGCGCCGAGATTACCGAGAACCTTCTTACGGCGGACTTGGTGCAGGCTATTGAGAATGCGGGCCACGACTTCGAGTATCTGATTGTCACTGACCAGCCCGTCGACAAGCCTACCAAGTAAGCAATGATCAAATGAGCTCATTCTATCAGCTAAGCTAACGGTCTCCCCAGGATCGATGAGACCACCCCGAAGAAGCGCCTTCAGTTGTCCGTCAACATCAGCTCCGACTACTCCTCGACTCTGCCTCTCTTCAACCAATACCTCCGCCTCCCCGACCGACTCGTCCAAGTGGCTCACTGGCGTGGAGAGGTCATGCGCAAGGTGCGCAATGCCCGCGAGGAGGAGATCAAGAAGCTCCGCCGCGTTGAGGAGGAAGAGAAGGCCGAGGAGCGCAAGCTGGCTGCGGAGAAGGTTAAGAAGGAGGACCGCGAGCGTCTTCTCCGCGGCATGAATGCCGAGGAGCAACGCAAGTTCCTGGACCGCGAGAGCCAGAAGAACCAGCGCAAGTCTCAGAAGAAATACAGCCGCAAGGGTTGAGTTTGAGTGATAATTATGGGGATGGTTCGCATGGATGATGACAATGGACGATGGCATAACGGGGTTATAGGGATGGGACCATTCACCTTTCGCCTTTCTACTCCCTCTCGATCGAATCCGACTGCAAGCTACGGCTACTATGGTCAGGTCCACATTGAGAGGGAGAATTGTTTTACTTCACCTTTTTTTATTTCCCTGTTTTCCCTCTAGTTTTGTTTTGATACCTTGGCCTGCAGATGTACTCATACCTGAAATGCCCGACAGTTCCGATCTTGGGTGGCTTAGTGCTGTTGTCCTCAGTGGCAGCCCTCTCTTTCCAATGCTAATCTTGCCTGCATCAAACCCTGCTTTTGCCTGCGTTTTGCTTGCATTTGCTTCCAATTCTCTTCTCGTGGCAGTCACGCTGTACTTTGCTTACTTTTCTTGCCTTTTCTTACCTCGCTGCACCTTCCTCGTATCTGCCCTTGCCAACTTGACGGCTTTGTTTGCTTGTCTTGGCTTCATCTTCTTCTTCTACCCGAGGGTTGACTGCTTTACTTCCACTTCTATTGTCCTCATCTCATACTTCCCCTCAATCTTATAAGATCCTCCCCCACCCACGCTGTTGTACTTTCACTCGTTCAGCACTTAGCAGGGCTGTCCCTCTTCTATACTTCTACTCTAAAATCACTCACACGCTCTGAACCCTATCAAAATGCATCTACTTCCTTTTTTGACCACAGTCCTTCCTTTCATGGCCTCTCTATCATCGGCCACCCCAGTCGAACTCGCCACCCGTCAGACAACCTCCAAAGTCGCCGTCGGCGCTGTGATTAACAGTTGCGTGGTCCCAGGTACAATCGCACTGACATTCGACGACGGGCCTTGGGACTATACCCATACTCTTCTCGACACACTCGCCGAGTACAATGCCGTCGCCACATTCTTTTTAAACGGAATCAACAAAGGCAGCATCACATCTTACCCGGACATACTCCAACGGGCCGTGGCAGAAGGTCACCAACTCGGCTCACACACGTATGTTTACGGAAACCACTTCCCCTTTCTTCTCCCTGTCTTGTCCTCAGATCCCTCGGGGAGATGTAGCCCATTCTAACAAACCCCGTCCCCAGTTGGAGCCACCCATACCTCGAAACCCTAGATCACGCCGCGATCCTCTCGCAAATGACCCTTCTCGAAGACGAATTCGTCCAAATTCTCGGCTACTTCCCTTCTTATATGCGCGTTCCATATCTCTCGTCCAATGATGCGATCCTAGCCGCTATGGCCGAGTTGGGGTATCGTGTTATTGGCGCGAGCATCGATACAAAAGACTATGAGAATGACGACGCGGGTCTCATTTGGAAGAGTTTCGAGAAATTTCGTCTCGAGCTTGATGCCGGTGGTTCGATTGTGTTGTCGCATGATACACATTTTTACACCGTTGAGACCTTGGTGGATAATATGCTGCAGGAGATTCGATCAAGAGGGTTGAAGGGTATGTTGTGTTGTCGCTCTTCACTTTATTTGGCTTCTTCTTCTCTTGGCTTTTGGAACGTGCTGACCTTTGTAGCTGTTACTGTTGCTGGCGTCTCGGAGATTCAGGCAACTGGTACCGCACTTCGCGATAGGCGTGGCTGGTCGAGGGTATGGTCACGATATAATATCGAGCTCCCGAAGTCGGTGTGCTGCGCGGATGCTATGTTTATTGCGTTGTTTCGGGTGAGGGTTGGCTTCCCGTATATAAAGTATCCTTATGGCGCATAGCATGACGAAGTGTTATCTGTTCAACTTCAAGTTCTCTACTAAATGGGCTCTCGCCTGCGGTGGACAACCCTGGAATCAACTGGCATTGTCGAAAGTACTAGTATTAGTCGAGCGTCGTTCTGGGAATTTTATCTATCCATTTTGAAGCAATAATCAATGCCATCCTCTTATCTATGTCAACTTGGATTTCTATTGTGTTAAATTTATGTACTCGACTTTAAGAGATTGATACTTTGATAACATTGCCTCTAGCTGAACGAGGAGCACAAAGTCCGTGTAGCACCTAGAAGTTTCAAGCATGGAAAATGGGTGTTTTACAACTAATAAATATGACAGTCATAATTTCAGTATTTATATGACCGCATTGGACCCATTGGTCGCCCAAACACTCAACAGCCGTCCCACATGTAAGCACTAGCTACGGAATTTGGAATGATGCTCCATGCTCCCGTTTTTAGGCTGCCCATGAAGAGTTTAAACTCATCAGCACAGAGTGTCATGTCATTTCCTTTTCTCAACCTCCTCCCACTAGTATCTTGATTTTACAGTCCAATCACAAGAAAAGCCCACGCCAAGATGGCCGCAACAGAAGCACCGCCAAAGAAAGCGACAGGCGACGGCCTACTCATTATCAACGCGGGCTTATTCCGCAGCGCCACCAAATCAATGGCCCTCGCATACCGAATCCTAGGCTTCAAAACACACCACGGTCTACTAGAAGAAGTCGCAGAAATACCCTGGGTCTCCCTCGAAAAAGCTGCCGAAGCGACATGGCCATCTACGCCAAACGCCCGGCCCCGAGCAAGCTTCACGCGTGAAGACTGGGACGAGCTGTGGGGGAATAAATACGACGCCGTCACAGACCTAGCCTCGCCTTTTACACTGGAACTCATAAGTGCCTACCCAAACGCAAAGGTGGTAATTGTGCAGCGTGACTTCGAGAACTGGTGGCCTAGTTTTCAGACTGAAATTCTCGACCGTGTCATGCTTCAGCCGATGGCTGCTATTAACGGGTTTCTGGGCTTACATCTAATGGGGATTCCTGCTGTACAGGCGATGCGGAAGATCCATTTTGGCTTCTTTGGTGCGAAGAGTCATGGGGAGATTCGGGACCGTGCGAGATCGGTATATGAGGCTTATTATCGCGATGTGAGGGCGATGGTTCCGGAAGAGCGGAAACTTGAATATCGGATTGGTGATGGGTGGGAACCTCTCTGTCGGTTTTTAGGGGTTGATGTTCCCGGTGTGCCGTTCCTCTAGGGATAATCATTCGGCTTCGCATGATCAGGAGGCAAGGGCTAGGGTGAGGCTTATTTGGACTGCTGGTGCTAAGGTTGCGGTGCCGCTTGTGCTTGGGTTGGTTGCTGTCTGGGCTGGGCTTGCGTATAAATAGTAGGATAATACCGTGCCTACTAGCACTAACAAAGGGTGAATCGAGGTGAATATCGGATATGTTCGCATTAGAAAAATTATATTAAATCATGGCATAGACACCAAATTGATCATGGAACGAAATGTTATATGAAACGAATTGAAATCTGAATTGCCCCTACCCAAATCATGGTGAGGTACTGCCAGTGTATAAAAATGTCCAAAGAAACAATAGTGATCGACTAGGCAGGGACTCTGCAATCCAAAGTCCCTTGACTTCATTATTTGTAGGTCTATAAGACCATCTAATAGCATTTCTCCAAGAAGGAAGGAGAAACTAAGAAGAAAAAATGAATGCTGAAAATGCTTTCCGAGATGAACACCCACGAAGTTGTCTTAGTTATCCTCAAGGGGAGCGTAGGTGATGCCAAAGTTGACACTGCGAATGGTCTCGTAGCCCTTCGAGCTGTGACGGTCACCGAAGATCTTAAGAGCACGCACAATCATAGTGTAGTTGCCTTCCGGAACATACGAGCCGTTGGCAAGTTGACCCTGCCAGGAAGTAACAGTAGGGGCAGTGCTGATCCCATCAACAGTTCTGGCAAGGGCAGTCTGCTCGGAAATCAAGAGAATGGGGCCACCCTTCGCTGACTTAACGCCAACGAGGAGCAGATCCGTACCCATGGAGAGAATGGGTGCGAAAACGGGGTAGGTGGTGTTGGCCTGCTCTGATGTGGCGTTCTGGTTTGACACAATGAATTGGTGGTCGGCCTTCACAGGCTCCTTGGTGCTGCTATCGGTCAGGACGTTGTTACCGTCCTTGGTGTCCATGATAGTAACGTTGCGCATGTCGGTGGCAACACCCAGATAAGGAACGGAGAAAGAATCGCTGGATGAAGTGCCGTTGAAAGTGATGTATCCGCTGTAGACAGGGATCAGGCGCGAGTCGAGACCCTTAGGGGGTGTAGCAGTGACCTTGAGGACAGCAGACTCACCAGCAGGGACGCTAACGCTGGATGAGCTGAACTCAAGCGAGGCGCCCTGGCTGGTGCGATTGACGAAATTACCAAGCTTGTTCTCCTTGGGGATAGTGCTGTTGCCGTCGAGTGTGAAGACAGTGGCGGCGCCGACGTGGCCGATAGTGTAAACACGGGGCGATGAATCGGTGTTGTTGATGCGGATATAGGCCGGGGCGATATGCTGGGTGTCATTGAACGAGATGGTGCTGATGTTGAACTTGGTAGTGGCGTGCACAAACTTGTAGGCATCGATCAGACCGCCACCCTGTTGGGCAACAGATCCTAGGAAAGGTGAAGCGGTGACACCGTCATGGAAGACATTGGGGTTGGCAGTGGTGGACAGCAGAGCCTTGATCTCGGCGGGACTGACCTTGCCCTTACCGCGAGCCTCCATCAAAAGAGCAACGCAACCAGCCACGTAGGGAGTGGCCATAGAGGTACCACTCTCGATAGCATAGCCACCCTCAGGGAGAGGCCAGGTCGACAGCATAAATCCACCCACTCCAGAGACAGCGGTCGATGGAAGAATCTCATTGCTAGGACCCCACTGGGTGAATTCACTGATCTGGCCGCCGGACTGAGGGTTGGTCTCGTTAATGAAGATGGTCTTTGCAAACTCGGCACTGGTCATATTCAGAGTGACATCGGCGCCAGATGCGACCAGGTTGACGAATTTCTCGCCAGTCTGGGCGGAGAGCATTCCATACCCACTCAGGCTGTCGTTCACAGCAGAAAACTCGTAGGTACCAGGCTCGTTGAGGTAGATCAGGATGTTCTTCGCTCCGGCCTGGATAGCATTAGCCTGCTGAACTCGACTGCTACAGCCACCATAGCGGATCAGAACAATCTTGTCGGAGAGGTCGGGGTGGGTTCCGGTCCACGGCTCGCAGGAATCATTGACGATAGATGTGTTAAGGCTGCCAGGGTACAGGCCATAGGTGCCGTTCTTGAAGTCGTGGCTAGCCGCCGGCTGCCAGCCGAACTGCTGAGTACCGTTGGAGGTGTGGTATGTAGCGCCAGTGAGCAGCAGAGGACTATACTTGTTGTTGAAGGATCCAATGCCAACTCCAGCAGGGTTGTCGATACCGTTGGAGCCCAGGAACACGCCGCTGGCTCCGTCGTTACCAGCGGCGATGAAGGAGGGAATACCAGCTTCGGCCAGCCTCTGGACTGTTTGTCCGAATGGCTCGTCACTCCAGCCCTTGTAACTACCAAAAGAGGCAGAGATGATGTCGACCTTGTCTTCGTACGCTCTCTTAAACGCGGCGGTGATGATGTCAGTGCTGTATGTCACCTTTTGTTTTCCAAGGATCTTGTAATGACCAAGAGTCACGTTCGGGGCCACACCAGTGAACCCGTAGGGGTTGCTCTGAGCAGCAATCAATCCAGAAGTGTGAGTTCCTGTGGAAAAGAATTAGACGACAAGTTTAACATCGTTTACCGATTGTCTCTGTGTGTGAACATACCGTGGCCGGAATGGCCTTCATACGGGTCAGTGGTGTTGTCCAAGAAATTCCAGCCGAATTCAACCAGGCAGCCCTTTCCAAAGCAGCCACCAAGGGCGGGATGCGTATAATCAATACCCGTGTCAATAACAACCACTTTGATACCAGTTCCCAGGTAGCCTTCCTGGCGCAGTTTGTCAACACCGGTCATAATGTGAGGATAGTCGTTGCTTTCGTGACCCGCGGTATCACGGCGACGGAAACCGTGAGAGCTAGCAGAGCGGCGGGCATGAGAGTTGTGCGCTACACTCGAAACTTCACTCTTGGGTTGTTCCAACTCCCTGACGGGGGACACCTTCTTCACTGCAGCCCATGAAGAGATCTGTTTAATAACGGCAGCTTCGTTCTTGTCATCCTCGAGAGTGAATGAACCACCGTGGAAGAGATCGAAAGACAGGTCATGGTTAAGAGTTGCTTGAATGCCGTGTTTGTTTAGAGTAGACAGGAAGCTTGCAGATGACTATTCGAATCAGTAGATTAGCAGATAGCCCGTTGATCCCAGTTGACGCGTAAGAATAGACGAACAGTCTGGGAGTTGGCAAACTCGACAATGTACTTCTGCGCGATGGGGTCACCGTGGCCAGCCAGAGCCACCGGAAGTGCTGCTAGGAACGCGCCCAGCCATGGCCAGAGAGGGGCCATATTTTAAAGAAAGTGGTTTGTTCCGGAGTAGTAAAAGAGTGACTGGGAACAAGAAGCAATGAGAGGATGACAGGGGAGGGGAGGAGATTTAGGTATATGCAGGCTGGCTGTCAAAAACAAAACACTGCAAGTGCCGGCCCCTGATTTCTCTTCCATACTCATCGATAATCCATCAAAATGTCAACCTTAATACCCTACTTTGTTGATTTTTCTGCTGATCCGAAAGCCCTTGATGGGCCCGAATCCCGTAATCGTTCGTGATCGGCATCGATAGCCGTCGATCTATGACTATTCCGGCTAGCGCATCGGGCCCGGCAATCAGGATCCAACCGTGATTGGCCTTTCGGAGATTACCTCAACCTTCGATCTGTGGTTCGTTCTGTGGTTCGACAAAGTCGGCCCTACAAAGCTCTCTTCAGCTGTGCGATCGGGGCAGTGCTATTGAATGCCAAGCTCGGCTTTTATTTATTACGTATTGGCACTACAGACAGTGTTGGGGTACCATTCACCAAATAGCATCGTTTATGAGGTACGAAGCGGTCGTCTGAAATTGTCCTCGTTCCAAGAACTATCACATCATACAGTTCTATCTACTGTCTCCTTTGATCAAGATACTTGAGTGCCAAGAGTCAACTATGGAATCGATCGTCATAGGCTCGCCAAGATAAATGACTTCTTTCTTCCTATGGGACTCCAGGTTGATCATACGGAAGTTCCGGTAGGCTGAGTGAGGTTCTCATTGAAGTTTGCTATTCGAGATAACGAGAAGAAGTGTAAATTCAATTTCATGCTATGTGCCGAGTACTCTATTTCCAAAAATAAAATAAAAAACCAAATACATCGTGAAATGAAGATATGTGAAGCCTTTGGAAGGCAGAAAAATAACAACAATCTGTCGAGCCATCGATCTGATCTGTGAGTCCGGAGACGCTCAATAATGACCTTTTAGTTGATCTCAACAGTCCGGTTCAAAGTCTCGAGGTAGGGGTAATTTCCCGCCTAAATTCCAGAGTTAGCCCAGTCTGAGTCTACAATCTCATCGGAATGAATTAATACTTACACCAACGAGGGCGAAATGGGCGATGTTGATCTGGGCCTTGCCATCCTTAATACTGGAGGGGATTGTGACAGTAAAGTTCTCGTAAGGAGGAGCGCTAGACTCGTGGTATACGGGCTTGAAGTCGCCGTGGTAAAGGATGGTGCCCATTGTGTCCGTGGGAGCCATGCAAGGCGAAGAAGCACACGAGGAGATACCAATTGCGACTGACAGCTCAGTCGATCCGGTCAGGGAGTTCTAGTGGTGATATTAGCAACTTGAATTCGTGAAACATGGCCTATGGTGTCGTTCTTCACACATACAGGTCGCTGGATCTGCACCACAGTATCGCTGCCAGCCTCGAGCTTTTGACCCTCGGCGGGATATCCAATGCCGGCATTCTGAGCCAGAGCGACGCTGGCGATGGCTGCGAGAGAGACAAGGAACTTCATATTATCGGCTGAGGTGGTAAAAAGGGTTGAAATACAGATATAAAACGTGTTTCAGAACGAATGTACAGTTAGAAGATGTACAGTTAGAAGATGTTTAGATGAAGATGGATGAGATGTGATTGTATCTAGGGTGTGGAGGAATATCATGGGGTATTTATAACCTCGAATAAATCTGGCCTGCAATTAAATCGACTTTTAACCAGAACAACCAAGGTTTCAAGACAACCATGGTCCCGGGGTGGTGATTCGCCAAGTCTCAGGCAGATCGCGGTGAAGTGTCTCGGTAAGCTGCCCAATGCCAATGTTTCTCATCTCCTTGTGGATCCCCTTTTTGCGGATGGCCCAATCAAGTCTACCCAGGGGGCCTTGGAATAACCAGTTTGTACCAAAGAATTGATTCTCCACGCCAGGACTGTGAAGTTCTTTTTTTGGGTTGGCCCCTTGAAATCCATCGGATGGTTACCCCGGGACTGGTGATGGCGGCGCGGCGATCCGGCACTTGAGGCGCCCAGGGCCGGGCGGGTGTCAGGGGGGCTAAGCCGTACGCCATCAAGCCACCGGGCTGCCTAATTTGCATTTTACATCACCCAAAAGCTCAACGGATGTGGCCGGATGTAGTAGTTGTTGTTGAGTAAAGCTATTTTAAGGGTGCTTCTAATGCAAGGCTTAGCGGTCTGCTCACCAATAAAATGTTTCAGGTAAGCTTCCAAACTCACAATGACCACAAGGCTGGAAACGCCTCTAGTCTACGTAACTATTACCAGAAAGGGGGTTTGCAGGGTCAGCTGTCTAAGACTTCGCCAAGGAGAAATTAGTAGATAGATCAACTTCTTATGGCTAATCTCACGAGTCGTTTCATCAATTTCAGATACAATCCACTCAAATGGCATAGGGTGCTTTAAGCTTGTAGGCTGGTGTTATTTCTAACCAACCCGTCTCTAATCAATTAGCTGCAACTGTGCTATTTTTACCAAGGATCACTGGCATGGTAGCATTTCTCTTATTTTATGCGAAATTGTCCTTATTTTCTGCTTTTGATTTATGAATTCCGATGAAGAGGTTGAATATAACCTTGGAAGTTTGTGACCTGCCTTTTTTTTTTTTGCTGGGGCGGCCTTTTCGTACAGGAAAGGGTTCTTAAGTTGGAGACTGCAGTGGCTAGGGCTCTAACAAAACTACTGACCTCTCAGACCTCTATGAGCTCTTAGGATATTGATGTCCTGAGGACGTAAAAATCCGATGTTACGCGAAAAGTTCATTTCTTAATGCCAAAATTAGATTGCGTAGATTGCGCGAAATTCAAGTTTGTGTTGCAAAGTCGAACTGATACCAAGGTTGATCTTGCTGTGGAATATAGCGAGTAGAAATAGATCAACGACCTACCAAATCAAGTTGAGAAGTTGGAACGCCTCAAATAGTACTATTTCACCTGATCGACAAATTCGTTACAAATTTTAATCCCACATAGTCCTCGTGCTTTTTCTCGTCACAACTTGAAGATGTATACAGGGCGTCGATCAGTACTGCCTCCACGCTAGGTGTCCGATAACTCAGTGCTAGTTAGTAGGTGTGTCTCGACCGAACGATAATTCGCGACCACTAATTCGCTTTCGATCAATAGAAACAGCTGCTTGGCCACTCTGCTTTCGCGGTTTCCTTGAAGGTAGAGAGTCACCGTGCTTCCGCGACGATCTTTAGATGAATTATGTCTAGAAAGTCCTAGCTCCACAATTGTTTAATTCATTGACAGGCTTCCCTCCATCTTGACTTTACCCTGAACTCTAATCACAATACAAGATAATGTAGATTGTGGGTATAACTCCAGAGAAAATGAACCAATTAGAGGAGCAGCACAAAGGCCAAATATTATAAGTTCTTTAAGAGACCGGTTATTTTGTACTATGAAGTGATCTTTTCTGTGGGCCTTTGGCCCTTTGCTGTGTTGAGGGGTGGGGGAAGTTCGAAGAGCCTTAAATGCTTAATTAGTATTGAGGTCAACTCTGTACCCTCGTGGCATGACCTCGAGAGACAGTGCTGGATTTATATCAAAATTTGGTAACCCAAGTGGCCGTAGATAAATTTAAGGCCCAATGAACAGGATTATTCTATCAAGATTCTTCTGAAACTATATGCGAAAGAAATCATGGGTCAGAATCTGTCTCATTTGTGTCGTCTCACAGGGAAGTGATCGGTTCTTTGAAGTGGCAAATTTTACAGAATGGCAACTTGAAGTCATTGATGGGTATTAACTTGTGTGCTCAAAGTACTCCTACCCCGTCCCCATGTGAGTTTGCAAAAGAATGACTTGTAGTTCGCAGAAAATACGCCGATCGCAACTTTATCAGGTTAGATCAATCCCAATCTTAGAGACCGGAACATAATTTCCTATCTCGGCTGGATTGACCTGACCGACCTCGGGATCAGATGTTTTGGATCAATAATCCTCAAGGCATCAGTATGTCACAAGATGCTTGAAAATAGAAAGGGAATGAACTGAGTTTCCATGTGAGTTCATGATACGAACTCCAACCTGCCATAAACAGGCGCTGAAGATTCTGTTGTCTTAGCGTCGCAAATTGCAATACGATTCTAAGCGCTAATGACGTCAAATCATGAAAAACATTCGACCAGTTAAAGCGACAGGGCGAGATCGACGGGCTAAATGGCGGGGTATAAGGGGGAACCTGGATGATGGATCCCCATGAACGCCAACGGGGTGTACCCACACCTCGGCTTCAGGTGGTCCGGTCAAAGAAATCAAATATAGATAATGTTCCTGATTTCCCCAGACTTATCCCCTCTCTTACACCATCAACACCTCTCCCAAAATGACTGCCCCTATGCGGAACCCAAAAGACTCTATGAAGTCCACCTGGCGACTATGGGACAAGTCAGAGTGGAATATGGGCCACTGGCTTCTCGAAGTCTTGAACGTCCATCATCTGAACCTGGGCGAGGATGTCCCAGTTCACCAAAAGACCGACAAAGTTCCCTATGCACCTGAAATGCAATTCCATCGTTGGGTTCTCATGCACGCTTTCATTCCACTCGTTATTCACCAACTATACATCAACTTCTTCGGCCGACCCCATGGGTTGCTGGTTTTCATCTTCTACAGCCTAGCTCTCGAATTCAATGCTGTACACGAAGTACGAGTTCTACGTCGTGTCGGCCACAAAATTGGATTTTTCGACGGGGACAAGCATGCTCGCGATGGTGTGCCTGACGTGGGCGTCGGAAAAACCGTGCAGACCGTGTTATCCGTTATCATCTTCCGCCCAATGTTCACCGTTTTCCTTGCCTATCGTGGCGACGAAGCCCCTGCCTCCATCCGATGGGGATGGCTTATCTTTGAAACCGGCATGTATGCTGTTGTCCTTGACTTCTGGTACTACATGTTCCACCGTGCCTCCCATGAGACGGAACATCTCTGGAAGTTCCACCGCACCCACCATTTGACCAAACACCCTAACCCTCTCCTGACTGCATATGCGGACAAGGTGCAAGAGTTTATCGATGTCATTGGCACTCCGGTTATCACGTATGGAACCATGAAACTGATGGGATTTCCCATGGGTTTCTATGAATGGTGGGTTTGCCAACAATACATCGTGTTCACCGAGGTTCTCGGTCATAGCGGTCTACGAATGCTCGCCACCGCGGTCAACCCATGGACTTCTCTTCTCAGATTATGCGATATGGAGCTTGTGATCGAGGACCATGATCTTCATCACCGCAAAGGCTGGAAGAATAGTCACAACTACGGCAAACAAACCCGGGTGTGGGATCGGCTCTTCAAGACGTGGATTCCTCGTATCGAAGGATATGCGGATAATATTGACTATGTAAACACGGCTGAGATTCCTCTGTGGTAATGGCCGTGACTGCTTGCTATGGAATTTTTATGCGATATATCTGTTTATAATTCACTCTTAGGAGGACCAGAGGGATAATTTGTCTATGTCATTCATACTAGTTAGTATACTATAGATCATAAAATTAGAAGCACAAGCAGGCAAATGAAGATTATGACCCATTTCAAAAAGGGGTTTTCAAATACTAGTACCCTACTCTTAATGCAACTGCCGAGCCAGATCTTCAACCTCAAGGTCAAACATTCCATGAAAACTAGTTCACATATTGCCAACGGAAGGGGTATGTAGTAAATACTTTCAAACTTTTGTATCTTTGTTTTAAGAGCTATGAGCCAATAATTTCAAACAAATGAAAGGTGCATCATAGCGAGGACATATTCACTAAGTCGCTGGGTAATTCCAGGTGTGCTACTGTGAATATGATCATAAATTACTAGGCATGCAAGTCTGCCAGTATGTTACAGGGCTAACCGGGATGCATGTATCTCGGCCGGGATGTCCAATGAAATTTCCTCGCTTTAAAATATCCGATCAACTTTGAAACGGAATTGGAAATTTGAAATGTCGGTCCTATTGGAAATGTATATAGGGGGTCAACCTTTAGAGAGGGATTAGTGAGCCCCGCATAGCCTACGCAATGAACACGCATGTAATAATTTGAGATTGTTGGGTTTTCTTCCAGAAATTCTTGCAGTTGCATACATAAATCTATTCTTCATCTTTAGAACTCATCCTGTTACCAGCATTTGATCATGATGTCATCCGCCGAGAACCACGTGGAAGTGATCGTTGTCGGTACGGGGATTGGTGGTTTGGCTGTCGCTTAGAGATATTCTCCTGGTATCAAAATTATCCCACATGGATGAGAAAACAAGGGATCCCTAGAACTTCAAGTTTTGATTTTACAACATCATGTCCCCTGGCTTGATGCTACAACACGGTAAAATAATACTTATTTCGTTCCCTAGCAAGGTAGAACTCTCTCCTCTGGTGCTGCCTGCGATCTTAGAGAAGTCATTCCAAGACGGAGTGATCTACGAAAGAAGAAAGTTTTGAAGTAAAGTCTGATCCCAATTTGTGCAAAGAAAGATGCTAAAACAAATGCTAAATACAAAACAGATTAAATATGACAAAATCATACAAAGCTGACAGAAATTTCTCCCTGCGTCACTTTTTTACAGTTCCTCTTCGATCTCGCCGTTGTTCTGTCCGAGATCCAACTCCCAGAACTTAATCTCGGTCTGGAGGGTGTCCTCACTACCCGCGGCCTTGCCACCACCAAACTTCTTGAGGTCCCACTTCTCAACGCCCTCGACGCCAGCCAGCTCGGTTTTGAACTGGTTGAAGACTTCGGCGTTAAGGCTCTCGTACTCGGCGTAGTCCTTGGGCCAGTCACCCAGGCGCTGGACGGACAGCTTGAGGAGCTGCAGGTGCTGGCGGGCGTGCTCGCCCTCGGAGAGAGTAACTCCGCTGCCAGAGTCGCTGATGTCCAGCTCGTAGGCGGAGCCATCCATGCTCATAGAGCCGTCAAGGCCACCCTCAAACTCAGCGAAGGAGGGGTCGATGAGAATGCGGAGGAGGTTCTCGTGAACACCGGCGCTCTTCTTATAGTACTTACCAGCCATATGCTGACCACCCTTGCGCTCCAGGTACTGCTGAGCAATGCCAGTGTACAGCTGGGAAAGGAGAGTAGAGATCTCCAAGGTGCTGTTGTGGTGAGCACCGTTGACACGGCGACAGTTGTAGACGACGTCCTCGGCGAGACGGGCAGCCTTGAGAGCGTCACCGGACAAGTAGCGGGCCAGAATGTAGCGGCGGGCCAGACCCAAGGTGATGCTGGAGGACCAGTTTTGCTGGTTGCGGCTGGCCCAGAGACCGGACAGCAGCCAGACAAGGTTCTTGTAGTCCTTCTGCTCGCCGAGCAGACCGATGAGGATGTTGAGGTAGTCCAGGCCGATCTGGGCCAGGTTGATTTTCAGGTCACTGATGACACGGAGAACCTCCTGGATGATGATGGCAGAGACGCCGGACAGCTTCTTCTGAGTGGTCTGGCCGGGCTGAGGCTGGCTGGTACGGCCAGTGATGAAGACACCGAGGGTGAACACGAACTTGACAACTGAAGGAGTTCGGAAAGAGTCGTGGGCCGAGATGTACTGGAATGCAGCCAGGGCCAGGTTGGAAGCCTCTTCATAACGCTGGGCTTGAAGGAGCTCCAGAACACGAGTGTTGCTGGCGATACCGACCGAGCGAATGAAGTTAGAAGAGGTGTGGGTATGGAAGTGGTCGACGATGGTCAAGAGGAAGATCTTGACCTGAGCAGCATCGGTCAACTTGGTTCGCTTGCCCTCAGTACCAATGAAGTAAGTGACGAAGTCGCCAAAGACGACGTTGGCAGCGGTGGAGCGGTTGCTGCGGATCAAGAACTGATACAGACGCGAGGCAGAGACAGAGACGGTGTGGAAGGAGGCAGTCTTGGAGGTGGTCAGGCTGCGGAACTCCTCAAAGTACACATACTCGGTGGTCAGCGCGGCCAGGATCTCGGTGATGGAGGATGTAGTCCGGCGCAGGCTGTGCTCAAGCTGGGCCAGGAAGACGAGGCTCTGGCGGCCCTGCTTGGAAACGTCAAACTGGGAGTTCTTGGTGTTAGAGGTGTCCTTCATGACAACCTGGCGGTACAGCTCCTCCGACATCTCAGTCGCCTTGGAAGACTGGTTGGTCTCAATATAGCTAGAAGCGATAGCGATAGCAGCAGAGACAAGACGAGTGGAGGAAGTCTCCTGGGTGAGGACGTTGATGGTGGATTCCTTCAGCTCCTTGGTGACAGCAGAGCTCTCGCTGTGCTTGGAGTGGAAAGAAACAATCTTCTTCAGCTCGGAGATAGACTCCTCGGAAGCCCAGCCTGTCTCCTTACGCATAGTGGTAATGCGCTTGCGCAGAACCTTGGAGGCACGCTCAACCTGGCTGGCCGAAACCGACTCGGACTTGGAAAGGGCGACGCTGGTCTGCTCCTCGTAGATGCCATCAAGAGTGGCAGAGATCTCCTCAAGATCAATCTCCGTGGTCTTGGTCTTCAGCAACTCCTCGTACAGAGCGATGGCGTCAGTCTCGTAACGCTTGGACTCCTGGCAGACCTTGGCGAGAGTCAAAGTGGCCTGAATAGTGATGGTAGCAGTAGCACCGAACACAATCTTGACCTTCGTCTGGAAGTCCACGGTGACCTTGTGAATCACAGAGTAGTCAGTGCGGACAGTGCGCAGCACGTGAGTGTAACGGTCGAAGATCTCCTGGACAAACTTGGTATCCTGGAAGCGAGGAGACTTGGGCTGGTTCAGGAAAGTAGTGAACAGCAGAGCGAAGTAGTGCACAGCATCGGAGTAGCGGCTCTGGGTCCAAAGCTCAGTGGCAACAATGATAAGAGGCTCAATAGCATCAGGCTGGCAAACCGGAGAATCCTTGTTGAGAGCCTTGATGATGCGCTGGTAGTACTCGACAGAGATAGGGCGAGGATGAGTCTTCTGAGCCAAAGTCCACAGAGTCTTGATAACAATGGGGTTCTCGGGGCCATAGTGCTTGATCTGGTCATCAAGGATCTCCTGCCAGATGCTGATGACATTGTCAGGCTGCTTAGAGATCTCGTAGAAGCGGATCAGCTCCATTGTGATGCGCTCACGCAGCTTGTCATCGACAGGGCGACCGGCACGAACAGCACGGTAGACGCGAATGCGAGTGTTCTCCTCACGAGGGAAGCGACGGCGGAAGTGGTAGCACTGGCTGAGGCGCTCGGCAAGGTCGACACACTTCTCGACGTGCTTGGAGGGCAGAGTCACATCCTGGATAGAGGGAGCAAACAGCGAAGGCCACAGGCCCTGGAGGACCTTCTTGACAACGCGAGTGGCATCCTTCCAGCGGTGCTGAGCAACGTACAGCTCAACCAGGGTGCTGGTAGCAGTGAAGGAGCTCTCGTCAATCTTGGAAATGGACGAGGAAGCCTCGTACACAATCTCCTCCAGAGTAGACTCGGAGGTGACCGAGGACGACGAGCTAGCCTGCTTAATCACTTGCTGGTGGGTCGACTTGATGCTCTCCTGGATCTCAGAGTAGGAGGAAGACTTGGTGCTGTTGGTGCTCTGGTAGTAGTGGGCACACTGCTTGAAGATAGACAGGGCAGCGGTCGACAGACCGACAGCAGTCATGACCTTAGCAATCTGGTGGAAGTGCTTGGTGGTAGACTCGGACAGAGCAAGGCTGGTGTGACGGTACTCCTCCCAGACGCTGGACAGGATGGAAGAGGACTCAGTCTCACGCTTCTGGGTGCGCAGGAACTCGGAGTACACAGTAACGGCCTGGAGCTTGATTTCCTCCCAGTAGGTGGAGTATTGGATGCGAGACTCCTTGCTGGCACGCTGCCAGATCTCAACGTACACACGCTCAGCCTGGGCAATCTTGCCCTCAGCAGTGTACTTCTGGGCAAGCTGCACAAGAGCCTGGTAGTCGAAGGAGTCCGACTCACGCTCATCCTCCTCGGCATCCAGAACAAAGCGGATTCCGAAATCGCTATCCTGGCGCTTGTGGCCCTTCAGGTGCACATGGAGATCACCACGAGTATCATTCTCGTATCCAGTATCGACGGTAGTGAGAGCCTTCAGAGAAATGGTGATCTCTTGCAGCTTCTGCTCCTCCTTGGTCAAACGATAGTGCTCGATCAGGGTGTTCAGGGTGCTGGTCACACGCTCAGAAGTCTGACCGTAGTGAACCTTGTAGCTCTCTAGGACGATCTTGAGGATCTCCTCACGCTTGATCATGATGTCGGTCCTCGAGGTGGTCACACTCTCGGTGGTCAGCTCAATGAAAAGAGCAGCAATCTTCATAGTAATGAGGTGCTTGGCGGTCAGCAGAGTGTTACTGATGGTTGTGAGCTCGTAGAACAGAGTGACGGCCTCAGGAAGACGGCTAATATCACGGTTGAAGAAAGCCAGAGTGATGATGGACTGCAGAGTCACCGGGCTGTTCGTGGTCAAAATGTTACGGAGCAGGTTGGTGACAGTGGTCTGGTAGGTGAGCAGGGTCGGGGTCGAGATGGAGTGCCACAGAGTGTTCTGAAGGAGAAGCACAGTGATACTAGTGGGGAAGACCTTGCTGTACTCCTTAGCCGTGGGAACATCACCTCCGGTGGTGTAGGTGGTGGTCTGGGTAAGGTGACGGGGCCAGTAGCGCACGGCAAAGTCCAGAAGAGGGTAGCGGTGCGTCAAGAGGTTGATGTCCTGGCGATCCAGAGGAGTGAGCGAAGGCTCGTGTTGCTCGGGAACAGCAAACTTGACGTAGACCAAAAGACGAGTGACAAAGTCGGCGTGGTGATCCTTGATGGTAGGAATCAGCTTCCCCTTGGAGAAGATATCCAAGACAGCAGAGCGAATCAAGCCGTGACGCAGATACAGCTGACCGTCCTGGAGGAAGATAAGAGAGCTCAAGGGCTGGAGAATCTTCATCGGCTCGACCTTGCGGTCGGTCACAGTGAGCTTCTCGGGCTGAACCTGGCTCAAAGCGACGAGCTCACGGGGCGACAGAGGACGGTCGGCCGTAGCGAGCCACAGCAGCATGTGCTTAGCATCCTCGGTGACATCGGTGTTTGACAGCGAGTGAATCACAAAGTCAGTGACGGTGATCTTGCTGCTGATGACAGTATCAACGGCCTTGGTCAGGTTCTCGGGAGAAGACTCGTGCTGGGCACGCTTGGAGCAAAGCTTAGCCCACAAGAAAGAGCCCTTGGAAGCCTCGGAGATCTTATCAATCACGGTCTCCTGGTCCATCTCAGGCATCTGTTGGAAGACCTTGCTGTGCTCCAAGTTGCTGCGCACCACAATAGAGATATCGTCGGCGATGCGCTCATCGACGATCGGGACATGGAGGACGTTGTCGGAAGCAGGAGGCTTCTCAGAGCCCAGAGTAACCAGCCTCACGTTGGTACCATTGGCAGAAGCAGTGGTCAGCTTCTTCAGCAAAGCGCTCTCGCCGAAAGCAGCCTCATCGAGGCCATCAACGATGATGACCAACTCCTTAGCATTGCGGAGGGCGGCAGCTAGAGCACGCTCCAGGGCGTTCCACAGAATAGCCTCGTAGTCCTCGGCAGAGGTGGTCTTGCGGCTACGCTCATAAGCGTCACCCAGAATTTGCAGCAGCTGAACATTTCCAATACGCTTCTCGAACAGTTGGGACAGAATGGTCTTCGCGACGGCAACGGGCTGGGTGGAGGCTGGGATGCGGGCGTCTATTGGGAGATATTGGTCAGATGACGGAGATGCTGAGGACAGTTTGGGTATACTCACTGATGGGAACGAAGAGAGTCTTATAGGTGACACCACCAATGGGGTCCTGAAGACGGTCGACGATGACTGAGGCCAGGACGGTCTTTCCAGAGCCAGGCTTGCCAGTGAATGACAGGGAAGACTTGTCACTCTTAAGGAAGCGAGTCAGGTGGGGAGCCATCCAGAGGCAGGTGTTCTCTTCACGCTCATGGGCAAGGTGGGAGGTGTTCTCGGCCAAGTGGCTGAGGACACGGTCCTCAGGTGCGAGCCAGGACTTGACAGCCTTGAGAACGGAAACTATCAACGATAAAACATTAGCTCAAGCCCTTAAGGTTGGCCCGGATGAGGCGCATTTCGAACTTACCCTTATCGGTCTCAACGCCTTCCCTGACAAGCTGGTGGCGCCACATGGACTCGGCAATCTTCTCGCAACGCTCACGGAAAGACCCAATCTGGTTGGGGAAGGTGTGGTAGATATCGACGGAGACAGATTCGGTGGTCTGGTCGTTGATGGACTGGTGGAAATAGATAGAGACACTCGCAACCAGGTTAACCAAGTCAGACAGAGCAAGAATGAGCTGCTCCTTGATCTCCTGGGAGACATCGAACAGCTCAGTGCGCTCCATCAGGTTGACCAGCACGGAAGAGGTGCTGTAGAAGAAGCCGAAGGAGAGCATGAGAGCCTTGGCATTCTCCTTTCCGAGCTATAGATAGTAAAAAATATCTGTTAGCAAAGCTAATTGCCATTCAATTGCTTGAGTCAATCGTCTTAATTTACCTGGAGGAGCAGATCACAGAAGCCATAAGACAGCTGGGTAGCAAGATGGCTGTCGCCAGCAAAGTGGTGGATGTTGAGCTCGAAGGAGTGCAGACGCTCGACGAACAGCTGCGCCCAACCCAGCACCTTATCGTAGCTGCTACCCTCAGCGGGCAGGTGGCTCATGCGCTGCTGGCGAATCCATTCGATGATGGAAAGGTGAGTGTGGTTGTGGCTCAAACGAGAGAAGGCACTAGCACCGAGCTCATTGCCACTGCGCGCATACCAGCTGTTCACAACGCTGCTGATCTGAGAGTTGCCAGCGCCAACAAGCTTGCGTGGGACTCCAGACTCCCGGCGCACCGAGCGAGACATGCCATTCTGGGAAAGACTGTCACTCTCGAACATAGCAGAAGCGCTGGAGACCTGACGCGAGCCGAAGCCGTTGTTATAGAGGGGGGAGAGGGGAGTACCCGGCACGGGGGAAATGATACCAGGAGCCATTTTGCTATTTGTTTCAGTGGTAATAGTTTCTTCGGTAACTGCTTTGCGAGTTTTATTTCTTGTGAGAACTTCGGGGATAGGTGCTCTTTCACTGTATACCGATGGGTTGCTTTTGGTTTCTCGTGGAGGGTGTTGATGCGAATTGGGATCAGATGTTTCTTTTGATGAGCAGCAGCTCCGAAAACAACAAATTAATCGAGACAACTTGGCGACGAAGAGTCAGGAAATCAAGAAGAGGAGGAAGAAGGAATTAAGAAAGCTGGGGGCACATTCGTGAGGGATCAGACTCAGAAAATGTTTGAAAAGCAAAATTTCCCTGGAGAGGAGGCATTCCACGCCTTTTGTAGCAGCTCAGCATGTGGAACTCCCACCATCTCCTATCTTAGCTAGGGTCCTGTGAATCCACATCTCAGTTCTCAATTGGGAGATGGCTGGGTGGTGGAGGCGAAGTATCTGTACGGTGGAAGCTCCTACGGAGTCATGTACTATAGGATTACGCCTTTTGGTATCAGTAGAGTGGGTATGGATAGAGCTTCAGCTGCAGGGTGGGCGCGAATTTTTGCCATCACCCCTCAAACTATCTCTGATCAGCTGCAAAGTAGGATTCCCCCGCTTCTCTTTGACAGAAGAGCTAAATCTAGTGTGGCAACAGCTTCCCATGATGTACGTATCTTGCATAGCCTTGCTGTATTTGGGACGGTCAAGGTTTCAATGCATGCATTGGCGTCCGAGACGAGGTGGTTCCAAAGCACAACCAGTCCAATAGTTGGTTAATCTAGCAGAGTACTCAGTATTGTTGAGTACCAATTATCCCGCGTCTCCGCCAGGTGGATGGTAGCGTGGAGAATAGAATCTGCATGATGATGAGGTTACTCGGTGCCTCCTCTCCACTCTCATCATCATAGTGACATATGATTCGGCATCAATGGTGTGAAACAGCCACACATTAAGGATCCATATGAGCTACGAAGAAAAAAGAAAGAAAAACGGGCACGGAGTAGATCTGTCCATTTCAGAGTCCAGATTTCGGAGTCACCGGTACATTGTAGCGTCGTTAGAAGCAGGAGGCAGTAGTTTCCTTACTAGTTTGCGTACTTTTGGTGTCATACTTCCATGTAGTACATACATACACCGTGCTAGCTGCCAAAGTGTGCACCGTGCACTGCACATGGCTGGCTGGCAACTCGTAAACTATTTTTCTCCCCTGGAATATGGTGCGGAGACGACATATGGGTCTGGCCAGTACGATGGTAGCCAATCGAGCCCACAGGATGAGTATAAATGTGGACAGTACTGTAATTCGGACGAACGGTCGATCGATTGGCATAAGAACATGCCGCTTTCATAGAAAACAAGTCGAGCAGTCGTCATCTTTGCGCGGGGTTGGGAGCCTGGGTCCTCTCCTGGGTCGCCGGTCGGTGCTAAATCGCGAACCATGCAGGATTCATAATGAATAGGATCCACTATGATAGGGTGAACGTGCTCCCGAGTACCCGAGAGACAGATCATTTTTTTCTTCAACTTTTCTCCGGACACGAGGAGCGCCTGTCATGCGGCAGCGGGAGCCCCGGCTGGGGCGGAGCTATTGATAGATCATCACGGCGGTTAGGGCAAGAAATTCAAGTCGTCAGCTCCGAAGTATAGTTCTAATATCAAGACTCCATTATGCCAGTCAACTCAATTCCAAATACTGTAGCTTTGTTTCAATCGGTGAAATCCGTAACAAAAAAGGTCGCGGCCAGGTCTGTGTTCGTGTGGTCGGATGTTTTCGCCAAGGTGCATTAGCATAATGGGGCGTGTGGAGGATCGATGGAGGGAAGTCGCAGAACAAGGTGGAGACGGGGGGAAGTCGTGGTACTGCTGGAGCTGAAGAAGTGATCCGCATCGGCTCGATACTCAATCAGAGACTGACTTAGACTGACACTTGAGCCCGAGTCAATGGGAGGCTGAGGCGAGACCCGCGCGGGCTCCACCGATTGCGCCGTCCTAAGGGGGTTGGCTGCATGAAAATGGACCAATACTCATTCTTCGGTAAGCAAACCCCTCATCGAACGTTACTAGCGCGTCTCCGCCATACATAAACCTTTGTTCCCGGCTGTCAAACCTCAGATCTCGGGAAATTTTGTATGTATGTAATAATCAGGGTTTTTGTGCCGATCCACTGTTCGTCCTGGCAACTTGGCCAAGCTAGTAGCTAGTGCGATCGCGAATCCTTCCTGGTTTTCTTCCTCCGTATAGTCAATCCCTTGAATGACACATCATAGCTTTGAATCGAACACTGTAGTGTTCACCAAACTGCCGTGTCTAGGTGGCAAGTTCCCGACGATTTAATATGGTTTGGTGTATAGCGTATGCATATCGAAGAGTTTATACTGCAGGACGCATGTGCAAGCGCCGACAAAAAACGCCAACGGGACAGATGGGGGAAATATTTCCCTTTTTTCTCTAAAAGTCGAATGTAGGATTACGTCCCATACAAAAAAATGTGAAAAAAAAGGCGGCAAACCAACCCATTTTCGAGGATGTCTTCTCCTCGATCCCCACTCCCCGTCAGCACCTTGTGCGGTCAAGTAAATAAGGAACTGTATATACGGAGTATACTAGTAGTATGTAGTAATGTTGTAGTAAGCATACAGAAAAATCATAGAGAGGAAAAAGAAGAAAAACGCCCGGATAGGAAAGAAGACACTGCAATAATACATCACCCCACACTCATTGCTCCGCCATGACTCGCTTCAGTTGGATTTCCAGCCCTTGCGCACCGGGCGGTAGATCGGCTCCATCGTCATTTTTGTCGAAATACAACCTCCATAGCTCTTGACCATCGACGATCCCCAGCTCCTGATCCGACCGATCCCGGGCCTCATCTTCCGACAATCGTACTGCCAACCACCCTTCCCACCCGTCTAGTGTCACGAATTGCTCGTCTTTAGTCCAGCTGTACGGCCCACATACGTGATCTTGACTGTCGGGGCGGCCACCCCAACGCATCTCGTGCGTTTGGGCGTCGAGGAATACCCATCGAAGTGTGGGGGGTTTCCTCTCCGCTGATGGTCACCATGCCAGAGGTATTATTGGGAGGAAAGTCGGGATGTTGATAGAATCCTCCATTGAAGGGGACCATAGATGAACTCGGGTGTTTCGTCATATAAAACTGTTGTTTTTGAGGAACAATACATCGTCAGTTTCGACTCAGATACCTCGTGCTCGTCTACAGGTCGGAGACTTACCTTCCCGTCCAGACCCACATAGACTTTGGCATTCTGAATCTGTTGCCGCAATTCGGGAGTGCCCTGGCTTAACGAACAGGTGGCCACTAGGTGAACGCGCTGTTTACGCTCTGTGGTTCGTCGGTTCTCCTCCTGATCGCGGCTCCCCTGAGTTGCCTCGTTCAGGCCAATCATGGTTGGCAGCATAGTTGCCATCATGACAACCCCAAGCACCATTTTGAGCGGACTTTTGGCGCAATAGAAAGGGGAATCACGGCGGGGTTGCGGTATTAGGGCTAGAGGTGGTGATGATGGTGCGGTTTCAACATCGGCACCAGAAAACAGATAAATACAGGAGAAATGTTTCCAGCCCTCAGAGTGGGGAGGAAAGCAGATGGCACGAAGTGGACTCGATTCGAGTGGATCCTGCATCCACTTTTGTCTCCATAGGTTGCATCACCTTCTCTGCGGCTTAACAAGAGCCGGATTGACCCAAGACAGAGTTTGATAGCCATGTACAATTGGGACCAGCAGTACGTAGATCACCAAGGGAGTGAAGCTCAGCTTGTGTTCCAAGCTGGACAACGTGCCGGTACGAAAAACTTGAAATAGCTCATAGCGTGGCTTCTGTTGAGTCGACCAGCTCCCCTCGCACTGTTCCATTGATCTATATTTTTCTTTCTCCCGCCCATCCCTCTCCAGTCTCCCATATTAGACATCCACAATGTCCGACAGGTAAATTCCCACCCTGAGCTACCACTTACTCACTTCCAATTCATTTCATTCTTCATTCTTCTCATCCCTATAACCCTCACATCACATATCTATCTGATGTCGAAAGGCAAAAAGCCCAAGAACAAGCCACGCCCGCCTCCAGCGCCGGGATCAAGGCGTGACACGCCACAAGACGAGGAGCTAGACCTAGCTAACTTGCCTCCTCTTCCATCCAGTCCCGCCACTTCCACTCGTCCTGACCTTGGCAACCGCAAGCCTGGCCAACAAGACCCCGTGAGCGATGTTGCCAGCCAGGCCGGCGATCTTGCCGACGACCTTACCGGCGGTCTCCAGATCCCCGGAAAGACCCAGGGCGGCGACGAGAAGGAGGGTAGCTTGCGGATCAAGGTTCACCTGAACCTGCACGCGAAGGTCCGCCTGGAGCTGGATGCCCAGATCTACGGTGATATCGTGATTGGTCTGCTTTAAATGATAATGGTGAGAAGAATCCTGTCCAGAATTGTACTGCTCGGTCATAATACTAACTAATTGGACTCTTATAGATCGAGGCGTTATCAATCAACTGGAAATTCACGAATGTATATCAAACGAGTTTAAACATGTCAAATTCAACCTTGGAATAAACGGGTTCTCCACCCCAATTCATTCACATAGTACTACTGCTGTGTAACAAAAAACGCTCCTGCATACATCCGTAGATCCACAGCAATCTCTGCGTATCCCAGAACTGCAACTCGGATGTTTTCAACGAGTCCTGTCAACCTGTCAAGCGAATTGCTTTTTCGTACTACAATACCTTAACCATGGTTGTCGTGTACATGGGTACAAGTAGTTTGGATCCGGGCCGAGCTGAACCAAACTTTTAATCCGACCCCATCCCTACCTCTACTAGAAACATGCTATACTACCCAACCAACACCGATCACAAAAACAAATAAAACAAGCGAACTACTCAAAAATCAGAATAATACATTTTTACAATCTTTCGTCGCCTTGCCCGAAACCAGGAGGGTGGATCCTAATTTTAATTCGTCGGGTCTCGGCAGGAATTGCCCACGGCTGTGATGGTGCCTGCAGGATGCAAGACAGTGGTAAGCAGCAGTGGCCGCGCAAGTCGACCGTTTGCAAGCCTGGGACTTTGACAGGGATCCATCCATGTCTGGCAGTTGATTTGGACTTCATACCCTGCTGCTATTTTCTCCCAAAGATCCGGGGTAGCGCCCGCATGTAAGAACTAGTCTCCAGTTCGTTTCGTGTCAGGCGACTCGATAGTTAGCTATTTCTAGTTCGTACCGTATTACCTGAGGTTTATTGCGACGGTATTTCCTGCCGATTGGTCTGTTCGGGCGGGGGGTTGTTCGTGCTGTCTTCCTAGGTTGCTTTTCAACGCTGGGTACTACTACCTAGTAGCTATTCCGAATCCGAGTCGGTAGATGTTCCTCGTATCCAGCACGGATTATCTCAAAACATATACATTGCTAGTGGTATCTCGCTCAAACCTTCCAAAAGAACCAGAACTTGAAACTCGATTGAAACTTTTAAGACCTCTCGTCGGACTTGAGCGAAGGTAACAGAGGCCCCGAGTCAGAGACCATGAAAGTGGTGGATTTATGCGAATGTGTAGAATATCTAGGAGAGAACGCGATAACAACTTGAACAGAAAGGCGATCATGGATGCCTGAGGCTCGATACCTCGTTACCATCAAAAGCTTGGAACATAGTAATCCCTGTTACATTAAGTACAAACAACACAAATAATCTCTATAGTAACAATTTATTCATGGTATATACTATCTAGGTAGAGTAGGTACGGTAAAACCAACCCAAAAGGAAAAAAAAGACCAGACTTAAACAGAAAAGTCGGGGTATCTCAACAAACAACGCCTTTTGCGTCCAATCCAGGACGATGAGGATGACTGAAAGGAAAGACGAAGGGAAGATGTGATCCAAATCAACAAAAGGTGGAAGAAACAAACGCTATGAGGGAATGACCGATGCTGAGAAGACGAATAGGAAAAGCATGAACGGCAACAGAAACAGAAACAATTCACCAAGCCACCCCCCACATATACATGATATACACAAGTCGGGTTCAATAAAAGTATAGACTTTGAGAAAGGGGAAAAAGAAAAAAAAAAGGAAAGGGAGGGGGTTTCCAAAAGTAGAACCAGAATGGAAGCGGAGCAGAATGGAAGAGAGGTCTTCACTTCACTTATCACTTCAACTGACCCTTCCGAATAGTTCCAAAGCCCTGACTAAAGAGCTCTTGAATCTCAACAGAGCGTCGAGGCGCACAGGAACCCTCCGTCTCCGTGTCCGGCGTCGGCGCGGACGGTACAGCGGGATTACCACTACTCGTAGTGACAGCAGGTGGTGGCGCAGGAACAGCCTGTACAACCTGCCCAGCAACCTGACGAGCGCGCTCAAGATCAGCATCAAGTTCCCGCTCACTGTCAACACGAGACTCGGACAGATCGGAATAACTACCCCCTTCGCCCTCGACCTCGATTTCCTGCGCAGCGGGTTTTTGTGCAGGCGAGGATGAGGGGCCGGTCATCACGCGGGGACGAGAGAGGAGTTCTTGAACATGTCGTTCTCTCGCGTCCATTTCTTCGTTCTCGCGGGCGATTTCGAAAGAGGATCGTTTTGTCCCGCGGTCCCAGCCTTGTTGGAGTTCTGAGGAGGCGGCTTCTTCGAAGCGTTTCCGGATGTCGAGGTCTTGTTCGTATTCTTGGAAGATGTCGACGTCCGTGGGGAAGAAGAAGGCGCGGAGGGTGGAGACAGTCAACTCGAAGAGTAGAACTGAGGCGACGGTGATCAGGAGAACGGTCCAGAAGAGCAGGTTGTGGCCGACGTGGTGGATGAAGTTATCGGGTACATCGTAGACGCCCTTTCCGGATTCGAGTTTGTAGCGTTCCGACAGGATAAGATTCCACAGGAACCAGCCACCGACGGAAATAACGATTATGATTATGGATAGGTAGGTCTTATTGTGAACTTCGAGGAGTTGGAGCTTGAAGTTGATGACGACGACGCAGGCGGAGAAGGTGAGAAGACCCAGGGCGAAGGTGTCGACGTCGCTGGGGTTGATTTGGACCATGCCGAAGAGTCCGTACATGCAGAAGAAGATGATCATTGCTTCGCAGGTAGCCATAAATGTCCAGCCTAGCCAGAGGCGGATGTTAAAGCCGCCATTTTGCTGGCCCTTGGTGTAGAGCTCTGGCACAGCGAGGAGGGTCGAGGCCGCGAGGTCTTTGGTAAAGATTCCCAGGAAAATGACACAGAGAGAGGTGAAGAGAGTATTGAACATACTCAGACTCCACGACTCGTACAGACTGGTTCCAGTGTATCCATTCCATCGCTGGTACAGGGCTTGCGTCAGGTAGAAGAGCATTTCCTTCCAAAAAGTGCCGAGCGTATACTTGCAGGCGCGCATGTAGTTCCAGCGGCCATGAACGAGAAGAAGTTTCAAGAGGAAGCGGAACTGCGCGATAGAGTAGTCCGAGATACGCGCAGCCTGGAGACCTTCTTTACCAGTGATGCCGATACCGACGTGCGCCTCCTGGATCATAGCGATATCATTGGCACCATCGCCGATCGCAAGAGTGATGGAATCCTTGACTTGCATGCGAATCGACTTGACCAGGAACGCCTTCTGCTTCGGGCTGGCGCGACAGCAAATAACCGAGTCGACCTTGATGGCAAGATCGAAGAAACGCTCACGCATGGTTTCGTCAGCCTCAATGGTCGACAGCGTCTGTCCATCGACAACAACGACAGAGTGAGCGACCTTGCTGCGGTTGAGATTTTGAGTAAGGCGGGTGATAGTTTGGTCGACATCACCATTCTCATCGTCGAGGATAGTCAAAGTCGAGTAGTCTTTGACCAAGCGGCAAGAGTGACCGACATTGATGGCAGTCTCCCGCTTGTCACCGGTCAACATCCACATCTTGATATTAGCACGACGCAGCTTATCGATCGCTTCGGGGACGCCTTTCTGCAGCTTGTCTTCGATGGCAGTTGCGCCAGTCAACTCCAGCCCCTGTTCAATCTGCTCACCAACCTCCTCAATCTTCTCCTGACGATCAACGATGCTGGTGCTCGCCTCATGGTAGGCGGTCTTCCAATTTTGGTAGCTCGACTCGTCGAGAAATCGGTGGCCATAAAGCAGGGTCCGCAGCCCCTCCGTCGCAAAGTCATTCAAGTGCTGGAAGCATCTCTCAAAGATGGCAGCCTCATTCACAACAAGAGCCTCCTCGACCAAATCCTCATCTTCTTCTCCATTGGTCTCGCTTCCAGAATCCGAAATCGCAGTCGAGAATCTACCCATCTGCGCCGAAGGACGAGGACTGTAATACTCAGGATCGTCACGGTTGAGAATACCACCCTCCGTCTCACGATCACGAAGCCAAACATCAATACTTTGACGCAGGGTCGAGGTATGATTTCCCGAGACCGAAGACCGGCGACGAGCAAAGCTAGGTCGACTCGCAAAACTGTTCCGGACGCCGCTATCCTTGCGACTTTGGTACTCGCTATTGCGGCGGATGATCTGGTTCGCCTCGGCAGCCTTGCGCTTCATGACGCGGTGTTCGATCTCAGTCGCCTTCTCTTGCGCCAGATCGGCCTTCTTGAGCAGTCGCATGAGTGTGGTATCGGCACCCTTGCAGAAGACGCAGATGCGCTGGTCGGGCATGCGAACAACAACCGACATGCGCTTGCGTGCACTGGAGAATTCAATCACATCCATAACCTCGTATGTTTCGTCCACAGATGGTTCGTTGGGACCATTGGGGTGATTGCGGATGGTAAGCGAATTAGACTGGCGATCTAGAACGAGGTAGCCGAGTTCCTGTGCAGCCAAAACCAGGGCCATTTCATCGGGGAGGCGGCTTGGAAGGTGACGGAGCCGTTCTCATCCTCTTTCGGGAATACAAGTGTGGCAGAGGGCGATAGACAGGAGGAAGAGCTTGGCCTTGCGAGCAAAAACGGTGTACGGCTTGCGCTGGATGTACTCGAGCATTTCAGCTGTGCGATAATTGGCAGCACGGCCATGGGGCCGCAGGGCATCCAGGCCGGCGGAGATATTAGAAGGACGAGGAGCCATGCGAGCATCTGAAACGTTGGACTTGCGGTTTGCAGTCTTCTTGCCTTTCAGATTCCGCTTCTTATGAATGAGCTTGTGCTGGTCGCCTTCGCGAGCAGCCTCCTCTTGCAGGTCAAGGTCGTGCAACCAGGCGGTACCCGCAACGCTCATCTTGCGAAAGCGCATGGAGTTGTTTGTCAGAGTACCAGTCTTGTCAGAGAAAATGTAGCTCACTTGGCCGAGCTCCTCGTTGATAGTCGAAGTGCGTGCTTCGAGGGGCGTATTGGTTTCCGGGTCGTACATGTCAATGTCGTTTAGAAGAAACATCTGGACGACCTTCACGATCTCCATACTGACGTAGAGCGAGATGGGGATCATGGTATTGAACATGATCAGGAATGAGGTGAAGATTGGACCAATTTCCACACTAGCATCGCTGAGGTACCAGGAATGCTTCTCCACATCATCAGACCAATAGGTGTAGGCAATAGTGCATGCAGCAGCCAAAATCAGAACCAACAGCACAATGAGCACGACCACGCGGTTGACCTTGCCTTGCAGAGCAGGCTTCTTAATGCGCGGGTTCTTGTTCGCATTCATGCGAATCTTGCACTCCTCGCCGGTATAGATAACCATACCGTATGCGCAATCAGTATTCCGCATAATGCTACCACGGTAGACGATTTCATTGTTGGTAAGAGGCAGCTTCTGCTGGGCATTGACCGTGACATGGCCGTCGAATTTGTACAGGTCGATATTCGGGTCCTCGACGACAAAATGCAACGCATTGCTGACTATATCGTCAACGGTGGCGCAGCCTTTGGCGACAGGCTGGCATGGTTGTTTATTCTTGAGATTTGTCTCGCCGTCCAAGGCCATGGTCTCGATGTAAGCGACCCCGTTAGGACCATTAGCATGCAGCAGGGCAAAATCCGCAGGAACGGGCTGGTCACGATGGAGTTTGATCACATCACCAACACGGATCTCCTTCCATTTGATCTCGACCCAGTCGTGAGCACCACTGGCCATGGACGCACCGTCCGTGACGGGCAACTGACCAGGTCGAAGAACCCAAGCGTATCGATTATTCTCCTCCTTGTCGAGACGATACCGGCGCCAGTCATCAAATCCTTCTTTTCCCATTGAGATACCAACAAAGATCAAAAGTGGAACGATGGTAGTGTAAGTTCCGGTCGTGCTCAGTCCCGGAATCATTTGCAAAATGGCGACAACCAAAAAATAGAAATTGGCCAACTTTGTGAACTGCGCAAAGAACTGTCGAGGGAAGAAACTCCAGAAACTGTAGCGGCTCGAGCGAATCCAATTGGAGATGTACGGTTTTCCGGTGCGCTCGTCGACCAAGGTATCAACTAATGACGGGTTGAGATCGATGTGGCGGCCGTCCTTTGTTGGGGGAATATCCTTAATGCGCAAGATGAACTTTTGCAAAGTGGTCATGAATGCCTCGACGCGAGTCATGATAACCGCTCCAGCGGCCTTCTTCTTCTTCCACTCGCCTTGAGCCACAGACATGTACTCCTTCAGCGGGCCTTCCGAGGGATCAGACCATACAGAGGTGGCGACTTCTTCCTTGGTGGGAACTTCAATCGTGGCTGTAGGGAGCACCTGTAACTCATGCTTCTCGTCGATCGGGCTAGGTGCGCCGGATGCAGGAGCTTCCGTTATTTCAACCGATGCCCGGGGGCTGATGCCGGGGGAGGCATCTTGATCGGGGCTCTGGATGGTTTTATTGAAAATGGACCGACGGAGCGAGTAGCCACGATTACGCGATCGGGAGCGATTGTTGGAGGACTCTGGACTCTGCGGCGAAGTTGGGGAGAGGGTCGCAGCGGCGAGAGGGTTGGCATTGGGGGAGATGGCACTCGGGGAAAGGGGGGATGTCGGCGAGCGAGCGGGAGACCGGACGGTAGGCGGCGCAAGTCTGGTGTCGATAGTGAGGCCTCGTGAGCCAGGACGACGGTCGGTGTCGGCGTTGTCATTGTCATTGTCATTGTTATTGGTATTGCCAGTGGCGGTTGCACTGGCAGTGGGATTGGGATTGACATTGCTGGCGCGGTCATCGCTCGGCCTCTCGAGATCGGTGGAAAAGCGCACGTGTTGGTGAGAGGCGCGGCGACCCGAGTCGGACATGGTACGCGACGAGAGCAAGGATGGGCGCCTCAGAATGTCGGGCTGCTCGTCCGGTCGGGTGTTCTCTTCATCGTGGTTGGTCATGGCGGGAATGCGTCGTGGATCAGGCCTGCGCGGAGGCGACGATCGGTGATCGTCTGGAAATCTGAAGTCTCCCCAGATGCCTTCTAGAATGAATCACAGTAGTCGAACTAATCAGAGTTCAAACGAGAATTCATCCTCTTTTACCACATACCGCGAGAGTGGTGTGATGCGGTGCGGTGGTGATGGTGATGGTGATGGTGTGGCGTTCACGATCAGATCTGGGTTTTGCAGAGAATGCAACGATCTCCGGTGATCGGTGGTGAACGAGGGGTATAGGGAGGGGATGAGACACGAAGAAGGGTCGGGTGAGGGAGAATCAGGGCAGTATGGAAGAGGATTGAAGGAGAGTTTAGGAGAGAATAAGAGGCGAGAAGGATAAAAGAGGTAGCCTAAAGGCGTACGAGTACTCGTACCAAGAGTGCACCGAATGCGGGTAGAGGCTTGAAGCGGTGCGCAAAAAGCCGAAAGAGAGATAAAGTTAACCCAGGCTAACGGTTAAACTGGAGAACAAATGAGGAAGAAAAATGTTTGGGAGGATTTGGATTGAGTGGAGACGGTTGCAGCGAAGAAACAGCAGAAGTTGGAGTAGACAGAGTAGACAGAGTAGAACCAGAGAGAGAGAGACAGGGCAACACAGCCCCCCGAAGAGTGCCAAGAGGTGGATATTCTTAGCACCCACGCCTTTCCCACGCCTTCAACAGACGCAACCGTGGATGGCCTGGACAGATTAGGCCCCGCCTGCAGTCAGATATTCCAATTCCCAAGGAACGGGCATGCTTCTAGAAGGCCACTTATGTATGATGTGGCAACCTCATTTGCCCTACCTCTGGTCCAGTATCTCAAGGCGCACCACAGGAAGTACCTCCCAGCACATACATACGCGGCCCATCATCTTCAGACCTTGGTGACTGTCGATCGCTACACGCTAGATGCACAGACCGGTTCGTCTACTACATGGTAATGGTGTGGTAGTATAAGAATATCCCTGTAGGGCCAGTGGATCTGAAACGTGGGATGACATTCCCCCGCCATTCTATGCTACTCATCAGCCCCCCGAGACTAGCACGGACAAAAGTTACAGAATAAGGTAAATGTCAAAGTTAAACTTGGGGAAAAAGTGCACAACAAAATTTCAGAAAGTGGACCCCCTAAGACCCCCCTGACGTCACTAATAACGACGCGGTGGCGGAGGATACGCGCCAGCCGGCGGATACCCTGGTGCGCCTCCTGAAGGGTGCGGCGATGACCCGCCATATCCATACGGCTGTTGCTGTGGCGGTCCATATCCTGGGGCTTGTCGACTCGCACCGGAGTACGAGGGCTGTTGTTGATGTTGAGGGGGATAGCCGGGCTGTGGGCTGTGGCCCTGGGGAGGATAGCCTGGGGGTGGTGCCCCGGGTGGTGCCCCATACCCTCCGGCTCCAGGCCCAGATGGTCCGGGCCCTGGCGGCGGCTGGTTGTATCCGCCGTAGGAGCCCTGCTGCGGAGGTGGTGGTCCAGAACGTGAGCTTTTCTCATCCTTAGTGTCATAAGAAGAGTCGATGGCTCCGAGCATGAGTTTGGCACACTGCAGAGACAATCAGTATGGAAAGCAACAGAAACATAGAAACTGAGGTTGGGGGAAATTCGACATACCCAAAGCTCACGAGTCAGGTGGATAGGCGGATTGGCTCGAGACATCTCATCCTGCTCAACTTCAAAGTCTATCGTGAAATCATCAGGTGAAGCCCTAATATTACATTTAGATTGTCAAGTTCCACTTACTCGAGGTGCAATCAATCAGATGGCCGATCTGCGGATCTTCATCCAGATCTCCGAGGAACTCGCGGGCGCGCTGATCAGTTCCGACTTGCGAGAATTGAAACGAAACCGACCCACGACCGTACCGAGTGCGTGAAGTCTCCTCGACGGCATAGCGAATGGCATCACCCACAGCACCGTGGGGCTCACCGGCCGGCTGTCCATCGGTAATAGTGATCACCAGCACAGGTTTGTCCAAACGGTTGGCGCGGGCCGGGCCTACGATCATCGGGTCGATCACCTTGCTCCTCAGGTTCGTGCCGAGAGGAGTCAATCCTGCGAAGCGAACCCGGTTGACCAAGTTGTTGACATCGTCGGCGTTACGGATTCCATCACCGCTCTCGGTCGAGTTCATGAATCGCACCGAGATACCGTCCTGGTCGAAGGTAGACGCGGCCGTGGCAACGAGACCGAGAATCTGTCTCAACTGATCCTTGCGCAGACCCTTCTCCTCAAATTCGATTGAGCCACTATCGTCCACGTAGAGAATCACGTCAAATAGAGAGAGCTTCATGACATCTGTCGCGACTTCCATCGGCACAGCCCATTCGTGGATGAGTCTTTGGAGTTTTCCCGGTGCCTCGTTCACCAGGCTCTGTACCAGGCGGTCCAGGCGCTCTGGTGGGTAGAAAGACTGCAGGTTCTTCTCTTGGATTGTACTAATCAACAGCTGGCGATATGCTGCGACTTGTTGCGGAGTGGCTGCAGGAGCCTGGGGCGGAGGGGCACCGCCGGGAGCACCATACTGGCCACCGGGAGGTCCAGGTGAAGGGCCGGGGCGGGTGCCTTGAGGGGGATATCCAGATGGAGGAGCGCCCTGGGGAGGGTAGGAAGGAGGTGCCTGGCTCTATGAGAGGTGTCGGGTTAGCATCTGGCATCCTCTTGAAGTTCAACATAACGCAGACTCCGTCGCCAAGCACGATACAAAGCTCAACGCAGTATCAGGGATACATAGGGCTCATCTGTACATAGGGTGGTTGCTGTCCAGGGTAAGGGGAGTGGGCTCCAGGATGCGGCGCTTGTTGTCCAGGGTAAGGTGAATGCGAAGGCGGTCCGGGAGGGTAGGGCGACGAGGAGGGTCCCGGATAAGGAGCCTGTTGTCCGGGGTAGGGCGATCCCGATGATCCATAAGGCTGACCCTGCGGTGGCGGCGGTGCTGGACGTGCATAACCTTGACTTTGGCCCTGGCCCTGCTGACCTTGCGGTGCGGGGTAGCCGGTGGGCTGTTGCGGAGGAGGTCTGTTGTAGGAACCGGCAGGCGGAGGACTGTAGGGCTGGTATGGCTGAGCAGGTGAGCCACCGTACGGAGGATATTGCTGATATCCCTGTTGGGAGTAGTGGCCTGACATGTTGCCGGGGACCGATGGAACCAAAGGACCGAGACAGACCGAGGGGTATCGTGGAGGATGGAGGGTGGAGGATGGAGGGGTAGCCGCCAAAAAAAAGTTGGGAAAAACAAAAACAAAACCCAAGTGGAGAAGAGAGGGGAAGAAACCAAGATGAAAGGGCTAGGGTGAGAGATGTAGAAGGGAGCTTACCGAGCCCTGAGGAGGAGGAGGGGATCCAGGATAAGCCTGGTACTGCTGCTGCTGCTGTTGCTGTTGCTGTTGCTGCAACCTGCGTGTCAACAACTTGCTCTCTCTGTCTCTTTCTCTCCGCCATGACGTCGCCAGATGGCCTGATCGAGTATTGACTTACATATCCACCAGCCCGCAATGCAGAGGGAGGAGGGCCACCTGTATATCCCGTTGGGGGAGCGCCGCTGTAGCTACCACTCATGGTCTGGTCTTGACTTGGTTGGTTTTGCTGGGGTTGTTGGTTCTGCTGATTCTGCTGACTAGCTGCGAGTTTGGCAGCGAACTGGGGCAATTAGCTGGTGAAGAAGGGAGGGTGGAAGATAGCAAGGGGATACTTACACCCATGGTTGTGAAGGAGTGAGAAAGAAAGATGGAACTTGAAGATGGTAAGCAGAACTTGCAAGTGACCAGGAACTAAGATGACGCAGTCCGATCAGGCGCCATCCAAATGGGGCAAGGCTGAAGGTGAGGCTGTGCTGGAGGCGGTGTTAACCAGTGATCAGCTAGGATACAGTTGATATTCATCCTAGTTCTAGTAGTACTAGGTATAATGGTATAGATATTGGTAATGCTAGAACTATAGAACTTGAATACTCTAAGTAAATACCAGCTACCAGGTACCAGGTCACATCACTGCATCTCAGTATACTGCAGTACAGTACTGTCAGTAACTAGTGTACTGTACTGTACTCTGCAGTACATGCTTTGTGTACCTGGCCCACCAGCTCCACTCTGCCCGATCTACTTAGTATATAGTAGTACTACATACACTAGTAGTAGTTATAGTATACATTCAGTGCCTTCTAGTAGGTCTATACAGATACGAGTATCCAATGTGATACAACATATTTCCCAATCCAATGGACCCAGTGAATCTACCCACGGTCGCATTCTGCGGAGGCTGAACCAACCATGTCTAACGTGTCCAACACGGTGAGAGCCCACTGATGTCACTGCCGAGCATACCAACTCCTTGAGTCCTGAGCTGAACCTGAAGGATTTCAAGTTCCATTCATACTTTCTTTGCCTAACCTTCCAACGTTCCATCTTGAACTTACCCAAGTTCCCCTGTTCACTCCCCCTTTCTGATCTCCCTTCAATGAACATCCCCTTTCATCTTCACCTTTATCTCACATCAACACCATCACAATCACAATCAGCATAACCCTAGGACAGCTGTCCTGACCCCTACTGCTGAGTCTCTTCAACGCCACCATGTCCACCCCGGTCCTGCGGCTTGGCATCTTGGGCGCCTCCCAGACCGCCGAGTCCATCCACCTGCCAGCTCTCCACGCCCTCTTCACTCGTTTCAGCCTTACTATCCTCCACGATGCCTCCACCGATTCTCTCAACCGCTGCCAGAAGCGTTTCAACTTCAAGGAGATCACTACATCCACCTCCGACGTCATAAACCATCCAGACGTCGACCTCGTTCTGAACCTCCTCCCTTCGAATATCATGAGCAACACACCATCGCGGCCCTCGAAGCCGGTAAACACGTCATGGTCGAGGTCCCACTGACTTTAAGCATCGATGGCCTCCGACGCATCCGCGCCGCTACCAAAAAAGGCACTGCCAACTCCCGCTTCGAAGGCGGCCCAAAAGTCTTCGTCGGATGCGCGCGTCGCTACGCCCCCTGCTTCACAGAGAACTTTAAGAAAGAACTCGCCTCTCTAGACCGGATCTACTACGCGCGATGCCGGAACATCGCCGGTCCCTTACCATCTTCCCTCAATCCGTCCACTAGTGACACCATAAGCATCAACGGCAACGGCAACGGCATCAGTAACGCCTTCGATCTGAGCTTGAATCTAAATGGAAACACCAACGGAAGCACCAACGGCTCTCTAGCCGTTCCCAACACTATCATCAACACAACCAAATTCCACACCCTACTCACCGACATCTTCGGAAACACAGACGACCTCACTTCCGACCGAATCGCCTTCGCCCGTTTCCTCGGCACAACAGGCTCACACGATCTCTCCCTCGTCCGAGAATCATTCGGCTACCCCGATGCTGTTGCCAACATCTCAATCACCGATCCCTTCTACAGCGCCATGTTCCACTACACCGACACCGCGAGGGACGAGCATCCTTTCACAATGATCTACGAAGCTGGTATCGACGCTGTTCCACGTTGTGACTCTCACCTCACTGTCTACGGCGCAGGCAAGACGATTAGCCTGGAATACGACTTCCCCTGTCCTTCTGGATCTGGCGAGGGCGCTATGCGGGTTATTGTCGAGGAGGCGGAGACTCCTGAATCAAAAGCCAATGGTTCCACTGCGAATGGAAATGGCACAAATGGAGCCGGCTCCGTCACAAAACCTCAAGTCAAGAGAACTGTTCACACAAGCACCGTTGCCGAAGCATACGAACGACAGTTTGAGGATATGTACTCCTTTTTCACTGGAAATGTGACTGCGAAAACAGATACAGCCGATGCCTTGAATGATCTCAAGCTCGTGCGCATGATCTTCGAACACTACGATCGACAGTGTGGTACTATCCGGACACCGCTGGGTTAAATTGATGGCGGGTCTATCTTCTCGGTTTTCTTTTTTTCCGACTTGCTCTCGATTGTCATCTCAATTGGCGTTTTCCATGGGATGAGTGGAGGACGGGCATTGAATGAACGATCAACCTTTCGGTTTCTTCTTCTGGGGCTTGTCGGGTTAGCTTTATGCGAAGACTGCCATTTGCAGCGTGTGGATTAGGTGTTCTGGAAATGCATGTTACCCTTTAGGCAAACGATAATGACCAAGCAAAAATATTAGCCCCAGTCATCGATACTTTAATCGAGTTGAAGTAGTTAAAACAACTCGATCAGCCCCACAAGTGGGTCAGGCCGATAAAGCATGTACGAGTAGGCATCGAAATACGGCAAGGCTGTCAAGATCGTACTTCGCGCAGTATGGATCATTAACCCGAAGATCAAGAAATGAACGACCTTCCAGAGTCTTCGTCATTTTCAGCCGCAGAATCGCATAGTGTGTCTACACAGCCATATTTGATGCTAGCAACTATTCTGGCGGTAAAGCACACAGGTGACAGGGCAGCAGGCTTGTTTGCCCTGCGAGCACATCTGCATGATTTCCCCAATCAGATGCTTTGGCTGTGGGCAGCGCCTCGACTCCGCCCCTAACGAGGCTGATCCTTCCAATCACCGCGAAGGAGCCAGTACGCCATGCTGGCAGGGCGACCAAGGTCGGATTACGCAGGACGAGGGCCCATGATGGAGAGGAGTCGTTTTGGCCCCCGTTTCCACCCCCGTGAGATGCCAACCCTCCCAATTGCTTCCCCGTCCGTTTCTACTGATTATTCACCTTTTCACATATTACCTGTGCTACCTCTTCTCTCATCTGATTTCCAAAGAGGCCTCCTCTTGACTCCACTCTACGGGCCCCTGCATGTCAGGCCGTTCTCTGGCTGCTGCGGCTCCAGAGAATAGGTCAATCACCCAAAATGGACGAGAGTGATTCCAGTACCCCTGATTATCGAGTTGCAAAGAGACAGAAAACGAACCACTCCAGCGATTTATCTGCTCTTCAACATGAGTCGTACACAGTCGCGTGGATTTGTGCTCTGCCTATCGAGATGGCAGCAGCCCTCATCATGTTGGATGAGAAGCATACCCCACTACCGACACGCCCCGGTGATAGTAACACATACAAGCTGGGAAGAATCAAGCAGCACAATGTCGTGATTGCTTGTTTGCCATCGGATCAGTATGGGAACGTTAACGCGGCCAATGTTGTGACGAACTTGACACGGACCTTCCCATCAATCAGGGCGGGATTAATGGTTGGAATTGGTGGCGGGGTGCCTAGCAAGTCTAACGATATAAGACTGGGAGATGTTGTGGTTGGATCAAGAGTTGTACAGTATGATCTTGGTAAAACTGTCGGCAATGGAGAGCTACAGACGACAGCTTCACCGAGATTTCCACACCAACTACTAAGCACTGCGGTTTCTGCGCTACGGTCGGAGCATGAGCGAGGCCCTAGTCAGATACCGTACATCCTGACACAGAGACTCGAGAACGACCCAAGTTTTCGTCGCCCTAAATTGCCGGATCGCCTCTTCTACACCAATTACGATCATGAGCTTGCTGATCAGGATTGTGATCAATGCGATCAGTCCAATTTGACTCCACGCGGCAAAAGAGTCTCCAGCGACATTGTAATACATTATGGTCCAATTGCCTCAGCAAATCAAGTAATGAAAAGCGGCACCACCAGAGACAATCTTGCTCGGCAGCTGAAAGTCATATGCTTTGAGATGGAAGCAGCGGGTCTCATGGACACTTTGCCCTGCCTGATAATCCGCGGAATTTGCGACTACTCGGACTCTCACAAGAGCAAAGGCTGGCAGAGATATGCCGCTGCGACAGCAGCTGCCTATGCAAGAGAGTTACTCGGGGAGTTATCAATGACCGAAAACGAATACAATCGCAAGCCCGCTTCAAATTTTGAATCCAATTCTGGTGAATTTATATTCCTTTTCTTTCAGGCCATAATATACGGTAGTTAATACTTTATAGCACAAGAAGGTCCGCATGACCATCGACAGGGTCTGCTAGACTCCCTGAGATTTGACCAGATTGCCTCCCGAAAGTTGAATATCAAAGCGGCCCATGCAAAGACATGCCGATGGTTTCTCAAACATCCTGACTACCAAGCATGGCTAGACTCAGCCAGACTAATACATCATCATGGATTTCTATGGGTCAGTGGTAAACCAGGCGCTGGCAAGTCAACAATCATGAAGTTTGTCTGCTTGGACATGCAGAAGAAATTACAAAAGTGCCAGAAGCAGGCTCTTGTTGTCTCATTCTTCTTTAATGCCCGAGGCGAGTACCTAGAAAGATCTATTTTGGGGATGTATCGATCATCACTCTTCCAACTTCTTCAAGGATACCCTGACCTCCAGTCAGTGCTGGATGACTCTGATGTTATCTCGCACGGATGCACTTCTTTGAATGTGCTGAAGGATCTCTTCAGCACTGCGGTTCTGAGACTTGGTGAGAGATCCTTGACCTGTTTTGTCGATGCCCTCGACGAGTGCGATGAACAACAGGTTGTGGATATGGTTCAGTACTTTGAAGACCTTGCCGAACAGTGTGTCTCTGAAAATATTCCATTCAAAGTTTGCTTTTCTAGTCGCCATTATCCCTATATCACCATCAAGCAAGGGATCCGACTTACTCTTGAGGATCAGATGGGCCATTGTCAAGATCTGGAGACCTATATCACAAGCCGCCTTCAAATTCAAGACTCGGCTCTAAACACGGAGCTACGGCCACAGCTTCTCGAAAAAGCTGCAGGTGTTTTTATGTGGGTGGTCCTTGTTGTGGACATCCTCAACAAAGAATACCGACGAGGTGGACTATATCTACGCAAGAGACTCAATGAGATTCCGAGTGACTTGAGCGAACTGTTCAAAGATATCCTCAGGCGGGATAATGAGAATATGGAGGAGCTTCTTCTTTGTATTCTTTGGGTTCTTTTTGCAAAGCGTTCCCTACAACCTAAGGAGTTTTACCATGCTCTCTGGTCTGGGTTAGCACTCAAAGGCCTTGTCGATGATAATCCGGTGGTTTTTAGTGACCCAGATTCAAGTGACAGCTTGAGTAGGTTCACCAGATGTGTCATCAGCTCTTCGAAAGGCCTCGCCGAGGTCACAAAGTCCAACACTCCAATAGTGCAGTTCATCCATGAATCTGTCAGAGATTTTCTGATCAAAGATAAAGGTCTTTATCAAATGTGGCCGGATCTAGGCCTCGACTGGGAAGACTCGGGCCATGAGATGCTCAAAAAGAGTTGCAATGTCTATCTCAAGCACGTCTTTGCTCATATATCTACCAAAAATCGCACGTCCTCGGCCGAATTCGAATCGAGCAGGGAATCACTTATGAACTCTGCAACTTCATATCCATTTTCAGCCTATGCTTGTCAGCAGTTGCTCTATCATTCTGAGATAGCGGCGGGATCCATTCCCCAGTGTGAATTCCTGGATGACCTCAATGAATTTCAACTTTCACGATGGATTGAAGTCAACAACCTGTTCGAAGAGTTCAAAGTTCGCAAATACGGTCCGGACGCGAGTCTCATCTACATACTTGCTGACATGGGACATCCAAATCTAATTCGGCAATGGTCTAGCCGCGATCCACATATTCACTTTAAGTGCCCGAAGGAGCGGTACAGATACCCATTCTTTGCCGCCATTTCCAGCGGCAATAAAGATGCTGTCGCTGCTATACTGAACATACCCTCCAGCGTTTACAATGGGTTCGACATCATGGAAGATTTCAACAGCAAGAAAAACCTAAAGCGGTACAAAGGTCAAACCCCGCTTACCTGGGCAGCTATGGAAGACCGGATAAGCATTATGCAGATTCTTCTGCTTCAAGGCATGGACCCGAACGAGAAAAATGATAGGAAGGAAACTCCGCTCTTCTGTGCTTTGAAACATGGTCAAGAACTTGCCACCAACTTTCTCCTTGATATTGGGGCAGACCCCTGTCAAAATTCGTTCGGATTTGTCTGTGAGAAAGGTTTCTATCGTTCTGCCATTCTTATGATCAGCAGTGGAATAGAAATCGATCGGCGGGGCGGTGATTTTAAAACGACTCCGCTTTTCTTAGCGTCGGAGAACGGTCATATTGAAATAGTGAGGCTTCTAATCCAGAGAGGAGCAGCAGTGAATGCTCTCGACAAGAAAGGAGATACGCCCCCTCTCTGAGGCGTCATTCTACGGACACAAAGAGGTGGTCGAACTCCTTATAGACAATGGAGCTGAGCTGAACACAGTCAGTGGCTCGAGCTCGCCTCTTCTTACAGCATCAAGCGGCGGACATGAGGCTGTTGTCCGGTTCCTCGCAGAGAAGGGGGCGGATATCAATGGGCAAGATTTATCCAAAAAAACGCCTCTTCTTGTAGCATCAAGTCACGGGCACGAGGCTGTTGTCCGGTTCCTCGCAGAGAAGGGGGCGGATATCAATGGGCAAGATTTATTCAAAAATACGCCTCTTCTTGTAGCATCAAGTCACGGGCACGAGGCTGTTGTCCGGTTCCTTGTAGAGAAGGGGGCGGATATCAATGGGCAAGATTCATCCAAAAATACGCCTCTTCTTCTAGCATCAAGTCACGGGCACGAGGCTGTTGTCCGGTTCCTCGCAGAGAAAGGGGCAGATATCAATGCGCAAAATGTCTCTGGAGACACGCCACTTCTTGTAGCATCAAGTCGCGGGAACGAGGCTGTTGTCCGGTTCCTCATAGAGAAGGGGGCAGATATCAAGGCGCAAAATGTCTATGGAAACGCGCCACTTCTCGTCGCACGCTGGTCCCCGAATATTGCGAAAATTCTCATCGACCTCGGAGCTGACGTCAACTCTAAGAATACGAATGGGCAGACGCCTTTGTCGTTTGCTAAAAAGAACAATCTTCATGATTTCATAGAGCTTCTCAGAGATCATGGGGCTGATGAATCTTCCTAGGTTGAGAGACCAAAAATTTACCTCATTTCTCTGATCTCGGCATCAGGCTTGGTCAAACTCCAGACTTTGTACCCCGGATTCCCAATAGCTTTTTGTCTAGTAACTCAAATCCCCCTTCCACAAAAAAGGGTATAGATTATTCAAGACAATTAAACCTCTCAAAATAACGTGTACTAGACAAGATTAACACCAGATACCTTCCCTGGAGAGCTATGCATTATCCATCACTAGTGGTAACTCAAGAATTCCTAACCATTCCCAGATCTAGCTGGGATCTTTGGATTTGCGTATGCTTCTTAATTCCACTGCCATTGAATATCACAATACTTGAACATTCGTGGGTAATCGATGCCTATGGCATAGTTTATTGTATCAACAGCTTGAAGTCATATCAAATATTCCGCGGTTTCAGTTGCCCTTTTCACCCTCTGACGCAATGGCCATCTCGGGTGCCACGGAGATAAGCGATTTTATAATCCGGTTTTACTTCGGAGGCCGAGGCCCAGGATCGAAGGCGGAGAACATGCATACTAGAATGTACTCGTCCGAGGAATCATTGGTTCACTTCGAAAGATTCAAGAATCCTACTGAGTAATCTTATCTCGATCTCCGACCAAGTCCGTTCTTCTGTTTCACCCAGAGCCTCTCATCGCCAAATCATGATCTCCAAGGTTATAGAGTATATGAATCGCTCAAATAGAATCTGGATCAGTACTTAGCCTCAATGTTTTTCCAAGGTTCTCTTTCAGTTCTCAGCCTTATCACGATTTATCTTCCTAGAAGCAAGACAAAATGTCACGTACCATTAGAAATGTGGCTCTCGCCGGGGTAAGGTCTAACCCAAAACTCCGCCAATGGATCCCGAATTTAACGATATTATTAGGCGAGTGGAAATGTCGGAGCTCAAGTACTCAAGGCATTGCTCGCCGTCAAAGAGTTCAATGTAACGGTTCTTAGTCGCAGTCCCAAGTCCTTCCCAGCTGGTGCTCAGATTAAAGTCGTTGACTTCACATCGATTGAAGATCTATCCACGGCCCTCATTGGACAAGACGCAGTGATCGATACTACTTCCTCGCCCGATGTTGCCACTCCTCTCCGATTGATCGAAGCAGCAGCTAAGGCCGGGGTTTACCGCTTGTTCGTGAATACATTTTCCTCATATCAAGAACAACCTAGCTTTGACTGATGCTCTACTCTTTTTCCACGCATGATTAGTATAACAAGCGACTTTGGATTAGACCCCGAACTACCAGGTGTTTACGACCTGCCTGTTTTTAGCCGAAAGAAAGCATCCTACGAAGCTGTGAAGAAACAAGCTGCTGAAAACCACATGACTTACACCCTGGTATCTTGCGGTGCATTTCTTGACTGGTGTCTCTCGAGTGGTTTTGCCGGTCTGAACTTCCAATCAAGAACAGCTTGGATCTTCGGTGATGGAAATAACGTCCATCCATGGACAACGTTGGAAGATGTTGGCAAAGCGACCGCCAATGTCCTCTTACATCCGCAAGAAACTCTGAACCGACCGGTCTATATCTACTCTGTTTTCATGTCGCAGAGCCAACTCTTCGACATCGCCAAGGAGGTTTCAGGTGGGGAGTGGACGGCCACATATAACGATATGGAACCCATTATGCAGAAGGCTTTGGAGGATCTCAGATCTGGCAATATTAGTGATGCAGCCTTTGTCGTGCAGATCCAATACTGTCTCGCTACCAAGGCCCTGGCGCACCCTGGGAAAGCGACGACAATCGTCTAGTTGGTTTGGAGGAATGGAAATGGGAGAAGGTGAAATCGCTGGTTCAGGATATCGCCAACAAGAAGGCTGTGTGAAGTTCCAATATTGTATTTTCCTCGGATGTCAGAGTCACTGGCAATAGAGAGGGTGATATCGGGACATTTCAGATACTAGTAGTACGATAGTCGCAAATATTCCACTCTACTTTCTGTACTCCAAATCGCCAATATCTACTCCTAGTAGGTGCTAGTTAGTACTAGTAGTATGCGCAGTACTAGGAGCAACAACTGGCTCACTTCAGGGCCGCCAAATGCTAGTAAGAACAGAGTACTATTAATATAAATCCTTTTATAATCCTACTAGTAGTCAATCCCATACGAGTGCAGTACGAGGAAAGAAACTCACGATTCACGGAAAGATTCATGCGTCAAGGCTCAAGCCTGAATTCTCATCTATGCAAAGACATGACATATACACCAGCAACAGAGTGATAAACTACCGCTTGCCCTTCTTTTTCTTATTCTGTTTGTTGGATACAACAGTGCTAGCAGGCTTCTGCTGAGCGGAGCTATCCAAACTCTCATTAACAGCACCACCTTGGGTACGTTCCGCAGCACGTTGCTTGCCCTTTTTGCCCTTGGGCCGGTACGAAGAGCGGTCACGGATGGGAAGCCAGCGCTCAGGGTCAGCCTGCTTTGCCGGGTCGTAGTCCTTTGGCAGACGAGAGTGGCGAACACGCTTCTTGACTTGACCCTCCTTGTCGGTGGCGGAACGCTTGCGGGCTTTGGCGAAGGCTGCCGCCGCCACGGAGGCGGAGGGCATGATGCCTGCTGACTCCAGGGCGGAGACGTCTACATCACCGACAAGCTCGCCGATTGCGGGGAGACGGTCGAGTTGCGATTCCACCTGTGAGTAGTCCAGTGTCGCTTGTGACGCGACGTAACCGGCGATGGCAATACGGTCTGCGGAGTCTTTCTGGTGCAGGGATCGGAAAAGGTCGCCGGCTGCGACCAAATCGGCTTTGTCGTCGGAGTGGAGCAGGGAGGTTGCAGCAGCGCGCAGGAGAGAGGTTGGGGCCTCGGGCTTCTTCTGCCAGTATGAAGCGGCTTGTCCCAGTGTAGAACGGATCTGGAGCTTCCGGCCCTCGAGCTGGTAAAGAGAGACGAGGGTGCTCAGCAGGCCGGGGTTGAATCGGGCATCCTGGTCGGCTTCGGAGATGGACTCCTCCAGGCTGCGTAGTGAGCGTTCCATAGCTGTGATTGCGGAGGTTGTGTTGCCAGCCTTGACATAGAGCTGAACAACAGTCAAAAGCAGACCCAGGTCCTTTGGTCGGCGCTCCAAAAGCGGGACAATCTTCTTCAGGGCCTTGGCGCCATCCTGTCCTTCCGCTTGGCCAGCGGCATTGTACACGGAAAGAAGGTTGGTGCCCGACTCAGTGGACGGGCAAGAGCTCTTAGCAAGGGCCTTTGCCGTTGATCGAACCATACCATCATATTTCTGAACCAGAAGGTCCGCAGCGTGGGCGTTACCCACCAAGGTGTTGTCTTGGAAATCGAACAAGCGGTCGTTGTTGGTAGCGTCGGGTGTGGAGTGGAGAGACTTGTAGAGGGTGAAAGGGTTGGTCGCTGTTTGACGAGCCAGGACAATGTTGTTCCGTGCGATCTTCTTGGTCGAGAGTTCGTGGATACTGAATCAATGGTAAGCGTAAACTCTTGTCCGAATAAGAGTGATGGCCATCTTACTCGTCCACGGAGATCTCCTTCAGAAGCGCCTCGGCCTCTTCATTCTTGCCCAGTCGAATCAAAACGTAAAGGTGTTGTACAGCAATTGGAAGCAGCTCTGCGGCCCGGTCTTCGGGTGTGAGGTCCTCCGATGTCTGGCAGATATCTGTATGACAGTCAGAGAAAGTTCACCGTGGGATACGTTCATGGAAACTCACTCTTCGCTCTGTTGAGAAGAACCTCACCCTGGGGCAAGGCTCCCCGCGCAATGTTCAAGCAAGCCGCGTTGAAGGTTGTCTCAAAGGATTCCAGGTCCTCCCTCGACGGCCGGTCGTGGCGTACATGTTCCGGCTCGCCTTTCCACTGAAGCTGGGCATCGGTAGCCCACGAGTTGATGCTCAGGTCGTTATCTTCATGGCGGTGCGCCTCCTTATCTTGGGACAGTTGTTCGTAGAGATCGGCAGCACGGCGGAACTGCTCAGCCCGGTAGCTCTATTCAAGAGAAGACAATTAGCGATTGTCCAGCGTTCCATATACCATAAGGCTCGGGATTCTAGGTAACATACCACTTGCGCATCGAGATGGTTAACGCCTCGGCTCCTTTCCGATTGGGACAGGACAGTCATAGACTCATTCAGTTTCCCGATTTTGTATAGCGCATATGCGTACTCGAAGCTAGCCCGTCTCTTCAAATCATCGCCTCCGGTCTCGAACACGCGGAGGGCATCTTCGTATCGGTCGAGCTTTAATAGGGCGATGATCTTAATGTGATGAGCGTTCAGGTCGGACTTGTTCTTGGAGAGCGAGTTGGTGCAAGCCTGGAGAACTTCCTCGTGATCGTCAATCGATGCCCGCTGAAGGAGCGAGCTCAGCGATTGCGCGACCATGGCGGGGTTGCGCAAGATATAAATTCAAACGATAGGATAGAAAGAATGCTTGCAAGCGGTGGTTGATAGGCGATAGACAAGTTGGGCGAAGTCCGTTGATATCCACCTCTCCGCAAGGCCAGAGTGTGCGGAATCAAACCTTCCCCATCGGGCCTGCCTGCACTTGCACTCCGACTGCCCCGCCGTAGTGTCACGTGAGCATACAGAGCACTGTTAGTACTAGCACAGGCAATTTTGATTCACTCAATTAATGAATATGTACTACGGAGTACTTAGGTACGCTTTGAAAAAATGTGAGTTTGTTGGAAATATCTGGCCGGAATGTTTGGTAAAGTTCAAGTTCAAATCTACTGATCTGGCCATAAAAGGGCCGTTTGATGGTTGGGGCTGGTCCTACTAGGTAGGTAACGGGATACCCCAGTATATATCTCCGACTCCGGGAACTGATTCATCGGCCCGACCGTGACGAAGTTCCAATATTGGCAATACTCGTAGTACTAATACTCCGAAATAGGTATGTTACTAGTTATTTAAGATTTGTAGTATTTTTTAAACATCCAATCCGTATTGCATTTGCACATTATGTACCCCTGACCCCGAGACCGAGTTCTGAATCGCGCCACAATCACAACATGGCTTGCTCTAGACCAGACTATACAAAACCAGGTCAGCCAATTAGGCATAGCGGGAATGCGGTGGTCAGTAGCTTCAAGTTCCAGTTCCGAACTTGAAGAATTAAATATTTTTTCACTTCAGTCAGATTGAACCAGGCTTCCTACAACTAGCGAATATGTATACGCCCATTGAGAGATAAATGAGTGCAGCATAGGAGGTCCGCCGATTGCCAAGGTTGAAATATGCGATAAGATCTCGGTCTTAGAGACGGAGATTGATACATGCAGGGGTTTGATGTGTACACCACAGCTCACAGGACCCTTGAAATTAATTGGGGTTCAGAATAGCCGAGCTTCCCGTATACTAGTAAGAGGGAGTTTGGCAAATGCAATCTATAAGAGGTCACCTGATCGCCAAAGGATTCGACACAGCCCCAAACCTGCAGACCAGATAATGTCCAGTTCAAGTTACATACAATAGGATAAAGATGCTGCCTTATTTCTAGCACAAAGTATCAGTACGAGGGGTAATTCTTGGGGAAGTATTTGGGGCCAAGGGCCCCCAACTTGCAATGCAGTACCGAAGTACCATTCGCCTCGCCCATCCAGTCTGGTTGGACCCTGAACCCTGAAAAGTCTAGGAGGATCAGCCTCGTGACTAGCACCAAGAGGGAGCGAGCCTAGAAACTCAACTGTTGAGACCCATTTGAACTCGGTGAAAGCGGGTCAAGGACAGGGGCAGGGGGCAGATCTGCGACACGATCGTCAGAATGAGATTGCTCGAACGATACAAAGATGCCCGATTGAATGTGGTGCCTTCTGGGTACTCGTATTTGGGATCAATCTTTTGATCTCTCTGGATTGTCCATTTGTTTCCAGGGTCTGGGATCTTGCTGCGGGGTGGGAAGGAGAGAAAGCCTTGCCAAGTTGGGATGGGCCCACTGTTCTCAGGTAAAAATGACGCGTGGACGTGGAGCTGGGCGGGTGGGCGAAGGCGAGTGAGAATTGGCGGGTGGGCTTGGCAGCGGATAAGGTGGTCGGAGTACTCGGAGAAGGGTCACTGTACGAGGCTCCGGAGTATACAGAGGATGTAGTTTATATAAGGATGTTCATGATGGTATTGGTCTAGATGGAAATATAGGATATACAGGGCAGAGTATAGAAAATAGAGTATTTTCTCCCCTAGACAGTACCCTGGTTATACTATCGAATATGTGAAATCTATGCACCTTATGTAGCAGTGGTCACGTGACCGACGTCACCAGGGCCCCTGGGCGCTTTGCCCTCCCATGGAACTGCGATCGTCTCTCGCTCCCGTCTCGTTTCCTCGTTTTCCTGAGAGGATTTTGCCTCATTCTTTCACTTCTTCCCTCCCCTCCCCGGTACATACCGTCTCCCTCTCGCCGCGGATCTCCAATTCCTTGTTTGTTTGAGTCCTTTCTGCGTCGGCCTGCGCAATGCGGATATTCTCCAGGTGACTTTCGCGAACAAGTACATAGGATCAGCCAGGCTTCAAAAAACCTCCTAAATTTTACAGAGAAGAGTATCGTCATGGTATTCAACCGGGAAGGGGCCATTCCGGCCTCATGGGCCTGGAAGAGAATGCTGCGCTTCGTCGTCATCTTCCTCGCCGTCGCCGGTTTCGCGACTTTACTCTGGCCCTCCCACAAGCAACACGCCACTCCCATGCGAACCCAATCCAACAACATCACCATTTCCTCAAAAGTACAATGCGACCCGGATGTCGACATGCTGCATCGCTTGAATATCAAAAAGCTGGCTGACTACACCCGCCGAGAGATCGTGGTGGACTTCAACCCGAACCCGCTCGCCGTCAAGCAGAAAGTCGACCAACCGCTGTGGGGCACGAAGTTGATGGGGGTTGCCAACCAAGAAGAGGGAGTGGTGCAGGATGGTTGTTCAGTCTCAGCCCCCCCTCACCCTCCAAGTGCCCGTTCCCCCCAAATCGACCGACGCATCGCACATTGACTTTGGCGTGGCGACTACTGTTTCCCGATTGAACGAGTCACTAGATCAGTTTCAACACTGGGCCGGATACACTCGAACTCGCATCTTTGCGCTGATCGAGCCCGATGAGACGAAAAAGGGCGTCCAAGAGGTGAAAATCAAGGCAGAGAACCTAGGGATCAACCTATTCATCACGGAATCAGCCGATGACTACCTCCATCGGTACTTCGCTCTTGTATCTCTCTTGGAGAAAAACATGCGCGAACAGACGAAATGGGCCTGTATAATCGATGACGACACCTTCTTCCTCTCCATGCCCGCGCTGGTCGATGCCTTAGCCGAATATGACCACACCAAGCCGTACTATATCGGCGGTGTCTCGGAAGGTCTTCCCCAGATTGCCGTCTTTGGAATAATCGCGTTTGGAGGCGCTGGCGTCTTCTTGTCGCGACCGCTGTTGAACGATCTAGCCGTCGTATACGACGACTGCCAGCAGATGACTTTCACCGGCGACCGCCGCATTGCCAACTGCATCTATCAGTACACCACCACCCACCTGACCATCGACCACCGCCTTCACCAGCTGGATCTTATGAAGGATGCCTCGGGATTCTTCGAGTCAGGCCGCGAGGCGCCTCTGTCCGTGCACCACTGGAAGTCCTGGTTCGAAGCCGACATGCCCAAGCTGAGCGTGATCTCCAATCTTTGTGGGGAATCGTGTCTGCTGCGCCAGTGGCATTTCGGTGATGGTTGGGTCCTGACCAACGGTTTCTCCGTCATCAAATATTCCCTACCTGTAGAGAATGAGATCGCCATGGAAATGACCTGGGAGCCGCACAACGGCGCTACCGATGAGTCTTACCTGCACGAACTCGGCCCGCTCCGCCAGAGAGACGATGGCAAAATTAGCTTCCAGCTGGTGGATGCAGTGAGCGAGCCGAACGGTCGCGTGACACAATGGTACATTCTGCGTGACAAGGATGGCGACCAAGTTTTGGAGCTCTCATGGCGAAAGCGGTGATGACGTGACCCTTTTAGCGTTTTTGCTTTCCTTTCATTTCATACACGCCCTGTTTGTCTCCCCCTTTTTGTAGTTGCTTCCTTATTGGGGTCATTGTGGTCAGGGTGGCCCTTTTTCTGGCGGTTTTCTGTGGGCCTTTCCTGTCTTCCATTTCATCAGTCCGGCGCTTGGTCTTAAGCACTTTGCATGGGATTCTTGTTTATAGATCGGTGATACACCTTTGTCTACACTGTTATAATGCCCCGGGGACGCACTTAATGTGACATGGAATACTTGCACTTGATCAGCAGTAGATTCGTAAAGTGATTCTTGGTAGTACTGTCAGCTGTGTTACACTGTGCGACGCAACACAATGGTGGATGTCGGTAATGATCTTGCTAGCACCTTTTGAGCAGCATAATCTTGAGATCAAATGCCATCAATACCGCCGATCTTACCAAAGGGTATATTGCCTAATAAGGCTAAGGTATTTCACTGCCCACACAAGTACTTCATCTTCAAATTCAAGTTTCTACCCACTTTTGAATGCATTGGGTTGGGAATATTTTCGCGTTATATTGCTGGGAGGTCATCTCTAGTCCTCCACAAGATTATTACTGGCCATCTGGAGCCTAGATATATGAGTATACTAGTACGATATGTCCGCGTTTTCTGTGTAGATGTAACTTGAATCAACCCTACCTAGTAGGTATCCATATGGCGCCCATGCTTTGGCTATAACCTCCACCATTGATTAGCGTAAGTTTGTATGCCTGAGTACCTGTATTCGATGTTGCTGAGAAGTACGCGGCATCGAAGTTTGAGGGAAACGGTCTGATGTTTTTCTTTATAAATGGAGATATGAAAAGTGACATGCAGTTTCCAAGAAACCATGAGCGGAAGCCCAGGCAAGTGGTATTCAATGGAGTGTATCAGGCTCGTCTAAGCGTTCGAGATGGGATCAGTCGACACTGCTACATCAGATCGTAAAGATCGGATACAGTGGGTGGCCAGGCTTAGAGGAATAAAAAGGGCTGAGAGATTAACAGTGAAAGTGAGGATCTTCTTCGTATTGACCTCAGTGACATATTTGGACTAGGTAACTACGATCTCAGAACTCGTGAACCAGTTTTTTTCGTTCGAAACTATGCGAGTCTACTCTCGGACTTCATGCTGACGCTATCACCGGAGCTCAAGAGATCTCTGTGTAGTGCAAGATGCTACGAAGCTGATATTATGATAGTGGTCTTCTATCTTCCCAATTTATCTGTTCCAGTGATAGAAAAACAGTTTGGAACCTCAAGATTCAGCGTGTTTAAAATATATCGAGCTTGGCTTGATATCTAGATAGCCTCGAAGTTCAGGATCTATTCAAGTCCCCAAATGGTCTCACCTCAAATTCTAGCTGCACTATCCTGGAATATGAAAATGGCGGACTTCAAGTTTAGTGAAGCAAAACCAGAAAATCCCTAACTTACTACGTAGTCGCGTTCTATAATTCAAGACGACCCCCTCATTCTAGAAAAGAGACCCATGGCCCTGATACTAGTTGGTTCATTTAATTTCACAAAGTCCATAAACAAGTCCCAATAAGCCAAGCCATGCCTAGAACACTATAGTTCGCGATCAGACCCAACCTTAGAAACAAAGTCGTCACTTCTACATAGAGAGTCGGTGTATACTACATGATCTACGCAAAGGACGTGCGCATTTTGCGATCCCAGATTTAATTTCCACCATCGTCTCCGCAAAGACCCTCAATTCTGAGAAAATCCCTTTCCCAAACCCACTTAGTCTCGTGTGTGTCATGCCCACTATTAGCGTGGTCTCTAGTACTCTGTAGTCTCTTGTTGCAAAATCCGCCAGGACATGCCTCATCCGAAACAGGCGGGAAAAGCGGGTTTGGCCACGATAGAGGGGCTTCTCATTTCGTTCGGCATTGTTCGGGCTCGCGTAAAGTGGAATTGATGGAATGGAGGCGCCATATGACGCGGTATCAGCTAATGCTGTGGGAAGAGAAGAGCGAGATCAGATAAATCCTTCCTTCTATTTTCTAGATCAGACGCCACAGGCGATAGAAAAAGATGTGGCTTGATAGTTAGGGCGTAGTGTGTTAAGTTTAGTCTAGTTTCGTCTTATCTATGCTTTCTTTTTCGATCTGACCACAGTGGCAGGCTAAGGTGAAGAATTGCTTTTTCGTTACGCAATCGCGGTATGCATCGAACTGGATCAAGGCAAGGCAAGTTTCTGCAAGTACTCCGTACTCGTAGCCTCGATGGGGCTCACTGCTGGGCCCTTTGGAGATTTTCAAACGGGACCACACTTAGCGAAATGAAAAAGGGCTGATCGATGGGGGATCGATCCGAACTATTTGATATTTGAATGGGTCGGGATGAAGATGAACGAGGCCAGTGCACGATTTCCCCAGTGACATCATCCAGGGGCCGCTGGTCCAAGCGTGACCGTTGGCCATGGATCAGTTGGATTGTATGTTTATGTTTGTGTTTATGCACAGAGTTTATGGCACCAGGTACAAAAGTCTTATGTACTTGGAGATGCTGGTCTTTTCTGCAAAGTTGTTGGTACACGCTGAAACGGTACTCTGCTGCCTTCCCAACTGCCAATACCAAATACGCGGGACAATGTGATTGTGCCACGCGTGTCCAGGGGTAATTTCCTGTTCTACTAATAGAAATATGGAGACTAGCGCGTTTTCAATACACCAAGACAACGTCTCAGCCACAACCATGTGGGCAGTGCCCCGTGCTAACGACCAATCGAGAGCCGCAGAGGCGGCTGTTGCCGGCGAATTCGACGACTCCCCAGCACTCCTCTCCGGTTGTGGTGCTGTGCGATGTCGATTATCTACCAGATGATTGGCTTGTCTGAATTTTGAGACCAGGTTTTTTGGGTTTGTTTTTTTCTGTCTTCCCCCTTCTCCTCTTTTTTGACCAACTCCCACCATAGGCCTAGTCTATGCTATGGGGTGCAGAAGTGGCTTGCTTTGTTTTTCGTCAGCCGGGTTCTTCTGCACCCCAGTCATTTGGCTCTGAGGCAACCAATCTCGGACAGCCTCCGCAGGACCGAGTACGAAGTTGCAGCTGCAGCTGCTTCCTTAGTGGCGGCGTAACGGTTGTCAGGGGTGTCTGAGTGTGTTGTAAGCGGGGGAAAAGACAAAAAGAGTTGATCACGACAAATAACAGGAAGTGTCCGGGACAACCAGTCCAGTCGATTGGCCCAGCCTCGTCGATGCCCAACCACTAGAACCTTCTCCCCTTCCCCTTTCCTTGACAGCCTGCCAATCCAATCCTGATCGAGAATCGGAACGAGACAAAGCAAGATTACGGTGTATGTAGGTGTTGATTCTGTATGGTTCGGAGCATCGACGTCTGCCCGAGAGGGGGTCAACCGGGGGTCCGCAAGGATGTGCACCAGTAGGGCTTGGACCCGATGCATCCGTGCAGGATGGGGTGGAAGCAAACAGTGACCGCTTTTTTCCCCCTTGAGCTGCTTCCATAGACCTTCGAAATCCTTCTGGCGGCCTTCCAGAAGGCCAGGAGAAGGCTTAGCGGGTCCAGTCCGGAGCGATCATTCAGCCCTCTGTCCCGTCTGTGTGGCAGTGAAGTGGATTCTCTGGAGGCTGAATCCGGCCGGCGCCTTCTAGCGTCCCCCAGAATGGAAAAGGGGCATGGACGAGATGGGGTTTTAATTACCGACGCCGGCCAAGAGGGTCCACTTGGGGAGGGAGGGGAGATGGATCGTCAGGAAATCTCACCAAAGCTCGCGTCCACGGGGAGAAGGGCAGAGTCCGTGAGATCAAGCCATGTAATTGTTCGGGGAGAGGTTGCACGATGAACAGGCAGGCGAGAAGGACCAGATATTCATTGTTTCACGAAAAAGGTGTCAGGAGCCACCTTGCGTCCCGTGTACTCCGTTGAAATGTGGGAGAGGAGAGGAAGGGGGCCCTTCGAAACCTTCTAGAAGGAAAAGCATGGATCGATTTTAGCCTTCCGCCGTCCAAGTCGGCTAGCAATAGTGGGATAGTGGGAACAGACTATCGAGATGGTGAGGCACATCCCTTTCATCCACAACCCGCATTTGAAGATCTACTTGCTTCCCCGTCCAGTCGCATCATCTCTCATCACTCATTGTCGCACCATTATCCAGGAGAGACAGAGACATGCATGTCATCATGTCCACCTGTCCCGTTTCCGACACACCTCTTCCCCCCTTTTTGTAGCAGCCGAAAAAAAAGGGAGTGAGATGGAGAAAGGGTTCCGGGTGCCCGGATACACGTTGCTTTTTGACAGCCTAGATATGTAGGGGGAGTCGGAGCCTGTAGCAGGCACTTCCCCCTATCATGCAGGCGCTGGCGGGCTCCACATCTGCCCGATCACAACTTGCGTCATGTTACCTGCTCTAAGTTTCTATAGCTCGTTTCACCCTCGGAGACTGATGTGGAAGGGTTGGGCAATGAGCAACCAACACCGTAGCTTTCCGTAAGGAGTCTGGATGGTATGCCATATGGAGTGCATATGAGTTGAAGGATGAAGTCGAGAGCCAAGAGTTGGAGAGGGTATATTCCAGAAAGCGTAATGGTAGAAAGGGAAGAAGAGATTGCGATTCAGATCGGCGTGGCTCACTTCGTATCCACCAGGAGTCGCGCCGGCCGCAGGGACGGAGAAAGACACGTTGTGGAGCCGGCAGAGTGACGGGGGGGGCTTCTGGCGCGGTCAAGTTTCCTTCTAGCGGACTTCGCTGGGGCAGACTAGGGGGGAACTAGATCCTAGTGGGAGCTTTCACTGCAGGAAATAGCCTTGGTGGCCCGGTCGAATGTGGTAAAGGGGAGAGAGAGGGAGAATAGGAGGTGAAGGAGGTGAGGAAGAAAAGAAGAAGTAGGCAACGGCAATATCAACGACACCTCAATAGACAGAAAATAAGAATAGAATACTCAAAGAAGGGTATGAAATGGGGTAAAAAATGAAATAAAAATAATAAATAAAAATCAGAATTAGAAAAAGACCAGAACAGGGTTTATTTTCCAGAACCACTCCCTACTAAAAGTGGGGATTGCGATGAAAATGGGAGAGCATCAGAGGGAGAGCCCAAGGTAAATAATGATGTCGTCGAAGGTGTGTAGGAGTAGGGTGTGTAGCACCTACCACACCTAAATACTTCCGACTCTCTCTCTCTCTCTCTCTTCTACTTCCCTACACCTACTCCCTCTACTCATACACATCTAGTCTACTATTCTACTATTCTATTACTCTACACTCTACACTCCATACGCTACACTCTACTCTCTACTCTCTCCACTACCTACCACTCCCACCCGGCTTTGTTTTCGCGATTTCTCTCCGACTTCCCGACTTCACCTTCCACTTCCGCCCTGTCACCCTGTCACTCCCTTTCTCCCCAAATCTCTCCAAACCTCTCCACATTTCACATCTCTCGATCCTCTCTCCCAGATCTGACAAGGTACGTTGATTGTTCCTTTCTTCCCCCTCCCTGTCTTCCACACCGCGCTTTCTCCCAACCCACCGCGACGCCGCTGCCCGACATGACTTTTTTTTTTTCCCGCCGCGCCCCTTTTCTTCCTCCGAGCACTTCCATCTACCATCGGAATCAAACTGGACGCTCTGATTCTTGCTCTCCTGATCGCTCTCCACGGATCCTTGGTGCCGGTCCACCTTCTTGGTCTCAGCGTGGCGGATCCCTCGGAAACCCAAGCACGAGGACGCCGACGCCGATGAGGATAAGCGGTCGCGACACTCGGGTGATGAATGCGCGATATTGGCAATGAACTGCATCTCCTTGAATATCTGAGCTGACCCTCTCTGCTTTTCCACAGACTTCCCACCTGTCTCGTCACTCCTTCCTCTCACTCCGCTCCTAGCCGGTTCCCAGAATTGCAACTTGACTCGATCTTAATTGCATCTCTCGAATCAGACTCGAGTACGCCTCATCTACGCAAATACGACCTTTCCCAGACGTGTCTTCTATTCGGACCCCAACGTCAGCACGAGTGAGCCCCAAGGCCCCCCAAACAAGCTCAGCTCGACTGCGCGGCCTTGCATTCCAGTGCATGAATTAGACCGCCATATCATTCTTCACCACGACCTCAAATAACGAGGCGCAGCCCGTGTTGCATCGCTATCGGCAGGAAGCTTATCTACCTGTCCTTGGCCACGGTCTGCAGCTGATCGTCGGGTCGGGTCATGGACATCACGACCATCTTGAACCGCAAGAATTCTGCAGCCGCTGCAGCCGCCGCCGCAGAAGCACAACTTCATCAACAATACCTGCAAAACTCTCAGCTGAATCAACCCACAATGAAGACTGAACCGGGTGCCGTGGACGACCCCGTCAACGCATACCCACCTCACCCACACCTCCAAATGGAACCGGGACTGGCTGAAACCTTCTATTATGCTCAACCTCCAGGTGCCGCGCCTCGGAATATGGGATACGTTCCGGGTGGATATGCTGGTGAACCGCAGATGCAACAAGCGCCAATGCAGACAGGGAGGTTGAGTGCGGACGCACCGCCCAAGACATTCCACTGCAAGACTTGTCAAAAGGGCTTTGCCCGACGAAGTGACCTTGCGCGACATGGTGCGTTTTACAGCATCCCTTTCCCCTACAGCAAGAACCATCGTTACTAACAGCTAATTATGCAGAGCGAATCCACACTGGCATCCGACCTCATGCTTGCGACTGGCCTGGCTGCGGGAAACAGTTCATTCAGCGCTCAGCCTTGACAGTGCATTCGCGGGTTCACACCGGGGAGAAGCCCCATATGTGTGAGCGCTGTGGCAAGGTGAATAAAAGTTATTGACCTCCCGCCAAGTTCCCTTTGCTGATTATTTTCCAGCCCTTCAGTGATTCCTCATCGCTCGCCAGACATCGTCGTATTCACTCCGGGAAGCGACCCTATAAATGCCCGTATGCCAACTGTCAAAAAACATTCACGCGCCGGACAACCTTGACCCGTCACCAAAACCACCACACCGGAACGATCGAGGAGGCTGCCGCCCAAACGGAGGCCAGTCTACGCCAAAATAAGGAACGGCGAGGCCCGGATGGCATGTTCCCTGATCATGCCTCTATTCAATCGACTCCTTCCCCAGCCCAGCATGCGTCGATGTCACCGCCGGGTGGTGACCTTCCACCACTGACTATGCACCGCTCGGCCAGTGACTACTACATGAACAGTGCTCCTATTCCGCCTCATGTGCGGGGAGACTTCTCCCAGGGTAGCCCTCGCGCTTCTCCAACTGCGACATCCCCTTCTCTGTCAAGCTTCAGCAGCGTGCCCCACTCTCGGCCACAGATGACCTCGCATCCTTATGCTCCGCCCCAACCGCTGGAGCCGCCTGCCAACAACGACCATCGGCCCAACAGTGTCAACGGAAGCCCACACATGACGAGTCTTGGATGGGCCTCGCCCTCTCATGGCAGCATACCCTCGCCGGGATCTGCCAATGACTTCACCTACCCTGAGCCAAATGGGCCAGCCTACCCGACCTCGATGCCGCCTCACATGTACTTCCCCAACTCTACGATCCGTCGACCTACCAGTACCGAGCCGGAGAACTATGAGACCAAGCCTAGGATGGCCGACCACCCCTGGGGAACTCCGGTATGAGGCGGGCTATGTCGGCTTACTATCTTGGATATTTTCATATCCACGCTTTCCTATGTTCGATCGATTTTCATTGCATTACCCCCGATTCCCATGGAAATAAAACTATTTCCATCGTTTTTCCAATTACCCCATGTGTCATTGTTTCTCTTATCATTTTTTCATTATTTCGCATTTCCTTTTTTTTGTATCTATACTGGGGGAAAACACACTACGGAGTCGGGACTATCCGCGTTGCAAGCTGGGCTTTTTTTGTCATGTTTTTAACGAGTTGGTCATTCCCCTTGACTGCTCAGCTCATTTTCTTTTGTTCAATTGCTTGCGTGCGGATGACATGGTTTTACCGAGACACGACCAGACGAGGAAACAGCATAGATAGAGCGTGGGACCGAGGATCTTCATATGGGTTAACATTGTTATTGGATTTGGGAATATGGATGTGGGTTTTATTTTTGCTGGGAAAGATCCCAACGGTGCGGTGTCTGGTCAGTATCTGGGTTATATTTTTGCTTTTTCTATTTGGTTTTTCCTTTGTCTGAGTTTCGCATACTGGCCCCTGTGTTTTTCTTTTCTTTTTTTGTCATTTTTCCTCCCTTCTTGTCTGTCTCATACATCTTACTCTTAATATCTTGTTTTTCTATTGCTACCTGTCTTTTCAGATTTTGCTTTGATGCTATTGTCGGATCTCTTCGCAACCAATACCAGCTTGTCGAGGTTGATTTTCCGTTTTTCTGTACGATATGTGTTAATAGAAAGTGCAGTCATATCAACCTTCTTTTTACCATAAGCTATTGGTCCTTAAATTATTGGTAGTAGAATTTCCTTATACAATTACCTATCAACACTGCCAGCGACCACGGCCTTAAGCTGAGTCCGTACCTAGGAAGCGTATATGGAAGCTTTATTCAGAGCTATGGTTCTCAATTAGCTAAGTAGCAATGGACAGGAGCAACCACAAAAGCCCAGAGTAGATGAAAGCGATAGCCTTCTAAATAGTCGACTCACTTCCTTCCGAGGAACATTCAAGCTGTGTATCAAAATCACTCAATGGAACCTTTGGATCATCCACACTGATCCCCCATACTGAAGCAAGGTAATAGCGATAATGATAGGGACCGCATTCATCGATGTTCCTGGCTCCCTCTTCATCATCAACATCATCAGAAAGCTCAAACGAATTGCCATATCTGTCTCGTCGATCGTGACCTAGGTTAACCTCTCGAATGTTCAAACAGCACCCACAGTCTAAAGTGCAGTGTCCAACTCCAAGTTGCCCAGCCGAACTCTTCGCACGTTGCGGACTGACACAACATCCACACTCAAGACCGCAACATCCTCCACGACCTATACAGTCTTCCACAAGAACCGGATGCATATACCACATGGGATTTAACCTCCATAAACCAAAGGCCCTCTTCATGGGACCCGAACTGCCCACTAGATAGCCGCTCCAGTACCACCAACTTCGGGATAAGCTCCAACTCTCTTCTTGAAGTTCATTCAGTGAATGCCCATTTAGTGTTTTTTGAATAGCAGAATACCCCTTCTCTACCTGTCTCAATGCCACTTCTTTTGGGCAGGTTGACCGTAAACGCCGTTCCCTCTCTAAAAATGAGACAATACCGTCATATTCCATCACCTTTGGGCGCATCTCGTGAAGATTATATCGGTATCTTTGTAGAGTAGCAAAACATCCTCTTTTCTCCAGTAGAGCTTCTTCCGGTGTTTTATCGCCTTGCAAACATAGTAGCTGAGGATCTAGAACCAGTTGCCTGCTCGGCTCACTACCCCGGGAGACTTCCATAGCGAGAAATGTGCTAGGTAAATGGGGAAATGTTTGAGGACGATATTTGTTTGTTCGCCAACCTTGACGGTAAAGAGGGGAAGTATTCTAGTAGTAGTGAGCGCTTACAGCTATCTAGTGAACGTCTCATAATGACGTTCCATTTCAATGGAATTGAGTCTGGTATTGATCGTCGGGGCTTAGAAAACATCAATAGCTATTTTGATAGGACAGATGTATTCCTAGAGTGGTATCTGGAATAATTAACTTTTGAAGGGGTGAGGTTAATAATGGTGTAGGTTGTTGCCGCAGTCATAGTACTTGGCTGAATTCAGGTTAATAGAAATCCTGGAAAAAAAATGTCAAATCCGCAGTGAAAAATTGAACTCGAATAATTCCAAAGCTATTGAACTGCCCCAAGTTCCTCAGACATGATATGGTTGCTCAATTGTATCTGGTTGTGGAGGCATATTCTTGAGGGCTAGGATTGTATGCAAATAGTATTCTATACACGATATACAGAGTAAGGACCCTCAGCATAGTACTCCGTACAAGGGGAGAGACAGGAGCCCCGCTGGCTTGAATGGGACCAAGATGACGAATTGGCACTAATTTGAAGATCAGCAAGCATGAAACGTGAGAGTCAAGATTAAAATACAGCGGGGGCTTGAGCATGTCGAACAAGGGTATGGAGAGCGTCTGAGCCTGAGGTCGCACAGGATCTGCCAATGAAGCAGAGATCATATTGATCAGAGCGCCATGATGGGTTGAAATCCGAATCCCAAGAATTACCTGTTGAAACTATTCCCCGTGCACCCCGCTCTTTATAGGTTCTGTACGACATGCTGACCCATGTGACTGACATACGGAGATCGAGCCCGCGATCTCAGTGCATTTGTAGCGGACAGTGATTTGTATTTGTATTTGTAGCTACAGGCAACCCGGCAAGGATGGAAATTAATTTAAAGTAATTAATGAACTTGAAATGGCAGACAAGTCACCAAGCTAGTAAAACTAGTTTCAATATTTCCGTACCCGAGGACCACTGGTTAGAATTCATCTCATAGGGGTTTTCAGGTCGGGTCTATCTATCCCAGGCACTGTCAGAGAGAAGAGAGAATCAGTCAATTGTGACCGATCGGCGCCAGTAAATCCGATTCCTCTCAATCATTCCACCAAAGAAACCCCCGTCCAGTCTAATCCAGTCCCATGCAGCCACAGTCCAGGGGCAGTCGGAGCTGGTGGAGCCAATAACCCAACAAACCCACCGAGAGCTCCGAGTGGAGAACTCGCCGTTCATCACGCTACCCAGAAGGAAGCTGTTTGCCCTGTAATTTATATTTTAACCCAGGCCTTGGGTTCTGCCGATGCCCGGGGGGGGGGTCTAGCGGAATACCAGATACCGTGACATCGAGAACAAAGCGCAAGGGGGATAGTAGGTGAATGGGTGAATGGGGGAAAGGAAAGAGCAAACCCGGAGCCCTGTCTCTTCAGCACTTTAACCAGGGAATGAAAGTACAATGAAACCAATGAAACCAGTGAAACACCGATGTGAACTATTTTTGACGAACAATGGGGCTGGGGGTTGATACAGCGAGGATCCCCGAGTCTAAGCCACCTCACGCTCGGTCGCAGAGTTGAGGAACCGTTCGTGGCAAATGGTCCGACTTGATGCGTGGACGGAGTACGGTGTACATACTTAGTGGTCGATTAATCAACAATTCAATTACCTGGTTCTGTATGTATTTGGTCAAGTAAGCATGATCCATGTTCAATGGAAGAACCCTGTTGTTTCCTGTGGAAGGTCTTGAGGCGCCCAATCTTGAAACTCCACCTCAGCCTCAGCCCTACTACGAGTATTATTCTTGTTACGGAAACCCAACAGGTAATGGTTGTTCTATATTCGGATACTACTTGAAAGAATTAGACCAGGCTGCATCGATTTGGTTGAGATCTTCTATGTAATTGATCAGGCGACGCCCGCCTATCTTTTCGGACAAATGGCCCCCCCCGAGGCATATCTGCTTCAAGGAGTGGTGGCCGGTGTCTCAGTTTCAAGTTCTTACTACCAGCTTACGGCCCGCTTGGGGTTCGTATGTACACTTGGCTCGTATTCTTGTGGCGACGACGACCGGGGTACTGAGGACCCTGCGACCGGGAATTGACTATTTATGTACAGAAGGGTGATGAGGCATGGGGTTCAGTGTACATAGATGACCTTGTATTCAGGTACCTGTGAAAGGGGATTGTCCAGGAAACAAGACCGTGGTAGGGATCGTACTCGTAGCTGTTCAACGGCAGATCTACGATGCTAGTAGTATGGAGTCCGAAGTCCGAAGTAGTACCATCATCCACCTCTCGAAGCCACAGGCCCTCTTCCCTCGCACTAAGCCGTGGGTATCCATTTCTCACCACCGACTAGGTAAGCCTTGCAGGACGCGATACGGCGACACCGATACGGGGTGGGGAAACCGAGTTCTGCACCATACCGAGATACTTAAGGCTGTGATTACTCATGTATGTAGTACCAGTATTAACATAAATGAGCAAAAGAAAAAGGCGAGGATTGACGGGGTCAGCCCAATGACCTCGGGGGTACCTTGGGCAAATGTTAGTTACTAGTGCTGGTACTTGGGTATGTGCTGGGTGGCGACTAAAGTGCTGGCCCACCTATAGCTATTGGCCTGCAAGGAGGACCTTCGTCTACCCCCAGGCAATGAGAGTTGTTGCTATGGAAATCTGTATTCGAGGGTCTTAGGACAAGTTACACCGGATTGTACTTACATCGCACAGCGGTATACCAAGAAGTACATAGCAGCAACTCTTTCCCTTGCGGAGATTCTTGTACATATCAGTATGTTCATCGACGAGACCAGGGTACTGAGTAATTAAAGTACTTGGTGGGGGTTTCTTGTCTTCCATCCTAGTATTGATCTACATACTCCTATGGTCCGCCTAGACGCCCTCGATAACCACCCCTGTGCACATCTACGTCCCGATGAACGCCGCGGTCGGGAGGGGACCCCGACGAGTGCCAACTGGAGTGGGTTATTTTACTGCCTCTGGTATAGCCGACGGGAGCGCGATGATGGTGATTCTGGCGGCTAACCCGGGCAGATCCCCGCTCTGCAGGTCCACCTTGACGGTGCCGGGTGAGGAGGTAATGGGTACATAGTATGTATACGGAGTAATGTAATACGTTTTCCTAGAGAACGATGAGGAGAGAGCGGGGGAAGCGACTGTGGCGGTTGGGGCGAGGGTATGTTTATTTGGAAGGTTTTGGCGAGGCCGTTCCGAAAAGTTGAGTTGGATTGGATTGGCTTTGATTTTGAGTGTGGGCGTCGGAACTGGGAATGGGCTAGAAAATGAGATGGGATCGAGATTGAGATTGGGGTTGCTGGAGACGAATGGGAAATCTGCAGGGTCCGAGTCATGTCATGATTATTTTTTTATTCCGTAGATGGAGTACGGAGTACTGTATCCATGTAAGTAGTCCAGAAAGCCGGAAGCGTTCCACGGGCTAGTCATGGGCTAGTCAGTGCGGAGGAAACCCGGCCGAGTCAGGCACCGCTTTCCAATCATCCTGCAAAAGTCGTTAGTAATATCCCCTGTCTCAGGCTATGTATGCGCAGTGAGAGGCGTGGCGCAAGGGATCCACGGCATGCTTATCCACCCAGATGGGATCGGATTAGAACGTGTTTGAGTCCAGTGAGCTGGACATAGGCATAGAGAGTATGGACCATACTCATGCTCATATCCAGAGTTTACTTTTCCTCTCGTCTGAACAGGAGAGTTGTATTGGTCAAGACAGAGCAGAAACGAGCAGAACAGAACAGGGACGGTGCAACGGAGCCTCGGTCGTACAGAGCCGTGACGAATGACCATGGGAGGCCGGGAAATTTAATCCCATCGACGACTGCTAGTGTAGTCAGTGGTACTCCGTCCCAGTGGTACACCTGCATGAGAGGGGTTCTGGCATTCTTCGGGTGATCGGCCGTCACAGCCCGGCATGTACAGAGCAGGGCAGCGGAAGGCAAAGCAGGGCAGCAGGAGTAGCAACAGTAGCAGTAGAAGCAGCATGATGATGCAAAAGTAGCAGACAGAGTAGCAGACAAAATACATTCTATACTCTGTCACTCTGGAGTATACTTGTGTATAGTAGTCCGGCCACTGTATTGTATTGAAGGAAAGACTCCGGCCACACCCGTCTCCGCTGGGATTTGGGAAGACCCATTCTGGACCTGTCGTCCCACTCCGATTCGGAGGTGAGTTTGTATGAGGGGGGGGACAGGGTTACAGCTCGGAGGTCTAGATTTCAGGTCGGCGGGAACCAAAGAGTCAAAAAAAAAAGAATGAATACAAAGGAAGAGAGTCAAAAATAAATGGGAAAAACAAGAAACAAAACAAAGCATACCATTGATAGAGGGGATTGAATGCCATAAGAATAGTACACTCTTTGGGGGGGGGGGTGTCATAAGAATAGACTGAAAGGTACAAAGACAAAGATACGTAAGTAATATAAATGGTATGGTAATACCCGATGGGGTCGTCCGTATAGATGGTGGCTTCCGGAGACCAACCCGGGTACGGAGTAACTTACTACAGACTAGTAGTCTTGCCTATTGGGTACCGTGAACTGGGTATTGTAATACCAATACACCCTGCACTGCGAAGACTCCCCTGCCAGGGAATCGCCCGTCAGCTCTCCCCACTCTCCGCTTCGCCTTATTCTCCTCCTCACCACTTCCGATTCTCCCTCTTACTCCTCCATCTGACTTTCTCTCTCTCCCCTCCTCACCCTCTCTCTCTCCCCCTCTACTCTGTTCATACCTTCACACTCTCTTTTCAGCGTCCTGCCAGTTTCGGCCCATTTGTTTGCTACCACCTTATGGCGTATGGTCTTTCCTCGACTCGTGCAGTTGGCCGCCTGACCTGCAGCTCTCACGCTGCCATCCGACCCTGCCCGTCTCGACGCTTCTTCTCCCTCCCCTCCCAGATTTTCTCATCTTCACCATGACTGTTTTGGAAATCCCCCAGGATGGTTTGACTCTCCGGGCGGAGAGTCAGGCTGGGGAGCCCGCCGCCACACGAGCCCAGTTCATGCGGCTGGCTCTCGCCCAGAACACCCTAGATGAACTCATCAGCAGTATGCAAAAAGGCCAATCGGCCCGAGTTCGTCTGGGAAAACATCCATCCCTCCAGTACGCTGGAAAAACCGAGTCCTTCCACGCCTACCCCGAAACTCACCGCTCCGAGGTCTACGAGACCTCCGATAAGCGGACCCTCTATTTTGCCGGAGTCCTGAGTCACAGCTTGGAGGTCGCAAAGGCCAAGGAGGATACCGAGGATGTCTCCAAGGCCTTGGAGACCCTGCAAGCGGGCCTCAGTGCCCACGAACGGGAAAAAGAAGCCAAACAGTCCTACCTAGTCTCGCACCCGGATGAGCTGAAGGCTCTAGCCAAGGTCAACAAGGGCAATCGGATGTCAATCCGCTCGGGAGGCCCTAAAGACAAATGTATTGACTTGCTGCTTTCACTACTGTGCTTTTGAAGACAGATGCTAACGTGATTACAAAGCCCGCCGCCTCGGAGCCTCTGGGATGGGGAGCCTGCACCCGAGTCCCAAGCTCGGCGCCGCCGGATCACCCGCCCTCGCCCCGACCTCCGCCCCCTCGCAATCCAAGAGCGATATTCGTCTCGAAGCCCTCAAGACCCCCTTCGTCCACCTTCTTGCCGTCCGCGCTGTTTCCACCCAGTACCTCTCCCGCCTCACATGCGCTCCTCCCGATGATATTACTACACTCGCAAAGAAGTTTGGCGTGGAGAATCGTCTCAACAGAGAAAAGTTTGACTTGAGAGATAAGATCTACAAGGATCTCGATATGTGGAAGTTCCCTTACCCAAATGATGACGACCGAGAAAACGCCATTCAAAACGCCATCTCCGCCTTCGATCGCATGCGCATCTCCCGAACCGACAAACTCTGGCAAATGCTACTTCCGAAGGAGGAACGTGGCAAGGGAAAATGCCTTTCACGCCTCAACCTTCACACTATAAGTGCCAGCAATGTGCCCACAAAGAAGGCTACCACGCCACGGATCCAGGTGGATGGTGCCGAGGACCGAGCCGACGAGACCGACCGTGCCAAGGCATCGGATGCACCTCGGCCAACTCAGAAATCCAAGGAGAAGGATGGATCGAAGAAGCAACTGAAGGGAAAGAGTGCCAATAACAGCACGCTGACGGGCCGAGTGACAAAGAAGACTGCCAGCAAGCCTGCTCCTGCAAAGCCCGAGGGCAAGTTCAAATCGGCGGAGTTCGTCAACTCTTCTGACGATGAGGATGACGATATGCTCGATGCCCCCTCACCTCAGCCTGCACCAGCTCCCGCTCCGCGTCCGAAGGAAAGCAAAAAGGCACCGGCCACAGCTCCAATCAAAAAGACCCAATCCGCGGCCAAACCCCAACCTGTGAAGCCCGTCGCTTCTACTCCTAAGGTCTCAAAGGCGCAGACATCCACACCGAAGCTCGAGTCATCTCAACCTACCCCTTCCTCTAAGCGACCTGCCCCTCGACCCTCGACCTCGCCCCAAAAGCCATCCCCTCTGGGTTCATCTCCTCCCGCAAGCGCATCTGAAAATGCCCATGGTCGCAATCGTTCCGACAGTCAAAACCAGTCATCAGGTTCATCTTCATCCTCGCCTCTTATTTCTCAACTTGCCCGAAACAGCAAGGCTACCGGCACAGCTGCACGCCCACCATCAAAACCTGCAGCGTCGGCCAATGGTCCTCACAAGCCCCTTCCCACCAAGGCCTCGGCCCAACCACCTCCGAGTAAATCTGCGCCTCCAAAGCCCGCCCCCAAACCCGTTCCCGCCAGACCAACATCCACCAAGCCTACGCCCCTCGACTCAACCCGTAACAAGCCAACTCGTCCAGGTCCTGTCATTGGCAGGACTGCAAGCAAGACCTTGCCCGCGGGAAATCCCCGGAAGCGCAAGGCGGACCCAGATCTTGGGTCCGAGTCTGAGAGAGATGGACATCTAATTACCACTGGCAACCTTGAGCACAAACGGCGCCGCGCAGTTAGTACCTCCAGCGGCAGCACGGGAAGTGCATCTCCATCTATGACCCAGGAGGTTCTCCGGAAACGATTGCTGGACAAATCGGAGAAGTTCAAGGAGTATTATGCCAAGTACTCGGCCTTGCATGAGACACTGGCCAAGCAAGCTCAGCCCATCCAACGGGATGTGGACAAACTAGAGAAGCAGCACAAACGACTACAGCAAATGAAGCAGGAGATCTGGGATGAGAACCGACGTCTCCGCGACGAAGGTATCATCTCATGATTCTTTATTTCCTTATTTCCTTATCTTATTTATTGTTTTTCTTTTCTTTTTGCATGGTGATCGATTGGTCCCCCTCAAACAGCGAGGTCAACCGTTCTTTTCGACAGATGGTTATTTCGGCGTTCTACGGCTCTACGGTCTTTTCCCGGCTCAGGTGATTATTGATATTTTACTGCCTTCATTTCTCAACTTTTCTTCACCTGCATGCCTTGTTTATCTCCCCATCAGCACATTTTTATCTGCATTCCCATGATCTGTGATATAGAATTGCATTCCCTACGGCTGCATCCAAGTGATGCTTTCCGGTTCATACGCATAGTATGTCTCTACGACATGCAATAAAAAAAAACTCGACTTGACGTCAAATCCTCTTCCACCTCATAGTCGTATATGTATCTCTATTTTCTCCTTGGCCGCAGATCAGCCTGGATTCTACCCCGGATTCGCGCATCTCTGGTTCGCTGGGCCGACTGTGGGCCGGTGGCGCTTGCCTCATGCTATCATTGGCAGGTAGACACGTGGCAGAGTCACGGGATCCATACGACCCATACGGTACTGATACACATAATATAAATTACATCGTCACCGTTGACCCCCACTAGTCCGTAATTGGTCTAGCGCGCTTGATTCTGTGCCAGCAGCAGCTCAACGGCGGTGGGATACTCTCGCAAGCTCCGAGTTGACCTCATTCTCCACGTCTTGTGCAATTGAAGTCCAATCCTCTTGGGCATAAAAGGACGCTTCACAATGACTCCCCCCGCTCGAGGCCGGGGAACCAGTCAACGCAGCCCGACCGTTCTGGTACGTATCCGCGAAAAGCAATTATCCCGTTCACTGCTGCTGCTGCTGCGGCGGCTGCCGCCGCAGCTTCATCTCCAACACCCAACGGAAAATCCCTTACATTTGCTGATGTACATTCTTCCCATTCACAATAGGTAACCGACTCACGCGACCAACAACAAGCCTCCACCCCCCGACGCCGCAGATCCCCCGCGACTCGCTTCATCACCGTCGACAATGTCTTACAATATGCCTCCGACGTCCCGTCCATGCAGCAGCGGCACCCGCCGCCAATTTCGCGCTCGCGCAGACTTGCTTCGGCCAGCGGTTTGATTGGTGGAGCAGGCAGTTCCACGACATCTAATAGCCGACTCGCTGCCCAGCCGCGCCTCCCACCACGCACGACGAAAGTTAGTGAGAAACTCGTGCTGTTGCCGGATACTGGGGGAGTAGGCGAGCCAGACGAAGGCGAGGACGATGAAGATGAGGATCAAGCGGATGGCCATGCTGATCAAGTAGACGAGGAGCTTGTTGCGCGCATCGCGCGTGATAAGCACGTTGAGCCCGAGGCTGTGAGGCAGGCTCTCCTTGCGCAGAAACGGCTCAGTGTTGGGGACTTCTCGATCGATAATGATGTTGCGCCACTGAGGGCGGATGAGGAGGTAATTCGCAAGCGACGAACTCCTGAGCGCGCGAAGAGTTATGCGGAGCGCTTGCCTAAGGCTAGGCGGACGGAGAAACTTGCGCGGGTTACAGCTTATTGTACGGCGCAGGCGTATAAAATGGGGTCTGTCGCTTCGTTTGTGAAGGAGTGGCATGGTGCTAGGACCAAGCTGTATGATGATTGTTTGTACACAGCGTATCATTTGCCGCTTGTGCCAGGCCATGAGGGATATCGGTTACGCAGTAGCCCCGTGTTGAAATTCCCGGGCGGCAAGTCGCTACTGGATGAGGAAATTGAAAGGAATGAGCAGAGAGACCATCACGATGACTGGATGGGAGAGGCAGAGGAGCATTCTGTCGGTGGTCGCAATAGGCCAGAGGAAGAACATCATCATGAAGCGTCACCACAAGACCCGGGTACTGCCTCGAGGGAGGAACATCATGAGTTCCTGACTCGGGTTTCTGAGGAGGATGCGCGGCTTCAGGATCGTACGCCCGATCCGGATGGCCAGTCGAGTGAAGAACACAATCTGGACCTTCGACCTCGTCGTCGAAGACACAGCTCCGATGATGGTCAAGCTCTGATGAGAGCTCGCTCGGCCTCCCCGGTCAAACCGTCGTCGTCCTCCATGCCTGACCGGCCTGCACGAACCCTGTACAATGTCGCCGAGATGTTTGTTTTCAGCTATGGTGTTGTGGTGTTTTGGAACTTTACAGAACGCCAGGAGAAGGATTTATTGGCGGATCTGGCATTCGCTACATCTTCGGCTACTGGTACTCCTATCCCACTGACAACCATGCCTCTCCATGAAGAGGATTTCGAGACAGAGGAATTTCATTTCGAATACTCGACTGAGATCTCTCGGCCTCGCGTTTACAACGATATGATCACACTCCGCAGTGGGGACCACATGATCAAACTAGCAATCAGTCATGGTATCTCTCAGAGTACCAAGTTGTGTTTCTTTGAGGAGGTTATGGCGCGTCAGATGGCTGATGCGAAGGATGTACCACGAAGACTCGCTATGACCGGTCAGCTCGGCATGAAGCGTGAAGAGGTCTTCCGGATTCTGGGACGACTTTTCAAGAGCCGAGTCGAGGTCAATCTTTGTGAGTGGGCACGTCATGCCATCAATACCATGCAACGCTAACAATCTCCAGCATCAAACATGCTCGACGTTCCGAATTTCTTCTGGGAAAGCGAGCCAACACTCTACCCCCTTTACATTGCCGTCCGCGAGTACCTCGAAATCAAACCTCGGATCCAGGTTTTAAATGAACGCTGCCGGGTGTTCCTCGATCTAGCAGAGATCCTCTCAGACTCCATCGCTGACAACCGCACATCTTGTACGCCACGCCCCAACCCATTGATTACTCACCGATGCATCTAAACAGCACTGACAAAACAAATCTAGATCAAACATGGGTTGTCATCGTTCTCATTGTCATCTCCATCCTCGTAACTCTCTCTGAAGTCTTCCTCCGTTTTGGCCTTCTCCACGCTAGTCAAGGCACAACGCCGGCCAGCATCATCGCCCGCGCAATGGGACGCTCTCCTCCGTCCCCATCCCCATCTCCAGGCTGGTCCTACCCTAATATCCCGGCAGGATGTATCTGCCCCTCTCTTGCTCCGACCGGCGGGCCTGACATGGGTGTCAGTGGCCTGATGGGAGGCCTCTAGGCGTTGCTCGCTCGTTCTTTCATTATGTATTCGATTTCAACATCGCACACGGAAATATGGAAGGTGTATGGAGTTTTGGACGGGCACATTATTCTGTTACGTACAGTTCTTTTTTTAAATTATCTAGTACTCGAGACTACTTCTTGACATCAATTAAAGCGTGCTATGCTTGAGCTACAAGTGTCGATCGCGATCTAAACTGACTATCCATTTGCGAGCACATACATACAAGGACCAAAATGTCTAGAGCTGTAAACGAGATCCCAAAGGTGGGATGGAGCTGCATTTTTGGTATTATTGATGGCTGGATGCCCCGAAACTAAGCACCCAGCCCCACAGTGCTAGCACAGGTACATTTTACCCCCTTAGGATTTAGGGGCATCTATAGACTATGGGGTTCGGCGGGTCGACATTAAAGCGTTTGACTCTAACGGGAAAATAAAGTCTCAACCTAGGTGAGGCTAATTCAGAGTCAAAGACATGCGAAACACGCTATTCTCACGAAACCTTCACTAAAGTCAGGGTGGGAGGAAAAATAACTCAAATTGGGGGGGGCCATTCAGGATCCTGTTCAAGTTTGAGAGGGATCATCGCGCAAACTAAGTTTGAACCTGCCTTGCGTCCCCCCTGTGGAAACAAGTTACCCATCACACCAAAGTTTGCTCTTGGCCTTTTCGCCTGAAAAAAGAGAAAGCGTCATATCTTTATATTACCTTAGCGCGACTCACTCGATTTTGAGCATTCCCCCGCGACCTTCGCAAAATGACAATGTCTGCTGAAAGACACCTGCCAGGTGCCAATCTTGTCCCTGGGGACATTTACCCGCTATACCCATTCGACAGCGATAAGACAAATCGCTGTTTCGTATCCTGGCTGATGAGATTTAATGATGTTCTTGACCCTGAACAATTGAACAATGCTTTGGCACGACTATTGGAGATTGGGGATTGGAAGAAACTCGGTGGTCGGCTACGATGGAAGGTAAGGGTATTTTCCTGGTTTGACCGGGCTTCACTAACGTCAATTAGGAGAACGGAGACCTAGAGGTCTGTGTCCCGAACATCTCGGGGGAAGAAGATTCAAGAAAGACTTTCTTCACCCATCAGACTTTCGACGTGGAAATTCAGAACCACCCGGTGGCTTGTCAATTCCCAACACGGACTGCCGGTCCATCAATCCAACCAATTTCTGAAGACTTCAAGCCATTTGTTACACGGCAAAGCTTCCCAACCTTCCAGCAGCTAGTGCAGGAGAAACTGCCATTGATATCTCTCCATATATCCTCTTTCCGAGATGCAACCCTGGTATCTCTGGTCTGGCCTCACGCGCTGATGGACGCGTTTGGGGGCCAGGCTCTCCTCGCTGCCTGGTCATCGGTATTAGCCGGACGCGAAGAAGATATTCCTACCATCAGTGGTTCACGGAAAGACCCTCTTCGTGAGGCAGTTTCGTCCAACCCCGAGAATTGGGAAGATCTGAAACTCGAAAAAAGGCGTCTGAAAGGTATGGGTCTTATCAAATTCTTATCTCGGTACTTGTGGAACAATACATGGGACGCCCCTCGAGAAAGGCGTGTTATCTTTCTTCCGAAGATCTTTTTGGACAGGATGAAAAACCTTGCCCAGAAACAGATTCGCGAAACACATTCGTGTCGCGATTCTGGAGTGCTCTGTAGTGGTGGGGATGCACTTATTGCGTGGGTAACGCGAGCAATGGCATTGTCAGAACCAACAATGCGCCCAATTACGATTTTGAGTCTCTTAAACTCTCGCTTTCGGCTTCCAGAGTTTATTAACTCAGCGGGGGTTTTTCTTCAAAATCTAACGCTGGGAACCTATACATTTCTCTCATCACAAGAAGCAAGAGGGCCGATTGGACCCATTGCACTCAGTCACCGCCAACATTTTAATGAACAATCCACAGAGCAGCAGGTTCGTGCTTTTATGAGAACCGGCTACCAAGATATCGACGCGGGTAAAACACCCGGGGTGCTTTTCGGGGAGGCAAATGCCCTACCAATAGTTCTAAATAATATGGTCAAGGCAGACTTAATAAACACGGTCGATTTTAGGGCAGCTGTTGTGCACCAAGGGGATACTTCGAGGGACAGAGTGAATCCGTTAGGAACGATGCTCATGTACTACTATGAAAACGTGGGCGAGCCGTACAAAGGCTTCAACCTTTTTACGATGCTTGGTCAAGACCATACTGGTAACCACTGGCTTATGGGGACGCTTTTACCACGGGCATGGGATAAGATAATAGAGGAACTTGGAAACGTTTGAAATAGTCAGGGTTATATCAATTAAAGAAATTATACTGCAATATACTAGTCTTATAGTCATGTTCATAAAACGAGTAGCGATCGAGAGCATGAGTTCTCTGTCCCAAGATGACTTTTATGAAGTTTAGAACTAGTACTAGTAACTGGTCTCAAAACAAACTACCATCCTCCAACGTAAAGATACCTACTTCACAATAAAGAACTGGAAGCTGCAGATTTTTATCTATGAGATGCCGAGGTTGATTGAAATATACACGGTGGGGCATTGTCTCACTAAATGTATTGTCTCGTCAAGAAGCTAGGCGGAATTCGAATTTAGCTTGAAGAATCAGAACTCAAGCGTCGTAAACACGAAAGGGTCGATCTTGTATTTGCTCTACAGGGCCAAGATCGCCCAGGGGTAGGCTCCACCCCATCGTATTTGGCTTGGCGAGCTGAGTTTCACAGAGTTGATGCGTATCGGATTCTTCAAATAGCTGAATTGATTTAATGGAAATAGCATTGACAATCTCTTCTTTAACTAGAAAACTATCGTTTTTTTCTTGAATATCACACACTTTGTACGAGGTCAAATCTGTCTCGACAATCATTCTCACGGAATCTTGTTCGCATTTGTAGGATTTGGAGACCTTTGATGCCTGTCTAGTCATCATGCCAAGCAATCCTTCGAATACGAGCAATCTCAAAATAGACGTCTCCGAAATCTTCTAGTCAGATACTATTGGTTTGGTTGACAATTGCTGTAAAAGGATGGGGTATCATTCCGCGAAGCAACATACTCATTGAATTTACTAGAACGATCAGCCAAGCTGGGGAAAATAGGGTATAAAGATCTTGAATAGGAATCCGATTTCAGTCTGCAAAATCTTCTCCGTCTCGTCTTGGTTAACTACTAGTATTTCCACCTGTTCCACACCAACTACCCAGTCCTTTTACACAGTAAGTTGCTTGCGTAACAAAGAAGGACAGTTAAGCAAAGAGCTCCCGACTTTTCTAACATTTTTTTTTAAAAAAATTTGAAGCCTATCGAAATGAAGTTCCTCGGAGGATTTACCACGCTTCTCCTCCCTCTCGGAGCCCTGGCTAGCACGGGCTACTTTTGCGAAAACACGCCCCACGTCGGTGCTGTGGCCCCCACCTATAACTGCGGAAAGCAGTGCGGACTGGACAGCTACAACACCCAATTCTCGACCTACCACTGCTGGGTGGATGGTGATGGTGTCAAGTCCTGCTTCAAGAAGTGTTGCAAGGATGCGGGCAGGGAGGTGGGCACTATCTCGGGTCTTTAAATATGCCCTGGAATGGCTCTGTTGATATGAAAAGAGCTGGTCCCTGGAGCTGTGGCAGTCTATATTGAATGTGTTTGGACGATTCCATGACAACTTGGCGACGACTTCCTCGAACTCATTGTGACTATACTAGTAGTCTACAGGCTTGTTGAAGGTTGGCTGAAATCATGATTCCTGTGGCACGAAAAGTTTTCTCTATGATGTAGTATAACGAAGCTCACAATATGAGATCTGCTAAGAGTTCAATTTGTTCCACACTAGGGTATAAAATGGTGTTGATACTATTCCCAGTATGGCTCAATGTTCCAATTAGGCATAGTGTAGTGATATTATCAGACAAAAGAAGTGCAGTTAACAAAGGCGGTGGCAAAAAGAGGGGGCGGATGGAGATGAACATAGGAGATCGACATGGATGACATGGAGATGAGAAGCATCATGGTTTATGAGACTAGAGGGAGCTGATGGTGCTATCTTATTTACTTTTTGGCGTCTATGGGTCATTCTCCCTTTGAAGTAAGTACGATCCACCAGGTATGCCTCACTCCGCTGACCATCAAGGCTCCAGTGTTGCGGCAGACCATGCCGATATCGAACCTGCATGAAGGGGAACCTATCAATATGCACCTTGGCGATCACGATCAACAGAATGAGTTTCAGCCTTTTCTTATGAGTGAAGAATCTGGCCCACGAGAGCGGCTTCCCCGGCGACTTCTAGGGCAACTTTCAAGGTCGTGGCGCAAGGCACAGGCGTTGATCACCTCTGAGCATGGCGTCAGTATCTTCAAGTGCAGCCTTGCGTATTTACTCGCATCTCTAGCGGTTTTTATTCCATTTATTGGGAAACTTCTGGGTCAGCAATATGGCAAACATCTAGTAGCGACCATCACCATTTACTTCCACCCGGCAAGATCGCAGGGCAGCATGTACAGGGCGCTGATATGCGCCTCCGTCGCATTTCTTTTTGCGACGTTTCTGTCATTGTCTAGCATGTGGGTGACCATTGTCTTCCATAGAAAGCATGACTTGATTGAAATAGGTCATGCTGTGGTTCTGGTCGTCTTCGTCCTGGGTGGTTTCGGGTTTATTGGATGGATCAAACAGAGACTCCAAGACCCGCTCGTCAATGTTGCATGCTCTTTGGCTTCTTTGGCCTCGATTCTGGTCATTACCAAAGAAGGTGCTATACAAACAGGTGATCTTTCCTTCACAAAAATCTCCCAGATACTCAGGATGCTGCTTTTGGGTATTGGAGTCTCAACGGCCGTATCTTTCTCGATAATGCCCGTTTCTGCCCGGAATAAATTTCGTGGAGACTTTTCTACCTTGATGGGTACAACCTCAATGATGTTGATGACTCTTACGGAGAGCTTTCTCCGAGGTACAGACCGGGAACTCAAAACAGCCGACTTCCTCCATCTCTCTTCACACCATGACAAAACCTTTGGCCACTTGAAGCAGCTACTAAGCGAGACAAAGCTCGAGCACTATGTCGCTGGGACGAATCGAGAGTATTCTCTTGAGGAAGAACTTGTGCAATTAATGCAAGATATTACCCACGGCCTAGGGGGTCTGCGCAGTGTACTGGCCTTGCAGTCTGAATTGCTTGCACCAACTAAATGTACAGAACTTCCACAGCCTTCAAGAATGAAAGGCCAGCTTTCTACCCCTCCTCTATCTGAAAATTCGAGATTGACGAGCGAGTCAAGTGTCGGCTCGCCAACATACACACAAGATGTCGACAATGAATCGTCAAGTTCGGCTTCACAAACTAGACAACAGTCCTCTTCGATTCAATCTCCCGCTGAAATCTTTCAGCAACTAACATCTCGTCTCGAGATCTCTATCGTAAGTGCGATCACGTAATCTATCCATACCCAAACTTTTTGCTCACAGATGCCTGGTAGCTATCGCTTGCTGTTGCCCTGAAAGAAACATTTGAAGAAGCTTCTTTCGGATCTGCACCCGACCGCCGTCTTTCAATAAGCGAGGGAGTGATTTCCCGCATCAATGAAGCAATAGACTTATATGAAGAATCTCGGCGTGCTGCGTTTCATTCGCTTCGACGAGATTGGCAGATGATATCTCCAGCTCAGGTAGACAAAGCGAGCCTTGAAGAAATCTTCGCTAATTGCGAATATTTCTCCGTTGGTTTACTCAAGCTGAGCGAGCAGCTGCGATCCCTTTTATTGGTGTTGGAGGATCTGCAGCTTGAGGTTGATGAAAGACCTGCCGGGAAGTCTTGGAGCTGGCTCCGTCTTCCATGGTGGCCGACTCGTCGGAATGAAGACGTGCGAGGTTCAGGTGAAGGTAAGTGAATGCATATAGATGTATAACATAGAAAGTGTTCGAGAAGAGCGGCACTAATTTGACTCTCGCTAGCGCCTTTGTCGGGACGCCACCGTGCGGTCGACACCCGAAGCTCTTTACAGCCGCTCAATATCCGTGGTCGGCCGCAAGACCCATACCGAGGACGAACACATCACCAAGGAGGGAGGAAGGATCCTGTGAGAGTGTTTGATTTCCTGCGAAAGGATGAGATCAAGTTTGCTCTAAAAGTAGGCATTGGAGCGGCGCTTTATGCCCTGCCTTCCTTCATATCCGTGACCAGACCACTTTATATATCATGGAGGGGAGAATGGGGTCTCATCTCGTACATGTTGGTATGCTCCATGACCATCGGGGCGTCAAATACCGCCGGTTTTGCTCGCTTCCTCGGTACATGTCTCGGGGGCCTTGGTTCGCTGGGTGCTTGGTACCTCGCAGGAGGTGATGCTTTTAAGCTCATACTTACGGGCCTTGTCATGGGGATTGGACCCTTCTACTTGATTATTGTCAAGGGGCAAGGGCCTATGGGCCGATTCATCCTACTAACCTACAACCTCTCTGTGCTTTACGCTTACTCACAGTCGCAAATTGATACTGATGATGGGGCCGAACATCTCGATATCACTTCGATCGTTCTCCGCCGAGTCGTCTCCGTCATTGCTGGCAATGTTTGGGGCATCATAATTACGCGAGGAATATGGCCCATTCGCGCACGAACAAAACTTGATGAAACCCTGCAATCGCTGTGGCTCAGGTTGGCATTCATTTGGGAATCAGACCCGTTGAATACCATATCCAGGGATGGGGCAAACATGCCTATTCTTTATATGAACGATCATGACAAAGCCGAGGTTGAACACCTTCTCTCTCGGCTTGACCCCATGCAAGCATCCGCGCGTTCTGAAATCGAATTGAAAGAGCCGTTTCCAGATTCTGCATACGGTAGCGTGATTCGCCGAACAAGAGATATTGTGGACAACTTTCATTCCATGGACCTGATTCTCTCTGGACTGGGTGTACCTTCAGAAGGGCAGCTTTCGCTTCTGCAACACACTACCACTGCTAGACAGAGAATGTCTGATTGCATCGCCAATTTACTTACAAGTAAGTTCCAATTTCACGATAACCGGTTTCACCGTTATCGACTCAAAGATTACACAAGTATTACTCTTTTCTAACGCCTGACTTCTCCTGCAGCTATAGCAGCGGCTGTTGAGGTTGGACATACCTTCAGCGATTTTCCTACGAATGTTGACCGTCCCCGTGATGAACTTCTGGCACATATATCTCGATATCGTCAAGATAAACGCGTGTCTGTCACGACAAATGATGAAGACTATGTCTTGCTTTACGCTTATAGTAAGTTCGCTTAAGAATGCTTTCCCCAGGGCCCCTTGAACGCTCCAGTTGTACTGACATGAAATAGTCATTATGAGCCGCCAGTTGTCGAATGAGGTGATTCAAATCACCACGGAGCTGGCTCACATCTTCCCGGCCCCGGAAGGAGATCTAATTGGTGCCTTGCGAGTTTGATCGAAGTAACTATATACAATGTACTACTAGTAATTCTGCCTTAGAATCGAGTTTCCCGGTCGTGCAATGACCTTGTGGTTCAAATTCCCAGAGCTGACATTCCAAGCACTGCCATCTGTGTCTGAATCCTCAAATTTTCCTGAAATGCTTCTCGCTCGTATGCCGCCTCCTCAGATGTACCGGCTTCCTTTCCCTTCACCCCGCGAATGATTGCTTCTGCTACTTTGCAAGTAACCATCTGACAGCTGTCGAGTACAATGTTGTACTTTTGACCGAACTGGCTCACTATATGAGTAATAAGTAAGTATTGGGGACACCTCTTAGGACACCCAACCCTAGAAGAGAACTGCCAGTGGAACTCACTAAGCACCTGAATCTTGTCGTTCACGAACTTGGTCCGTCCCAAATATTCATACGTATTTTCCATCTGTAGGCCTTTCTCGTAGTCGAAGGGGCTAACATGAGCCACCGCGTCTTTGTTGGTGAGTATTCCGTTTTTCGTAGAGACCCAGCTGAACATAAAACCCGTTGTCGAGGCCTTTGGTAAGCCGTCATTCTCTATGGAGTCGGCAACTAGGAGAGCGGAACGGAAATTGAAGCATGGAGCAGAAGACGATGGAGAAGAAGGATAAGCCCCCCATTTAACAAGCTAGACGTCTCTTTCTCGCATTTTTGGGTCATGCATCCCAATCTTCCATCCGAAGCCTCTGTTTCGTCTAAAATACTTTCCAAGCTTTCCAAACGATAAAGCCATTTTTGAAACGCACCAATGTGATACCTCGCGAAACAGCCGAAATCGACGGGCTTGAATAATTCTGGTAGGGCGAGAACCTTAGAACTATGAGAAAGGGGCACTGGACAGTGTCCATATTTAACTAGATTTCAGTGCGTCTGCTCTGGACGTGAATCATGAACCTTGGAACAGAGAGCACCAATTGGATTATAGAAACGACATAATGCGTTGCTCAATATCTTTCAAAAAGCTAAACTGTTCGATCCTGATAACATTTTTGGAGTAAAAGAACATTTCAAGCATATGCGTCTTGTAGGATGAGACGTTGTCCGATCCATCTGATGTGAGAAAGGCTGGCCGAGCTGAACATGCTGCATGGAGCAAACCTTACCGTTTGAGGCTGGTATTGCGATCGGTGCCGGGTGAGGTCGTTCTGGTGACCAGTGTGCCTAAATGATAATATTACAACATAGTGAGTCATTTCGGAGTTCTCCTGGTGGTCGTTCAATGGGTTATTTGTGAGTGGACGACCTGGCAGTCGGCACATGGGACTAGGGTTAACTCCGCCATGTCGTTCCTCGCCAGCCTCAGGCTCTAAAAAGAGCCAACTCAGTATGTGAATCGTCTACATTTACCAAATCGTCTACAGAAGAAAAAGAAAAGATGTGATGAATCCAAAATCTCCGTTGAGATGGACAAAGCCAAGCCATGCTAATATGAAACACAGAGACATTAGATATCAGTACAAGGGCCGCGAAAACCCAAGAGCCGCGCGATCAAAGGCGCATGCTCTTTGGTGCCCGATTCGATTCAATTCAATTCGATTCCAATTCCAATTCCGTTTTGTTCGTATCCAATTCCACCGTTTACCTCGTTCAACGTTTGATTTCCATTCTCAAAGTCGACCCATTTAACCGGTAACCTTGAAGATGGACTCGGCCAGACGCTGCACGTTGCCGGTGGTGATACCAGCAACGGAGATACGGCCGTCCTTGGTAGCGTAGACGGAGTGCTCCTTGGCGAGAGCATCCATCTGCTCGGGCTTCAGACCGGTGAAGGCGAACATGCCGATCTGGCTGGTGATGTGGGACCAGTCGTGCTTGCTGCCGAGCTTCTCGAGGTTGGTGCGGAGGAGCGAACGCATCTCAATGATGCGGTCGGCCATGCCCTTGACCTCACCGAGCCACTGCTCATTCAGAGAAGGGTCGTTCATGATGGCAGAGGCGACACGGGCACCGTGGATAGGAGGGTTGGAGTAGAAGGGGCGGATGAGAATCTTGATCTGAGACTCGACGCGCTTCTTCTCCTCGGCGTTCTCGCAGACGAGGGAGAAGGCTCCGACACGCTCACCATAGAGACCCTATTCGATTGTTAGTATGGCCAACTCAGTTTGACTTGCTGGATTCATGGCCCGGGATCAGACGTACCATGTTCTTAGCGAAACTCTGGCACAGAGCGATGTTGTGGCCCTCAGCAACGAAGTGGCGGGGGGCAAAGGCATCCTGGTCAGCGTTACCGCTGGCAAAGCCTTGGTAGGCCATGTCGAAGAAAGCGAAGTGGCCCTTCGACTTCATGACATCGCTGATCTGGCGCCATTGGGCCTGGGTGGGGTCAACACCGGTGGGGTTGTGAGCACAGGCGTGCAGCAGAATGATGCTGCCCTCGGGGGCGGCCTTGATGTCCTCGATGAGGCCCTCGAAGTCCAGACCAATGGTGTCCTTGTTGTAGTATCGGTACTTCTCGACCTCGAGGCCGGAGTCCTTGAATACGGCGTTGTGGTTGGCCCAGCTAGGGTTGGGCAGGTAGACCTTCTTCGCGCCAGGGTAGAAGCGCTCGAGGAACGCACCGCCAATGCGGAGAGCACCGGTTCCGGAGATGGTCTGGGTGATGACGAGGCGATCATCCTTGATGACGGCGGAGCCGGTACCATAGGCCAGCTCGGCAGCGGCGTTGGTGAAGGCAGGGATACCGGTGATGCCAGCATACTCCTTGTCACTGCGCGAGGCGACGACCTTGTCCTCGGCGGCGCGGACGGAGGGGAGAACGTAGGGCTTGCCCTTGTCGTCACCTAAATCGAGGCAAGACAGTTAGCAATTGATCGCAATCAAGAATTGGATGAAATAGAGCTTTGTTTGGACTCTCGCGAGGAGGGTTATGACATACGGTAAGCACCCACACCCAGGTTGATCTTCTCCTTGAAAGAGTCGGCCTTGAAGGCCTCAGTGATACCTAGGATGGCATCCTATTTATTTCGAAGAGGTCAAGTCAGCATTGGAGATGGCAATGGCATTTTCTAGACATCGGAAATCCAATTCCAAGCTTACCGGAGGGCCCTGGGGAACCTTGGACCAGGCCGAGGCTTGTCTGGCACCGAGAACGACGAAGTTAGCTTCGCGGGCAGCAGCCGAGCGGCTGGCGACACGCAGAGTGGAGAGCATTGTGTGTGATGATGAGGATGGAAAGAGTGATGGAATGGAATCAGAGAAGGGAAATCCCAAAAAGTAGGGGGGAGGAGAAAGTCGGGGAAGAAAAGGACGAAAGTCGGAGATGCTGCGAATGGGGCTTGACTGGCTTGACTCATGTGATACTTGTGCCCAGGTGTGTAGGTATTGAGTACCTGGATTTGTGTGGGGAATTACACCGGATGACAGGTACCCGGTACATCCCGAGTACTACTGCACAGCAGGTAGCCTCCGGAGAGATCAGCGACCACAACAAGGGGGATCTTGTCTGTGCTTTGATGTAAACAGGAAATACCTGTCAACTATTACTACGAGGAATACCTTTAATACCTTGTATAGTATTATACATAGGACTACCTGTATGTTGATCTATCTGTATCTATGTCCTAGATCAAGTTGTTTATGTTTACATACAGTCTGGCATAACGGCACTATACTCGTACAACTACTAGTAGAACCTCCACCCACTGCACTGCACTCACCTCCGACATTGCGCGACTCGGGAGGGCCTGCCCCGGTGAGCTGATCTGGCCGATTCTCCACCGGGCGCGCCTTTTCCCCTCACGCAGTTGGGGTAAAGCGAAACCCCGGTCATGCCATCCCATTCAGTAGGAATAAATAGTATGGTCTACTCACCGAGTCGGGCGCAGTCTCGGTTAAATTGAAAAAGGGAGGTGAAAAAAAGCAATGATCATAGCAAAAGCAAAAGCAGAGAGAATACATACGAATACTCCCGTAGACCCCCAAAAAAAAAAAAAAAAAAAAAAGAGCTTTCGTTTCAATTAACCCTAAATACCCGCGCATCCCCACACGCGGAGACAATCTGGAGTGGCCTGGAGAAAATTCTATTACGTAGCAACGCGGAGACACCCTAAGTAAGCCCTTCGGGTTCATCGGGTCGATCGGGAGACTCGGGAGGACATGACGAATACAGCTAGTACCTAGTAAACGTTCGGGTTCTTTCGTTGAACTTGAAGGGTTTCCAATTCCATTAAGGGGATATCGTAGCGCGATCTGACTTATACTACTGACCTACCCCATGGCAGCGAGGTACGTAGCAGTGATAGCTCGCGGCTCTATGTACGTCAACACAAAATAATCTCTGTCCTGACCAATTGGCTCCACCTCATCCTAGTCGCACTCCAGCCTGGCGCTTCTTACGCGCCGTCTCCTCCATCGCATTGTTCATGCCGGTATGTTGACTGCTGTCTAGTGCACTCATCGCCTCGCGCTTCTTTTCCTCCTCGATCTTCTTCAATCGCTTCTCCGTCTTCATCTTGCCGCTGCCCTTGCCGTGGAACTGGTGACTGAGGTGCTTGAATGCCTCCTTTTGGTTCATTGATCGCCCGTGCTCGTCCACGTATTTCAATTGCACATCGGGCTTGTACTCCCGGTTGAAGACTTGGGCCATTTCACGCGCCTCCTGTTGGTCGCGTTGCTTGTTCTCGTAACGGGCGTATTCTTCACGCTCGCGCGCAGACATACGGTCCAACTTGCCGGAAGCACGGTCACGCTCACGTTGTGTTCTGGCGCGGCGATCGGCATCGACCTCGCGATTGGCCTTGTCTGCGAGGAAACGTTGTCGGTCGCGGGTCAGGGCATTGCTAGATCCACTGTCTGTTTCCTTGACCAGGCCTCGTTGTCGTAGCATGGACAATGTAGATCCTAGACCCTGGTCTAGTGTAGCTTCTTCTTCTAAACCAGTGCCAGTGAGCTCTTGCTTATTCTCCTGGGATTTCTCGCGCTGGAGGCGTGCTGCAAGATCCTCGTCATCCTCAACATCGTTGTATGACCGCTCCATATCCACATCTTCAGTTTCTGCCTCAGGCTCCTCGGCAGGCTTTTCGATCGAGGGCTCTGCTCGTCGCTCTTCCCGCTCGGGAATGGTGGATTTGTGAAGATTGGAGACGAATTCCGAGGTTTCGTCAATAACAAGACCTGGCTCGTCGCCAGCTTCCTCTGGGGTCTCCACCTCCATGGGAGTTTGAGATTCTTCCTCACGAAGCTGTCGGGCGATATCTTCGGGGCGCATCTTCTTGCGTTTCTTGAATGCGGCGCGTCGTGTGGCCGCGAGAGAGGCTTGCAAATCATCGTCATCCACAAAAGAAACGTTCTGGTCGATCACCTTTCGTGGAGCAGGAGCCGATGCTCCATTCGTAGAGTCGATATCCATAGATGAATCGCCTGTTGGTGTAGCTCCGCCAAACAAGTCTTCATCGTCGATCACGGCTCTTTGTTTCGTAGTCTTGCTCTTCTTCTTTTTCGGCTTCTTAATCTTAACTTCGCTGATATCCATATAATCCGATGTCGGGACTTCGGGTTCGAGGTCGAGAGTAATGGCGCCCTTCTTCAGTCGTTCAGAAACCTCTTGTCGCTTGGCCTCTCTTTCCTCCTCGGTTGAACCCTTGGCATCGAGTGTAAACCTTTTGCGTTTTTTCCCTTCGATCTCTTCATCGTAGTGTGATAGGATACCCTGGTTTTCGGCGGTAGGGTCGTAAACGGGCTTGTTCTTCTTCAGTTCCAGTCTTTCTTGGGTCTTTTCCTTATCGACCAAGTTGACATCCTGGAGCTCGTCGCCCTCCTCATCGTCGTCCACAGCAGCATCCTTCAGAGTCAGGATATGGTCTTCGCCACCTTCAAAATCGTTGACAGCATGTCCAACCTTGACACCGGCAAGATCTGCAGCTGTGTACTCGACCGCAGCAGCGCGTTCCCGCTCCTCCAGCTCTTCGGCGAGCTTGCGCGCGCGCTCTTTCTCGATCTTCTTGGTGCGCTTCTTCGATTGCATCAACCAAGACTTGGTGTCGAGTTCTCCATCAGCCTCTCCAAGGGTGGTACCCTCGAGCTGTAAATTTCGCTGAGCCGCATCACGAGCCTTTTTGATGGCAGCACTCCGCGCCTCTCGCTTCTTTTTCGCTTCGGCATCATCCTGGAGCTTCTTCCAATTGTCATAACCTTGTGCTTGTCGGGTTTCAACTGTGCTCGCGGGCTCTTCTTCGGATTCGGAACCGCTGTCGCTATCGCTATCGTCTTCCTTGAAGGATGGACCGGCGCCGGGGACGGGGAGTGGAGCAAGGCCGAGTGCCACTCGGATTTTGTTGTTCTGTTCGATCGAGAGAGCGTCCGCCATGGTGAGAGAAGGTAGAGGAAAGGTAAGGTGACGGGCGAGATCCAAGAAGATCTGGCGGCGAGACTCTTCAATGGAGATTCTGGAGATTCCAGCCCGGCCTTGATACGCGGTAACACGTGATTTGATGGAACTAACCGTAAGCGGCTAGCGGCACAAAATCTTCGGGCGGTTAAAAAGCGAACGAAGCCGCCGCTTCTTCCTTTTCTTCTTCTTCTTCTTCAAGCGGATCTGTGTCCAGCACTCCCGTTCACCTCTGTGTTTCGGTCGAGCGCTGGGCAGTTCGACGATTTCGGAGCCATACTTTTTTATGTGTATGGCACTTAACGGTGTCCTGTCGACAGGTCCCAGATTAATGTTCTACGCCGGGTCACCCTCGGGTCTTGAGCTCCCGCCTTGGTGAGCTCGGCCTGAGAGCCTGGAGGTAGACGGCGTCATATTTCATGTCCCTTTGCCGATTGGCCATTGGCTAGTGAGGTTAGGGAAAAACCATGACTTGCCAACATCCCCCTTTATATAGAATTCTTTGGTAGGAATGAAAATATCCACTGTGCTCCTAACAGAGCCAGCCAAAGTCGCCCATATGGAGCGCATGATACAAAGCGTCTATGAACGCGAAGTCATCCTTCCAGGGTGCAAACCAGAAGCCGTCATGATGTGGACGCAACCAAAGTCGCCCGTTTGGAGCGCAACCCAAAGTCGCCTATCGAGAGAGCGCAAGGCAAGAAGCGTCTATTGAGAATGCAAAGCCGTCCCTGCTGGGCGCAAACCAATAAGTCCGCCTGTTCAGAGCGTAGACAAAGTCCGCCTATGCAGAGCGTAAGACAAAGTCCGCCTATCAAGAGTGCAAAACAAGAAGCGTCCATTGAGAACGCAAAGTCGTCCCTCGAGGCGCGAGTGAAAGTCGCCTATCAAGGACGCATAATGACAAGTCCAGCCCATCTAGAGCGCACATAATAGTCCGCGATATGCCAGGACGCCGATAAAACAATTCCCCGAGTAGCTGGACATCTTGCATAGTACTACTTAGCCGAAGAACTTTCTGGCTTCCCAGCGCAAACTCTTCCATAGAAATCACCTGGGGCATGGTGCCAGTGCAAATGCAAATGTCCATTGCCTCTCTTGGCCAATGCTCCTGTTGAAGAGCTATGTACGGCTGTAAAACATATAAATAAGGTCTGGCATAATCAGCTACGTGTGTGCGTCCCATTGATTGTCATCGACATCATGATCATTATTTTCTATCAGGCAGGGATACCATGAAATATAGCAACCATAGCCTCTGATGTATATCACAGCAGTACATTTTGTATTCACAGAAGCTTCAAGTGGCCGGTCACGTCGTCCACGACACTCTTCGGTCCCAGGATACCCAGCACCGTCCGGCTACCAGCAGCAATCTGCGTGCGACCAGCATCCTGGATCACACGCGCGCAGAGTCCCAAACTCATAGCCTGCGCCTGTAGCAGCAGTAGCTCCTCCTCTCCCTTGATTTGTAGCGCGATCTTCGCTTGGCCACCGCGTTCCCAACGCGACAGGATTGGGGACTCGGGCTGGTGCTCTTTGGAATATTTGTAGCAGGAAAGGGAGGCGTGGGAGGCTTGCGCAGCCATCTTGCCTGGAAAGAATTAAAAGAGAGGTTAGCACGATGATCTCATTGACTCGTTGCAGCAATTCTCCGTGGTAGAGTCGGCCAATTCTCACGTACCCTTGGTCATGCCCAGGTCTGTCCGAATGACCAGCACCATCTTCACCTCCTCGGCGTTATCCTTGAACTGCGCCAGTTCTTCGCCATTACCTTCATCTTCGCTATCATCCTCTGATTCTTCCTCCTCGTCCGAGGAGTCGCGGTGCACCTTAACGTCGTAGCTGTTAGGCCAACTTTTTTTCTCGTGGAACAGGCCGAGCGAGGCGCCTTGGCCAATGAAATATCCAACGACGCCGGCGATGATACCGGTCGCGATCACGTAGGCGGTTGTCGTTGGTGGAACGCGATCAAAAGGCACGGGAGCAGCCATTTTGTTGCCTAGGTGGAAGGGGAGGAGGAAGGTTGAAGTTGGTCAAAGGTGAGAGGCGAAGGTGAAGGTGAGGTGAGGTGTGTTGAACTTCAACGTGACTCGGCCGCCTTCAAGTTCAATACCATGAATCCGGCGACTATTTAACTACTACCTCGGAATTTTTGAGAACAAAACATCTAGGTACCAACCAAACTGGCTATTTTGGGTCATCCTTAAATTAAATAGTCTAATCTCAAGCTTTTGCTTATTTGATTTGGGCGCGAGCAGAAAATGACTTGGTGCCTCCGCAATATATACACCCAAGTAACACTAGGTGTACCAGTACTACTAGGTGCCTAGGTGTATCCATTCAAACTTCAACTTTGCCAACTTGAACTACCTAGTACTAGTAGGTACTAGGTACTTCTAGGACTAGTACTAGTATCCCGCAATTTGAAATGGTTGAACTTTGGAAGTAATGCCAGACGTACTTTTTCTACTCCACTCAAAATAAAATGCCCTTTTTTCAACATTCGAGATCAAACCTTCAGCTGGTGCAGCACCCGCTACAAGATCCAGTTCTTCGTTTTCGTCTCTCGTTCCAAGGCTTCAAGCTCCTCCTTGATCAATCTATAAAGCTCGTTGATGACAGACAGTGTGTAGTCCAGGCTTCCATTGATCTTCAACCGCTGGAGAATAATTTGTTTCATTTCCATCGTTAAGCTTCCGCTGATTTTCCGCTGCTGGAGGATACTCTGTATCAAGGGGTCTCCTTTCTGCAAAGAATGGATTAGGAGCAGAGAATATTTTCCTTCGTCCAGATCTTCACAGAAGCCTTTACTATCAATGTACTGCATATTATTAGCATGAATTTCTGATCACGAGGAACGGTACAATCTACTTGCCTCCGACGACGTCAGATTCTGGTAGTCTTCGCGGATTTGGAAATATCGTCCGACTAAAGTAGAATGATTTTCAAGTTCAAGGTGTCTTCGGCGTCGTTAGTCTAATTAACGCAGATTTTATCGTACGAGGGCCATTTTACTTGTTCGTGGTAGCTTCGACTCGACTCAGACGGGTGGCAAGACGAAACAACGCCGATGTTTCTAAAAGCAGCAACTTAGCAAGAGGGAAGTCAAAGATAAGCGTGAAACACAAGTGGTAGAAACATACTCGCATCAATCATACTCAGATACTCCTTCTCCGTCGGAACTATGCTATTCCGAGTCCAATAGAGATCAAGAAGTTTGCTAAATATACACATAAAATGGACCCTCAGCCCCCCAAAAATCAGTTTGTGATGGTTCGCTAAATCCATGATTACTCGTATGCTAATCTCCGTATAATTTGGCTAGTATGGTGCTCCGGTCGCATGGCGTTTATGCTAAGCAACCACAGATAACTAACGTGGCCTTGGATAACGACAAACAACCTTGAAAGACTCCGATATTCTCGTGGACCGAGAGCTAATATAAGGTTCAATCGAAAATTCTATTTCTTCTAGGGCAAAAGTGTCATTTTTTTAAGATCAGATCTTTTCCTCATTTCATGCTCACAACACCGTCAAGGTGGAGCTGATGAGGCCGATGTGGAGAGGTGCCCATACCGCGCGGGACGCTCATGCACGATCGTGATATGATCCATATTTACCTGCAGGCCACTAGTCAGCATTCTGCAAATGCGCGGGCTGAGAACGCAAGGAACGTGCGCATTTTCGATTGGGTTAAATAGTAGCCACACAGAGAATTTTACCATTAGACCCTGTGCCTCGAAATTGTGAACACTCCATTCGTCGAGCAACATGTTCGCCGGGTATCTTGGCAAGACTTTGGATTCCATCACCCTTTCACCTAGTTTGCTGTTCTATGCTACGGGAACTGTTTTGATCGCTCGATTACTGCAAGCTTTGACATGGCGATGGTGGTTTCACCCCTTTGCGTCGGTCCCCGGGCCACGGTTAGCAGCAGTCTCTAGTCTGTGGCAGATATGGCAAGATGTTTTTCGAGATGGGGACACTGCTCGAGCTATTGACAAACTTCATCAGGAGCATAGTGAGTACGCTTTCGTGACCACAAGGCTTAGTGACTAATTTTCTAGATACTGATATTATTCGCATTTCACCAAACCATGTTCACATCAAGGACCCCGACTTCTACTTCAAGTTGAGTTTTGAAAATATGTGCTATCTCGCTGCAAAAACTAAAGATAAAATAGGATCTATAACGTCGGTCCAGGATTTGATAAAGATCCGGATTTCTATTCTAAGCTAGGGGTTCCGCATTCAATTTTGAGCGCTGACACTAAATCCGCCCGAGCTATGCGGAGCAAAGCAAGTGCCATCGTCGCACCGCGAGACTGGGGGGGTAATGGTGGAGAAGGCCTATTCTACCACTAAGCATGCTTCCGATCAAGTTGCAGCCCACTCTCAAAGAGGCGAAGAGATCAATCTGTTCCATACAATTCGGACTATATCGGTACTTAATCAATGAGCTCTGCGCATCACTGTGTCAATCATCAATGGGTCCTGACTAAATTCCTTTTGATTAGACCGATATCATCTGCAATTTATGCTTTGGGTTCGCTCCTGGTTTCGTCAAACGGCCCGAGGATGCATCACAACTTTTCAATGTTCTTGACATGTGCTTGGAGGGGCTTTGGTTCAGTAAGTTTTGATATGTCACAGATTCCGGCACCACAATTGATTGATATCTTTTATTTTCAGCTGTGCATATTCCGTATCTTGCGGAATACCTGAATAGACTACCGAAGTGGTTGCTCAAGATTCTGCTTCCGGGACTGACATACTTCAAAAATGTAGGAGGCTCACCACCATCTTAATGATCGCGCTAAATTTGAATTATAGCAAAGCGGAGAGTGGGTCGATGAGACTTTGAGAAACAGCAGGAATTCCAGCGTGGAAGATCGCAAAACGACGATCATGGATGCTCTGAACCCTTCGCCCAACCAAAATATCGGCACAGCAGATCGCGATTGGCTAATTGACCAAGCCAATACGTTTGTATTTGCGGGCGTGGATACGACATCTACGATGTTGATGTATACTTTCCACAAGGTTCTATCTTCCCGCGAAATTCACAGCCGCTTACAACACGAGCTACGAAATGCCAATATTTCGATTCAAGAAGGTTACGATTGGAAGGCGGTCCGAGATTTACCCTATTTGGTACGTCTATTGAGGAGAGATTTCTAGTAGTCTCGTGCAAACTGACATTTGTGACAGACTGCAGTAATAAAAGAGGGACTGCGGTTGAGCGCTGTTATCCCAGGACGACTTCCTCGGACGGTCCCAGCTGGAGGGGTAGAATACAAGGAGACCTTTCTTCCCGGGGTGTATGTCACTTCAGCTACTCCAAAAATTCTCTGCGCTAATGGCAAAATGTAGACCGTTGTGTCGAGCACGATCTACTCGATGCACCATAATTCGACGATATTTCCCGATCCAGATATCTTCAGTCCAGACCGGTGGCTAGCTGAAAACAGCGTCGAGCTTGAGAGATATAACGTTGCTTTCAGCAAAGGGAAGAGGAGCTGCATTGGAATGAAGTAGGTTTCCTGTGTGTTGCACGGTTTGAGGAAGTAGATGGCTGATACAGCGATTCATTGCAGCCTGGCGTACTTGGAAATTTACGTCACAATGGCACTTTTCTTCAGTCGGTTCGATATGGAGTTGAATTACCCAGCACCTGGAAAGGAGTTGGATTGGGCAGATTGTCTTGCAAGAAGGTCAAAGGATTTCATCAAAGTGAGAATAGTCGCAGACAAATTTTCCACTCCGATTTAAGGGATCGAATTGTGTTAAGGGAATGAATTCGATTAAATTCAGACATAGAAATTCTCTTTGAATTTTCTCTTTTTTTCCAAAGCAAACAGTTTGTCTTGGCTTGTCTTCTCTGCCATCCACCCGTCTACTTTTCATAACCACAACCACCACAAATCCACTGGGAGCTGTCCACCCTAACCACACACTGGACGAGCACCTTCGTGGACAGAAAGCATAAATTGCAGCCGTGCTCATCCAGAGATCTACAACAACACCATCTGAGATGCCTTTTATTCCAGTTTCACCGAGCACATTAATGTCCTGGAACTTTGTTGATCAAGGATCGATCGATCGAAACTTCATCGTAGGAACCACAATCACTCATCAAGGCAAGTGATTGAAGCGTCTACCACTAGCCCTGGGAGAAGATGAAACCAATACACTGACATAGAAAGAACAGGCAAGCGTCAAACAGACATGCCGGACGACAAAACACTTGCACGGGCTGTTATCTCGGCAATGATGGTCTGCTTTGCCATTGTCGTACTCGGGATAGTGATCGCCAAGTACAAAGGCCGTTGCATCGATAGCTCCTTCGAGCTCGAGGGATATCAGCAACGAGCATCAGTTACTCCAGATCCTTCAACCCGTTCACAAGCACCGCCCACGCCGGCGTTAGACACTATGGGCTTCATCATAGATTTTCCTCGTCCCCAGCCATTCCATTCATACCACAGAGGGGATTTCCAGGTCGGGGCGCCGCAATATGGACCCGATTATCGACGCCCAAGATGTCAAAGAGACACCTTGACAGACGATTTCAGTCGATATGGAATTTCCACCACCCGCTTATGTTTGCTCCTCCTCCCTACAAACTCTGATGAGAGGAGGGAAAGAAAGAAAGAGTGGGGGACCCAGCAAAGTTAGGGCCATGGCAGTTTGCCCTGAGGTTTACCGTGGTCAGTAATAGTATGCAGTTTCAAGAAATCAAGATCATTCTCTAAAGTATACTACAAAGTATACTAGTTACTCGTACTCCATAGATAATGCCTAAGGTACAAAGTGGATTCCCCCCGCGTGCCAACGGGAGAGATGTGATTGGTCCGGGCGACAGTCGCAAGCTGGCCTGATCCGCGTGGAGCTGCCAATGCCATTTGCCTTTGCCTTTGCCAATCTCCAGCTTCCTTTTCCTTCTCTCCTTATCCCTCGGGTGCCGCTGCATTGAATCTACCATTAAGGTCCGTATCATTCTTCTATCTCTATCATCCCCTTGATCTCGCTCCACCTTCCCCTCCCGCTTACCCGCCACTGCCACTGCCACTGCCACTGCCACTGTCACTGTCACTAACACGCGTCACAGCCATCAAGATGCGTTTCACTTCGCTCGTCGCCCTCCTCCCTGCCGTCGCCCTGGCACAGGAGCAGGTCCCCCTGGCCGACCGTGTTCAAGGATGGTTCAACAAGGCCAAGGCCTACGTGCCAACCGCCGTCCCCGCTGCCCCCATCGAGAAGTTGGCCGAGACAGTCTCTGAGAAGAGTGTCACTCCGGTGACCCTTCAGAACTGGGAGTCCATCCTGACCCCCGGCACCCAGGAGGAGGACTGGTTCATCTTCATCACTGGTGGTAATAAGACCTGCTTCGGTCGCTGTGATCGCGCCGAGAAGGCCTTCAAGGTAAGCACCCATCGCGTCGCGACTCTCCCTGCACCACCATTTGAGCACTCGGACTCGGACTCGGACTCGGACTCCCTTGCTAATCCATCCATCCAGGAATCCGTCCTTCTCTTCTCTGCCGATCCTACCGCCCCCAACCTCGGTCTGCTGGACTGCGAGCAGGAGCGCGTTCTCTGCGCCGCCTGGTCCTCCGGTGCCCCCTCCGTCTACTACTACCAGGTTCCCCAGGCCCAGGCCGCCGACCAGGAGCGCCTCCCTTCGCCCCTGCACGTTCTCTACATGAACACCACCACCGTCACTCCCCAGGAGATTTACGAGATCCACTCCAAGAAGACCTTCCTGGATGTTCCCGCCTACGAGGGTGCTTTCCACCCCACCGACGGCTGGGTCGCCAAGTACAACCTCACCCTGCCCTTTGGTTACTTCATCTACGGCATCGGTGCCATCCCCAGCTGGATGTTCATGATCGGTATCAGCTTCTTCAGCCGTACCTTTATGTAAGTTCCACCTTGGTGGCGTATCCGCCGCGGAACTCCTCTCCTCATCTTACCCTTCCACGTCGATACTAATACGAAATCTGATTTAGGGGCCGTCGCATGGGCAACGTTGGCGCTAACCGCGCTCCTGCTGCTGCTCCCGCTGGCAGCGCAAACTAGAGAGATTTTGTTCGACTTTGGGTATGGTTGTACATAGTGAGCGGCCGGCTATTTGACGGGAACAGATGCAGTTAGGTTGGCCTGGCATGGCTTCCAGAAGATACCTGGTTGAGTTCAATGCGGGCACCATATTGATGGCGTTTCAAGAACTATTAGCTTTTTTTAATTGGATGGGTGACATTTTTGACAACTTGAACTTGAATCGTGTGATTATGTAGCGTGCCCCTGGCTAGGCTGGTTTCGGATTAGACGCGGCGTTCTCACCTTGGTTCTATGGTAGGGTAGGGTACGGCCAGGAATTGTCCGGCTGTTATTCTGTCGGGTACAGACCAAATTGTAGGTCCTGGGGTATATATACTAGTACTAATAGTATTTTGTACCTGGGGTATACTCGTAGTAATGGTTGGCTGATCTGCAGCGGCAATACTGGTTTATGTAGACAAAGAAGGGTTGAATTAATTAATGCTCGATTGGGTCATGCTGTATTTCACAAATTTCATTCGTGCTATTACCTGTATCTGTATCCATACGTACTGTATGTACAGTGTCGAATTCTTTGATCCAATTGATCCAATTGATCCAGACCGATCAATCTCGATTTCCAGTCTAGATCGACACTGCTTTGTCATGTGGCAAACCTCGCACTAATCAAGTACAGTACGAGTACTTGGGCATTACTTCACATGCGGGCACCTCCGAAATCCAGCCTTGACCTGTGAAGATAGAGAGACAAAGAGCAATTAAGCTCCATAATGGAGCACAGCCAATCTTTGGATTGTGGTTTTGTCTTTAATTCATGGCATGGTCATAGTAAGACCAAATTTGGGGTTGACCACTACGTATGACGTAGAGGAGTCGAGCTCCTAGAGGGGGGCATAGGACCATGGGATATGCTAGAGAACTCAAGATAAGCCCTAACTGGGGTACGTCAGGTACCCTAACTACAGAGTGGCTAGATGGACATGTACCATGTACCATAGACCAGGAGATATTGAGTGATGGAGTGAATAACTATGAGAAATTCCAGGCAAGTCCAACCCCGCCAGGCCGATGTCGGTTCCCCGCCAGCAGATCAATTGGAATGCAGAGAGGCAGAGATGAGCACCAGCAACAATAAACGAGGAGGCAAAAATAGTGCAAAGACTATGTATCCATGTGAAAAAGCCAAAGGCAAAGGCACCAGGAATGGAATGGAGTACAATGTACAGTACAAGAGGAGTCAAGGGCGTGCGAGTAATGCAGATCCAATTGAGTCATGAAAGCGAAGCCGGCGAGCAAAAAGGTAGAAAGCAGAAAGCAGAAAGCAGAAAGCATCAGAGTGGGGACCCAGTAAATTCCCCCACTGATTATTGGTGAACTGTGACTGGGTGACTGGGACTGCTGGGCAACCCGCGATTTTTTTTTTTTTTCCCTCCATTTGCCGCCTGCGAGACGAGGACTAATCGTGATTACTACGCACTGAATGACCCCACTGCCTACTATGACTCTTATTCTCTCCTTCACATCTCCATCATAAATATTCCCTCCTGCTTTTTCTTGGGTTCCCCTCTTTCACATCCGTCCCTTCGTGAATAATAACCCTTTCGCATCTTTTTCCCCTCCAAACCCCTCCACCCCACCTCTCCATATCCATCCACAATGTGCCCTGGCGCTGACCACGAGGCCAATGGCGCCCCCGCCGTCGCAAATGGTGCCGATGCCAATGGTATGTCTCGTGAACTTGCCGAAGATTAACCTAGTTATTCAATATCTACTCAAGAACTCGGAATTCTAACAGTTGTACTACAGGCGACCACCCCGGTTTCGTCGGCATTGAGACTCGCCAAAATCCCCACCCCGCCACCCGCAATCCCTACGGCCACAACGTCGGCGTGACCGACTTCCTGAGCAATGTCTCCCGCTTCCAGATTATTGAGAGCACCCTCCGTGAGGGCGAGCAGTTTGCCAATGCCTTCTTTGACACTGAGAAGAAGATTGAGATCGCCAAGGCTCTTGACGACTTCGGTGTTGACTACGTGAGTCATGGATCTGCAGAGAAAATATGCAGAGGATGTCCAATCTTGAAAGAAAACGGCGAGACTAACCCAGCACGGCTTGGATAGATCGAGCTTACCCTCCCCTGTGCCTCGGAGCAGTCCCGTGCCGATTGCGAGGCCATCTGCAAGCTCGGCCTGAAGGCTAAGATCCTCACTCACATTCGCTGCCACATGGACGATGCCCGTGTTGCCGTTGAGACCGGTGTCGACGGAGTGTGAGTTACCTAAAAATTCCACTCAAAACATATTCACGCAGGAATTCGACTTATGCTGACTTGGTAACAGTGATGTCGTCATTGGTACCTCGTCCTACCTCCGTGAGCACTCTCACGGCAAGGACATGACCTACATTAAGAACGCCGCCATTGAAGTTATCGAATTCGTCAAGTCCAAGGGCATTGAGATCCGTTTCTCCAGCGAGGACTCCTTCCGTTCCGACCTGGTTGACCTTCTCTCCATCTACTCCGCCGTCGACAAGGTCGGTGTCCAGCGTGTTGGTATCGCCGACACCGTCGGCTGTGCCTCCCCCCGCCAAGTCTACGAGCTTGTCCGTGTTCTGCGCGGTGTCGTGGGCTGCGATATTGAGACCCACTTCCACAACGACACTGGCTGCGCCATCGCCAACGCCTACTGTGCCCTTGAGGCCGGTGCCACCCACATCGATACCTCCGTTCTCGGTATCGGTGAGCGCAACGGTATCACCCCTCTTGGTGGCCTGATGGCCCGCATGATGGTCGCCGACCCCGAGTACGTCAAGAGCAAGTACAAGCTGGAGAAGCTCAAGGATATCGAGGACCTGGTCGCCGAGGCCGTCGAGGTCAACATCCCCTTCAACAACTACATCACCGGATTCTGCGCCTTCACCCACAAGGCCGGTATCCACGCCAAGGCTATCCTGAACAACCCCAGCACCTACGAGATCATCAACCCCGCCGACTTCGGCATGACCCGCTACGTGCACTTCGCCTCGCGTCTGACCGGCTGGAACGCCATCAAGTCGCGTGCCCAACAGCTCAAGATCGACCTCACCGACGCCCAGTGCAAGGAGTGCACTGCCAAGATCAAGGCTCTGGCTGATATTCGTCCCATCGCCGTCGATGACGCCGACTCGATCATCCGCGCTTACCACCGTAACCTCAAGTCTGGCGAGGACAAGCCCCTCATGGACTTGTCGCCCGAGGAGCAGGCCGCGTTCGCTGCCAAGGAGAAGGAGCTTGTCGAGGCCCAGGCTGCCGGTCTCCCCGTCAACTAAACTCCTTCTCACAAATGTTGAGAAGAATCATTTGCATATGACTGTTTTTTGAGCATGGGGGGACTCGGAACTGGGGATCTTTATACCTCCTTTCCCGGGACCGTTTGCCACTTTCTTTTTTTGCGCGTGGGATTTTCCTTTTCAAATTTGGATGCGACGATTTGATGTGATTTATGTTTGGGGATTTTCTTTTATATGTTCTTTTTTTTTTTTTAAACAAAACTTTCTTTTTCTGCTGGTTTCGATAAAAAGTGTTTTCCTTTGGATTCTGCTGGGACCCGAAAAAGAATTGATGAGGGTGGTGTTTGAGGAGAGTTCCTCTCCATCTTGTACATAAGCGCAGCAGCCTCTATGGCAATTTATAAGTTGTTTTATTACTTTGTTCGTTAAAATCTAGATGTAGATGTATCTGGTGGAAGAACGATGCGGATACTCTAGTCGGGTATCTTGAAGAAGAGGCTCAGGCCAATGTGAATCCTTCACTGCGTGAGGGGCGGGGGGGGATGGACGCCATCAAACTTGAATCACGCTTTTGAAATGAGGGGGAGCAAACATGGATTTTACTTCATGGAAGAGAGCATGACAATGCCTTTGTGCTTGCATAGGCGAAATATACTATGGAGGAGATAGTACTAGTGTGCCCGCCCATAAAATCCATTGAGTCCAGGCGCGCGCTCGATTTCAAGTCCAGCAAAATGGAGATCACGCTTTCGACTGAATTTGGAAAAATACAAATTTACAGAGAAAACTTGAATAAAATGTTGTATGAGTGACTAGCACTAGCAATTTCCTAATATATACTACTACTAGTACAGTCAACTCTCACTTATTGCACACCCGCTCTTAGCACACTCCCGCTTATAGCACACAATTCGCTTGGATGGGCCCACTTTTTCTTGATTTTACATACAAAACTCCCACTTTTAGCACACTCACCCTTTGCACACAATTTTCATCCCATATTTGCTGAGTCATGCGCTTAGTCAGTCATGTCGACCAATCAGAATGCCTGAAATCTCCGATCTTCCACCTCTTCCAACTGTCAGACCAGCTACACAAGCTGCTCTACCACCAGCAAAGCGTGCTCGATTAGGCATATCAGATGCCCAAAAGCAGGCATTACGTGCCTTCTGGTCTAATTCGAGCCCTAGACCAACCCAATCCGCGTGTGTAGATTGGTTTTTGTCCCAATTTAAACATAAGATTAATCGTACAACGGTCTCAAGAATTCTATCATCTCAATATGATTATCTTGATATAGGGCTTACTAAGGCAAATTCACGATTTTCTTCATCTTTCTGGCCTATTCTAGACCAGAAGCTTTCGAATTGGGTGAATAAGCATATTGAATCAGGGTTTCCCATCACTGGTCCTTTGATCCAGATCAAAGCAAACGAGCTTTGGTCTCAGATCCCTGAATATCGAGATCAACAAAAACCTGCTTTCTCAGAGGGTTGGCTTACGCGCTTCAAAAACCGGCATAATCTTCGATATCATACTTTCCATGGAGAAGCTGCTTCAGTCCCATCTTCTGTACACAATCATATGGAAGAAATTCGTACGATATGCGATCAATATGAACCATCTGAGATATATAATATGGATGAAACTGGCCTATTCTGGAGGCAGATGCCAAATGGGGGTCTTTCCCATGGAAAAATTGCTGGAAAGAAGAAAGATAAGACTAGAATATCTCTTGTCGTTACAACAAG